TATTCTTAATTACTTAATGCATTTGCTTATCTTCTTTATTATCTTCTTCTCTTTGCTGCTGGTTGATTGTAAAAAGTCTTAACAAATCTTGTCCAATGTTTTCTTAAATGGGCATTTGGAAGTTGTTAATTATGCTTCATTTTTAGAAAAAATTTAAAAAATAAATATAAGGATATTTAAAAATATATTAAATGACTCAAATGAGCATTTTATTCTAATAATACTTGACTTATTTTATCTTAATAATTCAATTCAATCAACCAGAATCTATTATTCATTTTCTTTACTTTTACTCAAATTATAATTAAGATTATCTATTTTCAATTAACTGAATTCATAATATTATTTTTGTTTTTACACTTATATACCATTAAAATCTTGTCTACATTATGATTTAATATCTTATCCTTATATATAAATTAATCTATAAGTTAAATATACTATGATAATAGTAGTTTAAGGAATTAGCAATTAATTTAAGATTCAATTATAACAGAGTTTATTTTCAATACATTAACATTGATATATAAATTAATGTTATATTTATATATATGTTTATGAATATATTTATATCTCAAAATATTCAATCTTTAGCTGCTCTATAAATTTTATTGCAAGCATCTTCTAAAAGTCCTAAAAGAGATTCTTGAGATTCTTCTCTTAATTTTTTTTCTTCTTCAATTTCGCTCTTAACTCTGGAAACAAGATCTTTAAGCATTTCAAAGATTGCTGCTTCTGATTCCTCCCTAAATAAATTTATTTAATCAGTACCTTAATTTTTTCTAATTACCTAAACCTTCATTTAATCGTTTAATTTCATCTCCTGCTCTTCTTAAAGTACCATTATCACTATCTTCTCTATCCTGTCCTTCAGTTTTAACCATGTCATATAACTTTGGTAAATCATTTTCTAAAGATGTTGTGATATTTTCAATTTATTCTTATCTAATTTTCCCTTCAGTTTAAATGTCTGACTTTAAATATACAACCTATTATAATTTATTTCTTTATACTTTTTCATCTAGATATCCTTATAATTTTAGATTTCCATCCTTTCTTAAAGCTATTTCTTATTCGAGTTTTGTTGTGATTCTACTTTCAAAAGCAGCAATCTCTCTCACTCTTTGTTCAAATTAAGTTTCAAAGGTATTGTTTTCTTCTTCTATTTATTTTTAAAGACGAACTATTTCATCTTTCAGTGAGTGCTATATAAAATTAATACTATCTAATACAAGTTTTCTATTGTAAGATGTTATTGTGTCTTGCATTCTCTCCTCTACACCTGTTATTCTTCCGCAAATATTGTCTATTCTATGGGCTTTTGATGAATCATGTTATAATTATATTGAGTTAAGCTTTTCAGAGATTTTAGCAAATCTTTCGTTGAAAGGTGTATTTGGATTCATTTTTATTAACAAATTTATTTAAGTATATTTATTTTTAAAGCTTAATACAGAAATAAACATAATATAAAATTTAACTAAGATATTATTATATATTATATTTAATTAACTAACTACTTTATTTCTAAAATCAAGTACAAATGTAATATACATTTACTTACTCTAATCTTTTAAACTAATCTCTATTTTATTTTTGTTTAGAACTTTATAATTAAATTTTTTATTTAACCTTAATAAGACATTAAATTTAGGTATAAAAATATTAATTCTTAGTATTTTTATATTTTTAATAAATAATTATATTCCATTAATATATTAAAGATTAGCCAAAAAAATGATTACATACTTACATTTTGAACTGAATACGCTTTCTAATTAGCTAAAGCAAATTCATCATTGATTATTATTATGATATAATTTAAAAATTATGACGTAAAAAAATTTTATTTAATTTCTTAAATTTTATGATACAAAGATATTTAAAGGTTCTTATCTCAAATAATAAATGTTGAGCAAATAATAATATTTATTAATTTATCGCACATAATGAATAATGCTATTAATAGTGAAGAAAACTTGGCATTTCAAAATACTTTTGAAAAACTTAGGTAATTGATTATATATGAATTTTTGCAGAAAAAGAAAAACTAATCGCCCTTCACGTTATCAGAAAGTCGATGAGACCATTAGATAATAAATTATAGATTAAGCTTGTAATAAAGGATAGCCATTAAGATAAGTATTTCTATTTTTATCTTTCAGATTGCTCATAACCTTGGTATAAAATATTCAACTGCAAAAGCAATAGTCTAAGTGTACCAAAATGAGGGAAGAATTGGTAAAAAACGAACAAGAGATAAACGAATATATTAAGAGATTGAAACCTTCATAATAGTCGTTCATAAGTAATCAGGAAAAATTGAAAAAGTTAAGCTTAAGTCTGAGTGTAGTGATGTAAAATCAAATTTTCAATATGCTAAACTCAAGTATAAACATGATATATAATGCTTTCAGTCTTGAAGAAGCCCACTATTCTTAACTTGCCCAATACTTTGGAGAATATAATCTTCAATAAGAAGACGAAGTAATAGCCTCACAAAATAAAACCTTACTGAACATTGTGAAAATTTTAAATGAATAGTACTAATAATTTTAGCACATTCCTGAACAACAATGATGATTAAAATATATAACAATATATCAGTATAAACTTTATCCCTTACATAGTAATTTTTGGCATTTATTTTTAGAATTTTTTTCTTCGTTTATAATTTAAGAATTTATTTATATCTTCCCTTTTATTAATTTAATTATTATAATTGCATTAAAAATAGAAAAACAATATTATTAAAATTTATCGAAAACCATTCTAATAAAAACATCTATCCAAAATTCAAATATCTGACACAATATCATCTATTAAAAAAATAATATTTCAATTTTTAAATTTATATTTTCTAACAATTTTCCTACTTTTAAATATATAAAACTATTTATACATGGTAATAAATAATTTATAAGAATTTAAATTATAGAAAAATACCTTTAGCAATAAGTGACAAATAATTTTGAGAGATAAATATATATTAGAAAGTATTTTCTAATTTTCTAATTTTCCTTAAATCATACATTTTCTTAAACAACTATTACAATATATTAAATAAGCGTTACAATTTTATAAATAATTGTTTGTATTATTGAATATATTTAAGTATTTTTATTTCTGCTTTTTTAAATAGTAAAGTTATTTTCAAGATAAATAAAAGCTCTTCCATTTGAAAGTTTTATCATAAATCTCACATATTGATTTAATTTCAATCTAATAATATATATTTGATTATTCCACAATTTTTTATTATTATTTTTGTGATCAATTTTTTCAATGTTTTTAATTCAATATTTTTCCAAAGCTATTGATTTATTTGATAAACTAATTTTGTGAAAATCAAAAGTCTTTTTGAATTTGTTTTCATTCAAAAAATGTGTTTTTAATTTATTTTGGAGAAATTTTTGTAAAAATATTAAAATATTTAATACAAAGGCATGAAATTTCAAATGTTTTGTATTAAAGAATAAATAAATAATTAATTATTTGTATAAAATCATTATTAACATTTTACAGCTGATCTCCTACAATAAGGACAAGAGTTTTTGATTTTGAGCCATCTGATTAGACAGTCTGTATGAAATATATGTTAGCATTCTAATAATATAATTTTCTATTTCTTTTGAATATCATCTCCACAAATTGGACATTAAATAGTATTATTATTTTATTCTTCTAACTAAGCTAAATCTACAGCTTAGTTTCTTTTTTATTAAACTTCTATTTAAGAATTAAAAGATTTAATTTCTAATTTTTCTAAATCTTCTTCTCTCAAATTAGTGATTTAAACTTAAGGATTATCATTAAAAAATCTTCCATCCCTACAATTCCTTAGTTATAAATAATATTAACCCTCGATAATATGTATATGTTTACTAATATATGAAGATTATAGATAAAGGCTATGATTATGCTTGCTACAGTTACACTAGCAATTACATACGAAATTTAATCATAGTCTCTAACTAATTAGATACCATCTATAATAACTTAAAGAAATTAAATCAAAACAAATAGATTTATGACAAAATATATCTTTGTAATTTCAAAGACATGAAACATTAACTAATTGATTAGAAACTTTATAAAAGGCTTAATTTCTTTTTACAAATTATCAAATTTGATAGAATAATAAAAACCTAAAATTAGAAAATATGATAATTTACAAACAAATATGATCAGTGTTTAAATATAAAAAAGGTATTCGTACGTTTAAAATAATCTTTTATCACAATGTGGTAATTAATGTACATCATTTCTTCTGACAATATTTCTTGAATATAATGAATAAACATGATTGCAAACAAAAAAAGCTGATGCATAATATAAAAGTTGAGTTGCTGTATATTTTTATAAGTTTGTATCAAAAGTTCCATAGAGAGCTATAACAAAACTAAAAATCTAGTTAATTTATATAAAAAACATTACTTCATTAAATAGAATAATAGGGTAAGAGACTTTGTAATGATTTTGCCATATATTCGTAAGTAAGTTTCTTAAATTATCTCCAGTGCCTAAATAGGCATGCCAAATTAAAGTAACCCAAATATAAATCACTCCTAAATGATACAATATAAAATATGTCAAAGGTATTTTTAATGCATAGGCTGTCTAAATGTTATATTAAATATTACTTATGATTTATCTATTTACAATTGTTCATATAAATAATAAGAGCCAATTGAAATTGGGCAGCTTATAAAAATTACAGCAGCAGTTGTATTTAATAAAAGTTTTGGAAAGACCATTTAATCTTTAATATCGGTTTATAAAATATTAGTAAAAGAATAATAATGTTTAAAAATTGTTATAAGTTTTAATAAATAATCTTTTTGAGAATGATATGATTTGTCACATTCTTTTAAAAGCCTATTAGAAAAATCAATTTAAAAAGAATTCTGTTAACTTATTGAAAAAATTAAAAAGTTGAAATCATAATCTAAATTCAATAAAGGAAATATATAAGCCTAAATTGAATATAATATCGTTAATTTACTTGATTCTAAAATCAAAATAAGTAAAAGTCGAAAAAATTACAACTGTTAATGCCTGAAGTTAATTATAAAAAAAAATATTTTAACTTAGTTCTCGATTTAATCAATTCATACATCGATTAGAATAATAAAATCACAGCTAAAAGCAAGCTACAATCATTAAAATATACATTCAAAAAGTAAGAATAACTTGGGAATATGAAAAATAGGTATTGCTTAATTGAATCGATTAAAATAATAAGTAATTCTATTTGATTAATTAAAGAATAAAACAAATTAGAGATTAGATTAAAAAAAGACGATAACAAATTATTTTAAAATTTAATAGAGTCCCAGTATATTTGATTCCAGTCAGATAGATGATTAAATGAAAGTAGAGCTGAAACTCAAATATATGATTGATGAAATAATGAAAATCAGTAAATACTGACTATCAGAATTATAAATATAAATGATAGAGAATTGATTTCAGATTCAACTTCCAAAATAATTAGATTATTTAAAATTAAATACTAAATTGAATTTTTGTAGTTTATAAATTTAAAATATTAAAAATATTATTTAGAAATAATAGATATTCATGCCGAATCAATTTTATTTTCTTATAATAGAAAGATCAGATAGTTTTTAGAGAATTTAAGAAAATTCAAATGTAAACAATTATTTTAGTACGGCAATTCTCAATTTTCTATTTGACTTTAAAATTTCTGATATTTCTTTTTTTATATATGCATACTTATTTCTAATCATTTATGGGTTGAGTCTGATGATTCAAGAATAAGATTTATAAAATCAGGTAAAGAGAAACTCTCCTTTTTATAGAAGAAAAAACTCCTTCAAATAAAATTTAATGATTAATAATTTTCTCCCAGTATTCTTTTAAAGTATTCCAAAAAAATTCTTGCACTTTTCATAATTTGATTATATATATAGTATTTTAATTCTATAAAATTTTTCTGGTTAAATCTAGCCTATAAATCTATTATATTATATGTTAAATACTAATTTTAAATAAAATCAATTAATATTTAAATAAGAATGAAATTTCAATATAAAAAACAAAAGTCATATGAAGATAGATCTAATATCTCTTCTAAGCTAAAAGAATAATATCAGGACAGATTACCTGTGATTATAGAATTAAGTATAGAATCAGCTCAAGAGAAAAAAATACATAAAATTTAAGCAAAATTTAAATAATGACTATCAAATAAACAATTAAAGTTTAATAACTATATCAATAATTGAAATAAAAATACTAATAATTCCTTTTCCATAAAGAGGCACTATTTATTTTCTTTGATGGAAATAAGCTATTAAATAGTTAAGATACAAGTACTTTAGCAGATTTATATAAAAATCATAAAGATAATGATGGATGGCTTTACTTAGAAATTAAAATTTAAGAAACTTTAGGTTAATTTAATTTATTCATATAACTAATTTTAATAAAATCATAAATAAAATTTTTGTTAGTTTTTTGAAAATTAGAAAAAGATTAAAAGAATCTTAGATTTTTATACTTAGGAAACTTGCTTGTGATTGTAAAAATAACTATTAATAATTTATAAACATTTTACTAAAAAAGAAAAAATAAATGTTAGAACTATAATTTGCTTTACATATAACTTATTTATGTTTTACTTAAAAAATTAGATAATTAAGATGAAACAGTTTAAAGTGTAAACTTAGAAAATATTAAATTTTTTTCAGAATTTAATATATATGGTTGTTAATTAGAGAGATTATTATAAAGAACTAAGATTTCTTAAAGTTTAAAAAAAGAAAAAAACTATTGCGAATGATTTTTATAAAACAATATATTTTTCATTAAGTTTCTCCTTGTTATTATTATTATGGGTGAGCTATATATTCAAATTCCTTTTTATTTTATAATCCTAGACAATTAGTGATCCACTTTGTTAATTCCTCTAATAATTTTGGATACTTGTTTTAATCTTTAATCCAAATGGAGATTAGTATGAAATTTTTTTTAGAATGAGCAATCTTAAAAATAAATATTATTTTTTACAATTCCGCATACACCTTGTAAATGTGGATTATCATCACTTAAATAATGTAAAATTAATTCTTCCCAAACTCTATTTTCAAATCCTCTTTTAACTCTAAGTATTAATCTACCACCATTCATATTTTATGGATCTTCCCATACAGGTTGAATTTATTCTTGAAATAAAAAAAATTAGGCTCCTAAGGGTAACTTCTCAGGTTTTACCATATAAGAATAGTATGACCAAAATTCTCTAGCTGTTCCGAATGAGCCTTGTATATAAGTATATTTTACCTATTTGTTTCAATTAGTCACTAAAATTATCAATATTTTAGTCTTTACTAACACTTAGCCAAAAAGTAAACCTTGCTCTTAATTAATAATCCTAGTTCATACACGTAATTATGATAAAAATAAAATAAGTTTTATTTAATGAAATTTTTACATCTTTTAATTTCAATAAAATCAATATTAGAATATAATATAATGAAGGAAAATTAAAATAAAATGTTTTTTTAAGATAATAAGTGAAAATCTTGATTTACTTTTATTAAAATAAATATATAAATTTCAATCTGAAACAAAAGCTTTTTATCTATCAAACTCTTTTGATGGAATTTCCCTATATATAATATCACATAAAATACTCTTATTAAGGTTTTTTATCTGAATTCGATTATTATACTGCTTCTTTTTCCTATTTTAATCTATCGACATTTAATCTATGAATATTTCCAGGGGTATATGGACTAGATCTTCTTTGAGAATATCTCTTTTCAGGTGTAGTATCATTTTTATTCAAAATCCCTCCAGATGGATAAGGTTTTTATGGAGAATATCTTCTTGTTCTTTTATTAGAATACTCATCTAATTTATTTCTGACAATATTTTCAAATATACCTAATATTTTAAACTCTTTTTTGAATATTTTATGATTCAATAGATTCAGTTGGTCTTAGATCTATTCTATGTTAAACAGTCTTTAAGTTCTTTTTACAATTAAAACCTTACAAACCTTTCTATTAAACCTCATATGGATTTTTTAAATGATGATCACAATGAAATATCTCTCCAATATAATTTTGTAAATCTCCCTTTAATCTTTTAGTTTTCTATGATCTTCTTGTTTAATCGTTCTCTTCAAAATTAGAAGGCTGTTAGAAGCTATTTGGACTTTTAAATTGATTCTTTTAACGTGAAGGTTTAGGAGATAATATTTTAATATTACTAGAATCATAAATAAATGTTTTTGATTAATTAGTTGAATAGTTTCCTTTCTTATTTATAATACTATGTTAAGAATCTAAGTAACTTTTCTTAGGTAATGTCACTTTACCAATTACTATAATTTAACTCTCTACTAATGGTTATTCTACTTTTTATTTTTAAGCACTATTTGATTCATCTATTTATTATTATGGTATATCTGACAATTTAGTTTGCATTTTACTAATTGACAATTCATTAAATTAAATTTAACTTTTTTTTGCCAAAAATTAAGAAAATATATCACTTTCATTTGGAACTATTTCACCTTTTTGTTTCTAATCAGTAGTATTTTAAACCATTTCACCTAACTTTTTATGTAAATCTTCAAGATTTTCACATCCTTAAATTTAAGATACTATTAGCTTTTTCTTTTAAGGATCTCCCTTAAACATTTTAATATCTTTATTTTCCAAAATTACTAAAACTTCCAATTTTTCATCTATCATTTATAATTTATGTTGATTAGCCTTATAATTAAATTCCCATTATTCCCAAATTTTAGTAAATGTTTCTTCATTTAAATTTTAATCCTTAAATAAATCATTACTATAATGATATATACGAAATTTACATATTTAAACCTTTAGCATAATCATCAAAATCTTATATGTTCAATTCTTAAGAGTTCTCTTTCACCAAACCTTTAAATGCTTCTGATGGATTCTTGAACTTTTAAGATAAGTTTTTCTTTAAAGTAACCCAATTCTCAAGAATTGTTTGCTAAGCCTCTAATGATTGTTTCTATTTTGCTAATTCTTCGATTTCGGACATGATATTATTAATTAATTAAAATAAATTTTATTCAATATTACTTTAAACTATTAATGAGTGCATCATTTTATTTTTTTTCTTCTTATATTTTATAATAAGCTTCTTGTAATTACTTTCTTATGTATTCTTTTTAATATTTCCATTCTTATAATGTATTTTCACTTTACTTTTACATATTATTGATGAAAGCATTGTCATTTGTATTATTTTTTTATTATTTTTTAGCTGAATAATAGTTTTAATTCTTTGAATCACTATCTACATCACTTTTATTCTCTTTGATCTAGATTTAATAATCCGAAATCTAAGAGTTAAGTTTCAAGATTTCTATTTTGAATTCGTTTAATTCTTACTAATGTTCTTTTTCATGTTATTAATATAAATTTGTAAATTTATCAATATTTACATTAGAATCTATTAGTCTTTATTCAAATTTAGAAATAACAGATCTTAATTTGTTTAATTCTTATCTATTGTGATTTTCTACTGATTTTAATTATTAATTATGATCTTATTGTAACTATTCTAATTATGATTTCAAATCAGAAATAAGAACTTCTGAAGTTTAATTTCGTTTCTTATTCTAATCATTTTCAAGTTTTAATTTTTCAATTAATTTATCTTTTTATCTATTATCTTCTATATGAACTTCTTAATAACTTAATAATTCTGCTTATAATCTTCTAATTTCAATTTCTTATTTTGATTAAATCTGAATATGTAAATTTGAGAGATTTTTTATAATATGAAATTCATGTTAGATTCTTTATACTGTACTCTCCCAAATTTATGTAATATAATTTTAAAGTTCATTTGTATTGATATTTTTAGTTAGATATTCAGAAACAGCATTATTTGCTATATCAACAATACCCCAAAAGTCTTCTTTATCATAATGATGTATTTCATCAATAAAATTGTTTTTGATAGTTTCTAACTATATTAATTGAAGATCTTAATATCTTCTTTAAGAATCATTAAACAATCTTTCTAAATCTTTCTTTACACTTTTCCATCTTTTAACAAAAATATCTTTTTCACTGTTTGCTTCTAAATAATTTTTAATTTTTTTTAATAACTAAAAATACAATTCAATACACTTACAATTTAATTTAATTCAACAAGATCTCCTAAGTCTTAATCTTGAAAAAACTCTTCAATTGCTTACTTGTAATAATTAACTTAAGTATTAATATGATATTCAAATTCTTATTCTTAGATCATTTACCATTGTGTTGCAATTTCAGGCAAAGATCCTTAATTAATTGCATCCACAAAATATCTAAATTAATTATATTATATAATACTTAGACATTTCAATAAATGTAAATGGAGTTATAGATTTGCCTTTATATTATTTGAATTAAACTTTATATGATAACTTCTTTCTTAAAGCCATCACCTATTCTTAAAATTCTATTCTTAATTCCTCAAATTTTACGCTGCTTAATTATTAAAGTGCTTTTTCATCTTCTGTAGGTCTAACAAGAGTAATACAATCTCTTTCAGCAAAAAATTAAGAAATATGTCTCCTTATTTTATTTTTATTTTCTATTGTTTCACTTATACCTTTCAAAGGTTTAAGTGCAGCTTCTAAATAATCCTTTGGAAGTATCTTATTTCCATATTCATCTTCAAGTCTAAGAGTAAAATCTCTTAAAATCCATAAAAAAGAAGGGAATGTTTCAAATAAATCCTTTTACGTATTTTAATCAGCTTTCTATAACATTTTCGTTAAATTAACCTAATTTTAAACTATTATATACAATTAAACCCAAATTTTACAAAGCCATATCATCTATTGTTCCTACACTATTATAAATAAAATAGCTGCTCATTAACATTGCTAAAAGGAATACTTTAACATCATGATTCATATCTTCTTCAACTGAACCAATTCCTTCTGTATCAATTAAAATAGCTGGAATTGGTTCTTTATTTCTACCTGACTCAAAATATATCAACTCTGACCACATCCATAAACCCTTTAATAATATTTCTAAATATTCATTACTTTTGTGCAAGCATTTATAGTTGAGCCGACTTCAAAACCTTTACTTTATTAGATCAATAACTAATTAATTAAATAGCTCTTTCCTGTTCGGTATTTGCCAACAACAACAATCACAGCAAAATTCTTGCATTTATCATTAAAAGATTTTATTATCTATACTGCTTCCTAACAAAGAATTAATTCTAATTTATTCTTATTCTTAAATACTTTTTGTTTAAGGCTCAATTGCAATCAATTAAATAGCTCTTGGAGTTTGTTACATAGTAAATTAAATTAACGATTAACTTTTATAATTAAATTAAATTAAATTAAATCAATTCTTGAAGCATTAGGTTCTTATATTATTCTGCTTATCTAATTCTAAATCCTTTTACTTTACTAAAAATAAATTCAACAAAAGATAGTTTTAGTTTTTATTTTGAGAAATATCTTACTTTGATTTTATTTTAAAATATATTTATTATGTATTCAATTTATATTTTTATTATATACATCATATGATACAAACTACTGATTTTTGAGTTAATTTTTATCTAAATTATTGATTATATATCCCATTTATTTAAATAAATGAATATCATTATCATAATACCATCTTTCGAAATTTTAGATTTTTTAATCAACTAAATTTTATTTCCTATTAAAACATCCTTTCATTTAAAAATTCTTTCTCTTAATCTTATTTAAAGTCTCCTCCATTTTCAATTTATTATGTCTTCAGTTATTTTTTATTTACTTTTTTCTATTTATGGATAAAGATTTTAAATGCTTTTTATATTCAGAAGTGATTAAGCATTTCAAGAGAATGATAAATTAAATAGCTCTATATAGGATAATATATTTTATGGAATTAGAAAGACAATTTAAATATGAATCACAATATAATTTTCAGTTTATTACTTATATAATTATTAGTTAATGTAAATTTTTTTTAAGTTGATTAATTCTAAAATTATAAATTTATTGGGCCTAAGGAGGCATATTAAATTATTTTTGATTATTAATTTTATGTTAAATAATATTTATAAATCTAGCAACCCGTCTAATGATGATTAATCGTAGCCAAGATCAAAATATGGAGAGGATTTAAGTAGATCAATATCTTAAGAGCTAATAAGAAGAGCCTGAATTCTCCGAATAAATTAACGAGAAAATATAGAAATATAAAAACAACCCACAATTCGAATCTATGGAGGAACAAATATCTACAGAAAAAATTGAATCTTTCTAACCAGATAATAAAAAAAAACAACCCGATAAGAATATTGAAATTTATCGGATATCTTTCCATGAACTTAATGAACTGTAATCGAATGATGAACTTTATGATTTCTAATCATCTAATGAATCTATTATACTTCCTTTTGTATCAATATAATTATTAACTAGCCACCCCACACTTAAACAAGACATCCAACTTCTAACCATATGTCAGTATCTCTTTGCAGGGCAATTAATTATGAATTAAAACAGATGAATGAATAGCCATATTTCATTTTGAAAACCAAAAATAATGAAAAAAAAACAATATAAGCTGAAGGAGATATGAATGATAAGAAAGCTAATTTTAGAAATCTAAAGAATTTTTTAATAAAGAATCCTAAATTCAAGACATATTTATAAGAAAGAAAATATGAGGAGAGGCTTAAACGTAATAACAAAACTCGAACTGATTTCGCTAGCTTCCATCAATTTATTGTTAAAAGGCTTAAAATTGAATGAATATTTATATAAATAAATATTCATATATAGGATGAATCCCAATTATCTATAAAGTTGAATTTCATATCACCATCTTAATAATCTATATCTATAATTTTCTAATTATTAAATTCTAATTTTTACATTGTCTTCTTTGGTTATCTATTATCCATTTCTAGAAACATTATGTTGAGAATAAAGAATAAGATGAGGAGGCTTATATTATTTTGCATATAGTCTATCCCATTCAATTTCAGCAAAGAAAATATGTTTCTTTAATACAGAAACATCATTAAATCCTAATCTTTCTTAAGGATCTTTTTTGAGCATCCTTTTTAAAAGATCTTATGCTTCTAAACTTAAATTTTTTGGTATAAATAATGATTCTAACAATTTAATTATTAATACCATATTTGATTTTTTCCATTATACTTTTTAAATCTTGAGAATAAAAGGGTGGATAACCAGTTAACATTTCATATAGGACAGTACCAATTTAATAAATATCTGTTGCTTTTTATGAAACTCCTCCTGCAACTAATTCAGGAGGAAGATAAGCAGGAGAACCACAAAAACTAGTCGCAGTAAAGTCATCTCCATCAAATTATTTACATAATCCAAAATCAGTAAGTTTAATATATCCATCTTAATCAATTAAAATATTTTCAGGTTTTAAATCTCTATAAATAATTTGTTATTAATGTAGATATTCAATTGCTAAAATTATTTAGGCTATAATAAATTTAGCTGTATATTCATTCAAAATTTACCCTCTTGTCATATACTTTGATAAGTCTCCTGCAGGGCATAATTCTGTCACTATATACAAATAGATTTAAGTCTTATTAATTTCAATTATAATACTTAGAATGATAGAAACAATTTTACAATAAATGGATGTCTTATTTATCTCAGAATTTATAATTCAGAAATTATATATTTAAGAAAACCATTTCTAATTAGTTTATCTTTTTCTTATTATTTTATAGCACAATTGATATGTTTATATTTAGCTTTGTATACATTTCCAAAACTTCCTTTACCAATCATTTCTATTATTTAAAAACTAGAAAGGTTTATTTTATCTTAAAGACTTTAAGAATTACTCTATTCTATAATAATATCTATTTCTGAATCTTCTTCAGTAACACTATTTAAATCAGAATTTTATCTATTTTTATTAATTATTTATTTTTATTTAAACTCTAAATTATCTTCCAAAATGCCATCTTCAATGTTAATAATAGAATTTGGTTTTGCCATCATTAATGCAAATGCTCTTAAGGCATTTTTTTATTCTTCAATTGATTTTATATTCTATCTAATGTATCTAGAATAACCAACACAATTTTTTAATCCTTCATACCATCTTCTAGCTGCTGCTTAAGTTTTTAAAGCTATAAAAATGTGTTTTGAAAAGTATTTGATTTCTAAATAAAAATAATCTTCTTCCTAAAACCATTCATCTTTAGATACTTTTATATCATGTATACTCTCTAAAGGAATAATTTGACTTTTAATATATATTAGTAGATTACTTAGGATTTCTTGGAATATCTTAAATATTTTTAAATTTAGCTATAGTGTCAGTATCTGGATCTACAATAATGTATCGTTCGTACATTCTCAATTTAAAATAATTAACTTTATAAACCTTCCCTTTTAATATTGGTGGTCGTTATGGTTTATTTATTATGAAAGTCTCTAAGTAATTTGATAAAAATTTACATCCTTTACCAGATTGTCTAAACTAATTCCAATCATAGAGGAAATAAATGAGGTTCTATGAGTTTAAGTAATTTATTATTCATTTTCATATTTTAAAAGTTACTTTACTTTATTGCGTGCAATATCAATAGGTCTTTTATTATTTTAATCTGAAATACTATTTGATGAATAGATATTTTACTTAATATCTATCTTAGGATGATTGAGTAATAATTAAGCAATTTCAATATCATCATTTTAAGCTGCTATATGTAAAGCTGTTCCATGCTTATTTAGTTGATTTACATCTAATTTTTATTATGCAAGTAGTAAACATATTACTTTAAATAATAAGAATATTAATACTAGTTTTATGTCTTAGGCAAACAGATAAAGATAGACAATCCCAGCCATCTTTAGTTTGCAAATTTATGTTTGCTCCTTCATTTAATAATAATAAAAATAGTTTATCACAACCAACTAAAACTGAAAGATGTAAAGCTGACCAACCAAAGATATTAATATCATTCAAGAAAAACTCTTTTTATTCGAGATGCTAATAAAGTAATGTTTTAGCTTCTTCAAAATTATTCTTCTATATATATTCATAAAATTAATCAATTTAGATTGCAAGAAAACTATTGTAAATAATATTCTTATCCTTTTATGAAAATGAATTGGGAAATGACTTTTTTAGAGTTGAAGCAGTATTTTAATTCAATGATTCGAATGAATCATTTTGTTAAATTTTGGATGCTCTAACACTAAATGAATCTTAGTTATTTTTAACAAATAAAACTCCCTCATTAAGAAGTTTAATTTAACTTAAATATTCACATTTACATATTTCTTTCATTTCTCTATTATGAACTATATAAAGTTTTTGATCATCTACTTCAATTTAAGTTGTTCTTTCGATTTAAAATCTTAAAGCTTAAACAGTTTCTTTAGATGATATTTCAATAATGATATTTTACAATTCTCCCCATGCATTAAAAAATTTAAGCTTAATTTTCATTTTAATAAGATAGGTTAATTAATATTTTATTAGTAAAATATATTTACAACTTATTAAGTGAATAAATGAATAGAAAAAAAAGTTTCATTTTTGATTTAGAGACAGAATAAATTTATTTATGTTAGTTTAATTAGTAAATATTATTATTTTTAATTAAATATGAACGTTTAATCAAGCCACTTATCTACATTATAAGATTTCTAAATAATCTAAGAGTTAGGATCTGGTTCTTTCAGCAATGTTTACAAAGTATTAAAAGCATGAATTATTTTTAGGTTAAAAGGATAGCAGATGGATAAGAATATGCTTTAAAAAAAGTGAAAATAGCTAACTTAAAACCGAAGGAAAAATAGAATGCATTAAACGAAGTCAGGTTTTTATATTCAATAAATGACAAACATATTGTTGCATATAAAGTAAGTTCTTTTTTTTTGATTTTAAAAAGGAAGCATTTATAGATGAACCATCATAATGCTTATGTATAGTAATGGAACTATTGTCAGGTGGAGATGTGTATAAAAAGATTTCTCAAGCAAGAGGTTCTACTCCCTTTTAGGAAATGGATATATGGAGAGCATTGATTCATATGACTTTAGGGTATATGAATTAAATATAACTGAAAGATTAAAGGCACTTCATGATTAAAAAGTAGTACATAGAGATTTAAAGTCTGCTAATGTTTTTTTATCTAGTGATGGAACATTCAAATTAGGAGATTTAAATGTTTCTAAAGTTGCTAAAGGTGGCTTTGTATATACTTAAACAGGTACTCCATATTATGCTAGTCCAGAAGTATGGAGAGATTAACCATATGATATGAAAAGTGATATCTGGTAATCAGTATTCTTATATTTTAAGGTCTCTTGGATGTGTAGTATATGAAATGTGTTGTCTTTAGACTCCTTTTAGAGCAAAAGATATGGATGTGCTTTTTCAAAAGGTTTAAAGAGGAACATATGATTAAATACCTAATCATTTTTCAAGAGATTTATCATAAATAATCTCAAGTTTATTGAAAATACAACCTATTCAACGGCCTACTTGTGATTAAATACTTGCCAATCCAATAGTTTAAAAATATATGAAAAATTTAGAAACTAATATAGAAACAAAACCAATTAATAAAACATTAATGGAAACCATTCAATTTCCAAATAATTTTAAATAATTGAAAAACTAATTACCTAAGGTATTAATTATTAAATAAATTACAGTCAAACTATGATGAAGTCAATCCGAATATCAGTGCAGATAGAGTTTAAGATAATAAATCTACAGATAAATCTACTAGTCCATTTAGATATCCTTAAAGTTAAAATCTTCCGATTTCTGAATCTAGAGTTAGTCAAAGTTAAGTTAATGTAATACAAGCATAATAATAATCTCCTTAATAAATTAAAAACAATTCTATTATGGATAAAAATCATAGTTCTGTTTAACAATCTTAAGTATAAGTTAGATAATCATCATTAAATAATAAAACAGAAAAGCCTTAGTCTGCTTAAATAAATTAAAGATAAAATCCATATGAGAGAGCTCATGAATTGAAAGAATAAAGAGAAAGAGAAATAAGACAATAAAGAGAAAAAGATTAATTATTAAGAGATAAAAGAGAAAGAGATGCTAGAGATGCTAAACTTGCTAAAGAAGCTAAAGAAGCTAAAGAGGCTAAAGAGAAATAAATTTAAGAAGCTAAACTTAGAGAGAGCAGAGAATAATAAAGACTTTTAATGGAAAAATAATAAAGAGAATAACATGAATAATAATAATAATTTAGACGAGTATCACCTATATCTGCTTAACCTAGAGATTATTCTTATGCAAATTATATTAATTAATAATAACCTAGAAATCAAAACTCTTATTCTCCAATCACCAGATCAATGGAACAATAAAATATATAAATTGGATATAAGTATTAATTTAATCTATATATAGTGGTTAAAGAGCTAATTATGGAAATTAAATATAACAAAGACCAATTAATAGCTAATCTATTAACATTAATTAAAATTATTCAAATCAATATAACAGGCCCTATCATTAAGAAATTTCATAACATAGACCTTCATAAACTCCATAATCAGCTGCTCCTAGATAATAATATAGTCCTTATTAAAAACCTATTACTGAAAGGTATCCTGCTCATCCCTAATCTGCTTTACCTTCTTCTAATGTTAGGGAATCTTAAAAAACTGAAAGGCCTTAAGTATTCCCAACTTAAGCCAAAGTCATTAAATAAAGATAATCAGATTATAATCAAAAAAAAGAATTTTCATCTCCCAATTAATAAGCTATTAGACCTGCTGGAAAACCTTCAAGGCCTTAATCAAATAATATTTTTTAATAAAATGATAGAATTATTAAGTCAGAGTCAAGACCTTAGAATAACTTTATTACAGGGAATTATAATCACTATTACCCTATTGATAATTATTAAAGGCATGCCTCTGATCAAAACTTAATAAAATATTAGTAAAAATTTACTCTATTGTAGACTTCGTTAACAGGATAGATAAGTGTTACTACGACAATAGATTAATAATAGAAAATACTGAGTTTTGAATTATATTACTCAAGTTAAAGAAATTATCGTTTTTAAATTTATTATAATATTATTCTTAAAATAGTATGTTCAGAAAATATAGTTTCTCTGAAGATATTGTGGATAACGATTTCAGCAGAGATTGGAATTGGGATCATTTTATATAAGATTCTAATTCAAAAGTTAATAAAAAAAGAACATCGTATTTTACTCAAGAAGAAGATGATCTATTATGTCAATAGGTTGCATCAATAGGGAGAAAATGGAAGAAAATAGCTTCTAAATTTTCAAATAAATCAGATAGAATGTTAAGAAATAGATTTATCAAATTACAACAATAATCAGATACAAGTATTTTCTAATCTTATTCATTAAGCTGATGCCATTTCATCCCCTAAATTAGAATTAAGCAGTCATGAAGAAAAAATATAAAAAAAATGCAAAATTAATGAACAATAATTATTAATCTAAGTAAAATAGTTAAAGTCAATAAAACAAAAAATTGATCTTATTTCTATTCTCGTATCACAAACTAAAATAGAATTGATAAATTTATTAATTTCTCCTACTTAATGATTATCAAAATCAACTTTAAAATGAATGAAATTTATTTATTTCAAAAGACTAAACATTTTTTAATTCTAAATTTAGATCAATTTTAATAAAATTAGCTTAATGAATTTTATTTCTCATGTAATATAAAAAAATTTATTTATTTACTTAAGGTTCAATTAAGATTAAAAACTTTCAAATCTTAAATTTGTAATTCCATCTTTAAATTTAACTTTTATTTAAATATATTTACTTTTTACAATTAAAAATATGCAGAATGGTTTCCATAATAATCTTTAATTTACAAAATTTAATATTCTTAAGAAAATTATAATATTAATCTTAAAAACTATAAAATAATTTTATTGATACTGATAAATATTAGTTTAGCTTTTTAAAGTATCAATAAATTATATATATAATCATATAGATTTAAAATTTCTATTTTAGAGAAACTTTAGTAATGGCCACCTCAGTGATTTTTATTATTAATTATATTTTTGAAATGAATTCAATATCCTAGTAAGACTCTAATTTATAATAAATCAATGAAAATGTTTTCTTAAATTTTCAAATAAATTAATTAATAGGATATATGAATTTAATTTACTTGATTTTATTTTATTAAATTGGCATTGCAATCATTATATAAAGATTAAAAAAAATATAAAAATTTTTTGACTCAACCTTCCGTAACTTGATTACTGAATAACAATGGAGATGTCTTTAATTTAAAAAGTTTCCCCATTCTTTATTGTAATTAACATTCATTCATTTTTTGAATGAATTCAATATCATGTAATTAACCTTTTTTACTCTCAATAGTCTCTTGAATAATCTCATTTTTTCCTTATTAACTTTTTTATCCATTAAGTATTATATTTGCAGCCCTGAGTTTTTAAATAGAGGTTTAAAACTTAGTTTTTTTTAAGAAGTTTATTTGTTTTTTCAAATCAAAATGTTCTAAATATGGCTTTAGTATAAGTTACTTTTTCTTGGCTATAAGTATTTATTCAGATGCTGTGGTGTTAAAAGTCCTTGTTATACAGCTTTTTTTTCCATCTAGTAGCTCTGATAGATGCGATTAACAAACTTTCTTTATTCTCCTTTCTTTAAACAAGGTAATGTATTATCAAAATTAGATGTATGTTCTGAAGAGGTATACAAATTTCTACCAGCTTAATGAATGTCTTAGATTAAAGTACTCAATTTAATAGATTAATAAGTCTTAAATGGTTCGAAAGATAAGCAATTTTTATTTCTCATATATTATAATAATTTATATCTGAAACTTCGTAAAATTTATAGCAACATCGCACATCTTAATTTAGTAGGTTATTGTAATTGATAAAATCAAAGTAAATTAAGAAAATGGTTATAACCAAGAGATTTTTACAAACCTAAACGATTTTGCTGTTGAAAAGGTTCAATGTTAACTCAATTTAAGAATCTTTATTTTGATAAATTATTTCTTTAATTTCTTATAAAAGGGTTGTATAATAATTTTAGATTTACAGATATTAAACATCAAGAATAATAGTACAATTTATATTGTGAAATTATTTTAAAAATCTAAAATCATTAAGATTTCTTATTTTAAAGAACATAAAAGAGGAATTTTGGATTATATTAGTAATTAATGATTATTAATTAATTAAATTATAAAAAATGTTTGATTCATCTATTGAAGTTCAAATAAGTAAAGTAATGCTATCAACATTTAAAATTTACATTCCAATAAACCATAATCCTAATGAAAAAATTACAATTTTATATGAGAATATAGGAAAATAGAATTTGAAAGAGGTTTGGAGATTATAATTTTTGAATTAAAATGTAGATTTACTAATGAGATAAACTTATGATTAGTTGTTCTATATAAATTAAAATAGAATTCTTATATTGAAAGACTCAAATTTAATAACTTATAATCTTTAAGAAAAAATAGAGGTAGATTCTTCAATATAAATTGAAAAAGGAGAATATAATCATTTTTCTATATAGAATAATGGACAAGATCAATTCTTATTTTTTTTAAGCAAATAGAGTATAAATGCTGAATAGCAACAAAATGTAGGTCAATATACTATGAAAATTTATGATATTCAGAAATTGGAATTGTTATAGGAGGTTAAATTTTCAGCATCTGTAAGATCTTTAGTGGTTTCTCCAATAAGTAGATAGAGATGCTTTATGATGAATCCTAACTCTCCAACAAATAAAACAGTATAATTTATAATTTATGATGAAAATTAAGTTTAGAGAAAAATAATATAAGTAAAAGAGACAAAGAATGAATTAAGAGGAACAATAGTTAAAGTACTTAATGTAATTAAAATATTTAGTATTTTAGTATTTTGATGATTTAATATTTGTATATAATTCTAATGGAGTTAGTAAATAATATCTTCTTTTTTATTGCATAGAGAATGGTAATGAGTATCTACATGAATTGGACATATAGTATTCATTTTAAATAAGAGATGCTTAAATTAAAGATAATATAATTCTGATAAATTGCTTTAATAATGAATTAAATAGTGAGAATGCGTTTTTCTATGATATTTAAGAGAAGAAAGTAAAATTGATATCAAGTGGTGAAATAAATTATTTTTACAGTAAGAATGTTATCATTCAACATAATAATGAGAGTATAAATTTGTAATTAATGGCAACACCATAAATGATGATGACTCATTATATTGATAAAATTGATTATGATTAATTTATTAAATAAGAATTAAGTGAGTTTTGATAATTAAAATAATTTATTTTAAATGGCAACTTAAATCAAGGAGCCACTTTTGAATGAAGAAGCCTAAACTGATTTTGGGATGACAGCAAAAGAGTTGTCGTAAGATTTTTAATTAGATTTTAAGTTAAATGTTTATTCCTGATAATATAAGAGATGGTTCAAGTATAGAAATGTTATCTAGATTTGGAAAGGTTTAAGGATTAATATAAAAATTAAAGACAGATCCAAAAGTAATAAAGTTGAATAAATTGTTAGAAAGGATTAGATGGAACAAATATTAATGATATGGAATTGAGAGTTAAAAAGTATAATAATTGTAGATTTAAATTAGTTTTGGAGATAACAAACCAGATGTAAAAGAACCAAAAAGTTTAATAGAATATGTATAAATAAATAAAGACTAAATAGATACTTGAAAATTTTGAGGATTAAATGTTAAGAATATTATGTTTAGCAGCAGCAGTAAATTTGATAATAGGTGTATGGACTGAAGGTTGGAAAGAAGTAAATTATACATTTTTAACAAAATCAAGGGATGGATGGATGGAATGGCAATATTTATAGCAGTAATAATTATTGTATCTGTTACAGCTGGGAATAATTATGTGAAAGATTAACAATTTAGAAAATTAAATGCTATAGCAGAAAATAGGAATGTAAATGTTAAGAGGGCAGCTAAAATTGTTAGTCTTAATATATATGAATTGGTTGTTGGAGATATTATGATTGTAGATACTGGAGAAAAAATGCCTGTTGATGGATTAGTTCTAGAATCAAGTGAATTAACAGCAGATGAATCATCTGTTACTGGAGAAACTAAACCTATTAAAAAAATTGTTCCACAATCTTATGAAAAACTTAATTAAAAAGAAAATGCTAATTCATTTTTAATTAGTGGATCATCAATTATAGATGGCACTGGCGAAATCCTTGTTTTAGCTGTGGGAGAAAATTCTTAGTGGGGTATTTCCAAAAAACTATTGACATAATAAACCAAAGATGATAAAACTCCATTATAAGAGAAACTTGGAATATTAGCTGATTAAATTGGTCAATATGGATTAGGAGCAGCTATTGTAACTTTTCTTGCAATGTCACTTCATTTATTATTTGACGCTGTTTTTAATGATTATCCTTTATTTTCTGCTCATGCTATAAAAGAGATTTTAAATTTTTTTATAGTTTCTGTCACAATTATAGTAGTGGCTGTTCCAGAAGGGTTGCCATTAGCAGTGACAATAGCATTGGCTTATTCAGTTGGAAAGATGAAAGATGAAAAGAATCTGGTTAGATATTTATCTGCTTGTGAGACAATGGGAGGAGCAAATAATATCTGTAGTGACAAAACAGGGACTTTAACAGAGAATAAAATGGCTGTCACAAATTTATATATTGAAGACAAAGATTTTAATATATTAGATACAAAATTAATAAAAAGTTCAACATTATCCTTATTATGTGAAGGCATATGTTTGAATTCAATGGCACATCCATAAATAAATGAAAACGGTAAGTTTGAACATATAGGTAATAAGACAGAATGTGCTTTATTAGAAATGGCTTATAAATTTGGATACGATTTTAGATAGATAAGATAGAATATGGGAGAAAAAATAAAAAAGAAATTTCCTTTTAATTCTGAAAAAAAAAAGATGACAATCGTACTTGATTTATAAGGAAATAGAACCTAGTTTACAATTTTTACAAAGGGAGCTCCTGATATGCTTTTGGATAAATGTACTCATTATATAAATAGTGAAGGAAGACCAGTAGTGTACAATAAATAAATTAATTAATAGAATTACAAATGATTACAAGTAGAAAGTGAATGCAGTAATAAAAAATTATGCTTCATAATCACTAAGATCAATTCTTTTACTGTATAGAGAGACAATGTTATAAGGAAGACCAACAAAGACAGAGGATTTTAATAATATTGAAGATTTAATTGATAAATCATATACAATTATTGGAATTACAGGATTGTAAGATCCTTTAAAATAAGGTATAGTAAAAGCAGTTTAGTAATGTAAGGAAGCAGGTGTAATAGTAAGAATGGTAACTGGAGATAATTTTGATACAGCTGTAGCCATATCTAAATAAGCAGGAATATTGTCTTAAAATTATGAAAATCATGAAGATTCTCTAGCTGTTTTGGAAGGCAAAACCTTTAGATAAATGATTGAAGGTTTGATATATGAGAAATAAGGAGATCAAGATATTCCTAAAGTTAAAAATCTTTAAAATTTTACAATAATTGCTAATGAATTAAGAGTATTGGCAAGATCTTCTCCTGAAGATAAATTTTTATTAGTAACAGGTTTAAAATAGCTTGATAATGTTGTTGCTGTAACAGGAGATGGAACAAACGATGCTCCAGCTTTAAAAAAAGCAGATGTTGGTTTTGCTATGGGTATTTAAGGAACAGAAGTAGCAAAAGAAGCAGCAGGTATCATACTTTTAGATGACAATTTTGCATCTATTGTAACTGCTATGAAATGGGGTAGAAATATATTTGATTGTATCAGAAAATTCCTTGTTTTTTAAGTGACTGTCAATGTAGTTGCTGTCTCAATGGCGTTTTTAGGTGGAGTCTTTTTAAAAGAATCTCCTTTAACAAGTATTTAAATGTTATGGGTTAATCTAATTATGGATACACTTGCATCTCTTGCTTTAGCCACTGAACCACCTAATGATGAATTACTCACTCGTAGACCATATGCTCGAAAAGAACATATGATTACACCTGGAATGTGGAGAACTATATTATGTTAAGCTGCTTTCTAATTGTTTGTTCTACTCATCATATTATTCAAAGGTGATTCAATATTTTAAATCCCATCTAGTAGAGGACATAGACTTGATGAATAATACAAGTAACAATCTCATTTATTTTAGTCCCATCTATTAATAACATTATACTATATTCTTTCATGTCTTTGTATTTCTATAAGTCTTTAATGAAATCAATGCAAGGAAATTAAAAAGAACTGAATTGAATGTTTTTCAAGGCTTCTTTAACAATTGGCTTTTTCTATCTGTTATCGTAGGAACCATTCTTGTCTAAATCATTATTGTGTACACTGTTTATCATTATTCTTATAGTTAATTCGGAGGTAAAGCTGTTAAAGTCACTCCTTTAAATTTCTCTCATCATTTCATCTGTGTTCTTATTGGTATGTCTAGTTTAGTTATTGGTTATTTGATTAAACAAATTCCTGATTAATACTTTTAATCTATTGAATTATTCAGAGAATAAGTACTTATTGATGCTGATCCTAATTCTATTCAAGTATTAAACTTTATCCTATTCAGGGCAAATTCAAAAGACCTTCTACATTTTTGAGAAAAAAAAGGCAACTTGAGAATAAGCAAACCAACAAGACTTTTTCAGAAATTGAATTGAAAAATGGACAATTCGGCTTTTAAATAAAATGAATTTTAAAATATGTTAAGTTTAATATTTAATTAAATAACTAATAATATCAATAATCCAAAAATGATTTCTACTTCACGTACTTTATAAACGATTGAGTTAACAACGTTTAATCACTATAAATATAAAATGAGAGTTTATTTTAATATAAATGTTGAGCCGAGAATAGATCCATCATTGAAGGAAATATATTTATTACTTATTTTGATGTTAAGTTCTTTTAGCAATTGATATATTAAAATTCCTACACTGCATTATAGGGTCCTATTTTCTTAAGTAAAAAATTAGTGATAGGATAGATTAATAGGAATTCTTAATTATTATTGAATTGAAAATCTTCAAAAGTTTAAGGATTTAAAATTAATTAATTTTTTGGCTATAATTCGATTTATTTTTCACTTAAAAAAGAAAACTCAAATTTTATTAGCTTCTAAACTTCTGTTTTTGTTGGACTTTCTTCTGATTCAACTGCAACTTTTTATATAAAATCAAATTCTTGAATACTGCATCTTTCTTATTGATTATTTTCTTATCTTAAAGGATTCAAATTAGCTTCAGTTGTAATAGTTAATTCTATAGTTGTATTTACATCTGCCTATGACAAACATTATTCAAAAATGTTTACTATTATTTAAGAAAGAAATTTAGAATTTATTTTAATATTGAACTCTTCTATATTCATTTATATAACAAATATTTTTTTTGATGCATTCGACATATATGAAAAGTAGGGTTCTAAATTATTTATGAATTTTTTTAAATTAACAACCTTGTAATTAACTGATTCATTATCTATTTTACAAGAGTTTACAAAATAGTAAAAATTTTGAAATTAATTCATAATAGATAAATTTAAACATAAAATAGATCGAATTCTCTCATTATCTAATGTAGTACTATTAAGAGTTTATATAGAACTAGATAGCTGAGAAAGTGATGCAAATAATTAGTTTGTCACAAATATGACTATTTTATTTAAAAATTTGATTTATTCTTCACTTTTTGACATCATTTGCTATGGCTTCTCTTCTTTTAAAACGAATAATAAGTAATTTTTTCCATAACTCAATTATCTGATATCTATATTTAGAATACTTGTTTTTTATTTCTAATTATCAAAATAAACGCCATCTAATTACTCTATAATCTTTAAATCATCATTAATTATTTATAAGTTCTGTTTAATTTTATAAAACGAATATTCTTCCAATGTTTATCTTTTCATTTAAACTTTTTTTGTTGAAATATCTCCTGATTTACACATTTGAATCTAAGATAAATCAATAATTGTATTTATTTAACTCTTATGTCCAACATAAATATTTCTCAAAATATCTATCATTGATTTTGTATCTTCAATATTAAATTAAGCTTTGCCTTGCTAATTTACGAATTCCAATTAAAACTAATTATTATGTTGATTCAAACTAATTGCAAAGAAACAATTAGGTACATATTCATCAAGTATTTCTCTAGTATAAAACTATTATGGATTACTTCAATTTAATATTATAATGCATATGAGAAAAGGCTAAGCGATACATGAATTCATTATAATGGGAATATACAATTACTAAAAACTAAGAAGTAAACACAAGGATTATATAAGAAAAATCTTAGGAAGTAAGTGCATCCATTATATATAATTAAACTGTTGGAACAAGTACAAATGCTAATATTCTTAAGCGAAAGTTGCTAAACAGATACTAGATAACTGAAATTGATCCACTATAAAAACCATATAAATAAAGAGCTCTAAAAAAATGAAAACTACTAATTACTTTTATTTAGTCTATGTGGCGACGTATACACTTATGGTAATAGAAATCAAATATGTAAAAAAGTAATAATATCTTATCTTTTTGTCAAATTTTTGGGTAATTATCAGGACACCTAGGATGAAAGCACCTGAAACTGCCAAAGTGATAATTAAAAAAACATGTTGTCCATCAATCAAATATATAGTGAAAAAATAAAAGCATAAAAGCATAATGACTATTTCTATGATTCGAAAGTATTGCAGTCTGTATTTACTCATCTCAATTTCATATAAATCTTCATATTCTTTATTATCAAATGTCAAGGTCCATCGATTAAAAAGTAATTTATTCATAATTATATCAGCTATTTGAAGAATTTAATATAAAAATAACTCAAACTATCTTGAATTTTCTATACTCTAATTTGCAGTTTCTTAGCAAAAATAGTACTTTTTAATTGTTTAGTTATTAGTACTTAAAGAAATCAAAAAGTACAAAAAGTTATAGTAATACAATTAATTTGCCATTTTTACATTTAGTAATCAAATGTCAATAATGTTGAAATCATTCTCAGATTTAATTGATATAATATACGGTTTAAGTTCAAATAAAAAATTGATTAAATTTTATTTAAAAATGAAGTTAATAGGATTAATGATTGATTTGCTTAAAACGAGTAATATAATAAAATAAAAAATGAGAAATTCAAATTAAAAATACTAATAGATTGAATAAATGAAAATAAAATAGATACAGAAAATATCGAGAAAGAGAGAAATAAATAAAGAATAATTTAGATTAGTAAAATGAAATTCAAGTGCAAAAAAGTTTTGAAAAAATCTGCACAAAAAATGAAGGAATATTATATAATAAATTGATATGAATTATTGAAAATTATATTTAAATAGAAATAATAGATAATTGATTATAATATAAATATAATAATTTAATGAGTGATATATTAATAGATGATCGTATTAGAGACTGGGTGTTCTTGCCAATAATAATAGTGATGTTTATGATTCAAATGTTTAGAGGATTATTAACAAAATATATGGATAATAGGAAAACAGCGCAAAAAGTAACATCAAAAGCTTAAGTTGCTGAGATGATTGATAAGTACATAGAGTAGACAACATAATTAGAAATATAACTTAATAATCATAAAGATTAGCTAGACTACATGGACTATTACCGGATTAATCATTTAAAATGAAAAGAGCTTATTTATGTGATCATGAATAAGGAATATTAACAAAAGCAAGTTAAAAGCCAGCAAAAGATCCAATGTAATCAATGTCAATGATGAATCCAGTAGCTATGGCAGATATGCTAAAATAGAATTTAAGTGGAATAGTATTTATGGCATTACAATATTAATGGGTTTCTTATTTTTTTTCTGGTTTTGTGATTGGTAAGGTTCCATTTCCTTTGACTTAAAAATTTAGAACAATGTTGTAAAGAGGAGTAGATGTTCAAAATTTAGATGTTAGATATATTAGTAGTATCAGTATATACTTTGTATTGTTATTTGGTGGTTTATAAAAGATTTAATAATTAATGTTCGGTGACGATACTGATGAATTTGTTGATGGTAACAAATATTAAGTGATTATTATATTTAGATACTTAAATGTAAATGTAAATGTAAATGATGGGAATGCCAACAATGCCATCATTTGGATAATAAAATGATCCAGGAAAATTGTTTATAGCTGAAAGAAGTAATAATTATTATTAATTAATTAGCTCGTTTAGAGGGAGTTAAACATACATTTGAATTAAATAAATCATCAGATAAAGCTTTGAAATCATTAAAGAGATTTTTAATATAATGAGTACAATAAATTGTTATTTATTATTTTGATAAACCATTCCAATATTTGTCCTATTTAAGTTACCTAAGAGTTACCACATCAATTTTATTATCTATTAAATGAATACTAAACATCCAATTGAACTTCTCAAGAAAAAGGTTAATGCTGATTCTATTTCTTATAAATTCAAATGGAATAACAATTCAGTTTCTATTGAACCATTTACTCAATTAACATAAGAAATGTTAATCTTAGTCAATAATTATGAATTAAGACAACTAGGATATGATCCATAAGAACCTAAACCATCTAAACATATTAAATAAGATACTGAAAATGGAAAATAACTTGAAGAAAAAAGAGAAAGAAGACATAGTGAAAAAAGTGATAAAACATTAGATAAACCTTCTTAAAAACAAAAATAATCTAAAGATACTGATAGTATTTAAGCTAATATTAATTCTGTTTCCATTACTTCTCATAAACCCAGAAAATCAAAACCTTGTTAGGTCAAATCTGTTAAACATGATAATGGAAAAATTGAATTCTTAGTTTGTTTTGATGATTCAACTGAAACCAAATGGGTAACATTAGATGAAATGAAAGAAAAAGCACCTTTAGCAATTTGTGAATTTTTATTAGGAAAAGTCAAGTATGGAGCAGGAGCAGCATCTAATAATAAAAAATGATAAGAAATATTAATTATTATTATATTAATTATGGGACATAGATTATCTGATCCTAAACGATTTGGATTAGCCAGAACATCTAAATAAAGATGGCATTTATGGAGAACACAAATGACCTAATTAGTCACTCATGAACGTATCTATACTACTTGGGCAAAAGCTAGAGCTCTATAATTCCTTGCTCATAAAACATTCAAATTAGGATAAGATGCTAGCAAAAATAGAGGCAATGCTATTAATCGATTAATGGGTATTTTAACTATCTATACATTTTAGGTATTTTAACAACTAGATTTGCTATCAAAAAACTAATTAATGAAATTGTACCTAAATTTAAAGATCCGAAAGAATAAGTCTTCAAAGTTGTTGAAATTAATAGAAGAAAAAGTGATTTTGCCAGAATGGGATATATTGAGTTTACCAAAAATGAAATTGCCAAATATGAAGAATCATAACAAAAGTAATTATAAGAATAAGGTAAAATTGTGGATATAAGTAAATATAACAAAACATGGTTAACAGAAGAAAGAGACTTCATAAAAGAGAAATTAGATTAAGCTCAATCTAGATTTGATGCTCTTTAAGCGGATCCTAACACTCCCAGTACTGAATTGAAAAGAGCCGATTAGGATGTTAAATTTTTCAAACGCAAACTAGAAACCGTTGAAAAGGACTTGTGGATTGAAAATAAGAATCCATTAGATATGAGAAGATATTTCAGAATTTATTGATATATGGAGATGCATTATTCCTATCAACCAATCTTGCAAAATCCATATTTCTTCTATAGAAATTAGGTCTTTTTTAATTATAATGTACTTCAAATATAAGTATGTTTATGTTGCCTTCTAATCATCTATATGATATTAAGATGATGGTCTTTATCTATTAAACGACATTTTAGAATAGTTGACATAGCAAATTGTCTTAGGTTTGGGAGGATCACAATTCAAATCATGTATAATAGCTTAAGTGTGCAAAGATTTTCTTTTAGTTTGCTTATCAAGTGGTATATGTTTTTTCGTTGGCTCCCATGGAATGACAAAATTAGTAGCTTACTGTAATTTAATATCTTTTTATTCATCGAATATTGTAACTCTTTATCTACAGTTAATAGAAACTGAAGGAGTTCTTGGTCGTATGCATTTCCAAAATTCATCTTATAATTTTTCAACCTTATTTCTGAATCTGGAAGTAGCTGAATGCTCTCTCTTAGCAGTTGTATGAAAATGTTAATGAAAGGTTTGTAAATTAGCTATCTATTCTTCAACCTTTATAGATTCAACAGGTCCATCTACTTTTAAGATTTAGCCTAACGATTTATCAAGAAGAATTTATCGAATTTTTGATTTTTCAATCATTATAATTAATATTATATACTAATATACTATGATTATTTATAAAACAATCCTATTATTTATATTTGAAAATCAATTAATATCTAATGGATTTGATTTTGAGTAAGAAATATTTATTAATGAATTTAAATTTTAAAATATTTATTCATTTGATAGTGATATCAACAAAGTTTATTCTATTTTAATCTACAATTACCATTATAAGTTTATCTTAATTTTTAATTAGTTGTATTCTAGGTTTAAGTCTTAAAAATATAAAAATGAAATTACTTAGATGAAAGTGGGATAATACCATCAATTATCAATTCTTTTTATTAAATATCATATTGTCCATAATCTCTTCTTTATATTCTATATTACATACATTAACCATTTTCAACAGGTATACAAATAGCATATGTTATTTAACTTGATGTAAATTCCATTAAAACAACATCAACATCATTGCCCTATAAAATTTCATCCTTATTTATGTTACATACCTTAACACCATTACTAGAAGCAATCAATATTTCATTTGCAGATAATGGTATCATAGTTTAACTGCATGGTATTGTATTGGCATTTACTCTTATTAATTGTTTCTACTTCTCATTTACTTAAATAATAGAGGCTCCCTATTCTCCAGCAATATAAACACAAAATAATTCTCCTGGTTTAATCAAAGCCATTTTATATTTTTTTAATCTACCTGAGATTCTTTGGTTTACAAGGGTTAAAAATAATTCTAATTTTGTTGTTATATTTTTATATCCCAATCTACCATCAGAATCAATAAATGCAAATGAATTATTTTATAAATCTAAACCTGCTAATATAGGTTTATTTGATAATGAATATTAATCTTATATTTTTGCAGTCTATCCTTAAAATATCCAATGATAAATTTAACCATCATCTGAACCTGTTATAAATGTATTTGATGATAAAGATTCTATCCAATTTATTTATTAAGTGTGTCCATCAAAAGCCAATAATGATTTCTTATCAGTATCAAATACTCTCATTTTTAAATCATTTTAACTTATCATAACAAATGTTGATTTTGATAATCCTATAACTGCTCCAATCATAAAATCTAAAGTAAATTTTCTATTCAATTTTACATGAGGCCATTCTCTTTTTTGAGGATCTAAAGCCCTACTAAATTTACAATATATTCCAGATTTACTAATTACTATTGAATCTGAAAGTCCATAATTCTCTCTTTAAATTGGTTGGGATTATGGAGAATTCAATTAATAGTTTTATGAATTATTTGAATATTATTATACTAATTAAGGAGGTTATGGAATCCGATCTATATTTGAACACCAACCTAAAAAATAATTTTATAAGGGTTCTTATAATGATGTTAATAATCTTTATTAATCAGATTCAAAAATCTTTGGTGATTCATTTGCCTATAATAATTTTGAGAATAAATCTTATAGTGTATCTAAACTTGTATTATCAATTAATTTTAATTTTCTCAAATATTCCTCTGAATTATCACCTTATTATCCTAATTTACAAGTTAGAGCCATAGGAGTTGATAAAAAGTAATTAGCTGCAGCAAAGAATCTAGAATTAAATTACTTTCTAGTTGATAAAAATAAGGATTCATAGTCTGAATAAACTTAGTCTAACTTTTTAAAAACATTGTCTTTTATTGTTTATAAATGTAATTAGAATTATTCTACTATGAATGTCATATCTTAAGCCACCAAAGTCTTTTAAGTATCAATATTATCTTTCACTTTCTTTAGATGATGTTTATTATCTTAAATATATTTATATACTTTTAGATTATCATCATTATTCAGAAATTATTCCAATTATGTTTTATTTTATTGTGTAGCCTAATAAATAGATTAACTAAATTCAGCAATGAATTATTTTATTCCCAATACATTATTATTGTGTTCCATATGAGCATCCTCATTCATACATTATTAACACAGAAGTATTTTTTTTCTTTTACAATTCTTTTCTACACACCCTTTCACAATTAATCCTTATTTATGATCTTTACAACGTAATGTTACCTAAAATGCTGAAGGTTGAAGCAAATCTTCTTGCATTCTAAAAATTAATCAATTTAATTAAAAAGAATCTATTCTTTTATTGATTTGACAATATTATACCATCTAACAAAATCACATTAATTATATTATGCCTATTATTTATACTCTTAATTTAAGTTCTCATCATTTTCTATAAATTATTTATACCCCTTTATAAGAATTCATACAATATTGAACTCATTTTTTCATAGCTTATTATTCTTAAGACTTTGAAAAAATATCATACTATTTATATATTCAATTAAGAGTGACTGAAGTAATCAAAATAAATTGATTAACATCAGAACTTATACAAAGAGAATATATATTAATTTATTAACGGTTATATCCTAAAAAGACTTAAAAATGAATTACTATATAGAAAGCTAAATGTAAAAAATGAGTTAACTACTGGAGTAAAAACAATAAGAGATCAATAAATTGAAAACATAAGTTGAAAAATATTCAAACTATGATCAGTATAAAATATGTTCTATTTCAGATAATTAGAAGAGCTAAATCAGAATATTATGTAGTTAAACTATTAATTTCAATAACAAGAATAGACTCATAAAGAGTAGATATATTTTATGTAACGAGAATTAGCATTTGCAGAAGATGAAATACGAAATTTGCAAGTATTTCTTTTAATGTTTTTATTAGAGAACAAGGGGTTAAAATGAATAATAATAGATAGCTTCACTTCTAAAGGAATTATCTGAAATTAAATAAGAAAACAATCAACTTAAGATAGAATTATTAAAACAATAATAAAAGCCACGAACAAATTCCATACAAGAAAGCACTATAAATGAAGTTAAAGTAAATATATAGAATTTAATAATTATATAGAGACTCTCTCCACATATGAGAGTACATAATTGCAGTTTTACAAGCCCTTCTTAGAATATTACAAAAGAGAGAAGAATTCCTTCCCTTCCTGATGTTAGTTCAAATCGTTTATCAATTAATAAGACATCATTCCATAATTTAACATAAAATCAAGCTTATTCTAAAAAACCTCCTCTTTAATAAATACATAATATCAGTCCTAAGAAATAATTATTATTTGTTCGTCAATGATTATAAATCTATATATGAATTATTAACTTTGATAATTTAATTTATAATTAATGAGTAGTTTTAATACGAAATTGAATTTCTTATAGTCAGAAATTAAGTTACTATCAGATGAAAATACAGAACTTAGACAACTTCTTTAATTAAATAAATAAATTCTAAAAATTCAAGGTGAATTTGGAAGCACAAATATTGTAATTTAATAATTGAATTCAGTCACTACCTAGTGTTCCTTAGTTATCTATAGATGTATGCAAGACCGAAGGTAACTTTTAAAATGATAAATAATTTATAATTTCTAATTTGATTGATGAAAATTCTAAATTATTGTCTATTAATTAAGAATTAAGAGAATAGAGAGATCATTTAAGAGCTTAAGTAAATCATTATTTTATTTAGAATTTACTCTTATAATAAATTGAAATAGAAAATTCTTAAAGAATTCTTGATATATAGACTGAAAAACATTAGAAATTCATAGATTTATAAAATTAAATTCTAGGAAAAGATAAGTAAATCTAAGAATTGAGTGATTAATTATAAAACATTCTTTCTAGAAAACGTCTTAAAACCAAAATCGTAATTATTTAGACAATAAAATAAGCATATACCTTTATAAAGTGAGTATTTATTATTTCAGAATCAGCTTGAATCAATGAGTAAAGTTCTCAGTCAATATTATCAAGAAAATAAATTATTTAAGTAAGAAAATAAGAAAATTTCATTATTATTGGATTTATTAACAACAGATAAGAACACAGAAAATAAATTGAATTCAGAATAAAGTCCTGGTATAAATGATTCTAGTTATTTGGATTCATTTCCTTTAAAAGTAAAGTAAACATTAAATCTTAATTAATAAATCACAGTTCCAAAACTTAATATTAACAAAGCTTAAAAGATTTAATAGTTAAATGTAGAGAAACAATAAGAATCTGAAGAATAATAGCTTCCTTTAGAACAATTTTTAACAGTAGATAAAAAGATTTATCCTCAAATAAAGGCTTAAACTCCTAGTTAAGTTAGAGAAGGACAATTTATTAGTCCTAATAAATTATTAATTTAATTGACTTCTTTGGCAGATCAAAATAAAACATTATCTAAATAACTAAACTAATATAAATAAAAACTACAAGATGAATTATTATTAACAAAATCACTAGAAAATAAATTGGATGAAGTATATCGATATGTATTAGAACTAGAAAAAACAAATGAAATTTTAATCAGTTCATAATTGAAACTTACAAATACAGTTTAGAAATTAAAAGAGTTGATTTGTAAAGAAAAGAAAGAAGAACTTCGAAGTAAACATACATATAATTTATCTCTTTAAAATGAAAGAGATTTTGAAAAAAAATCAAAGTAAAGAAGTAATTCTGTATACTGATTTATGATTATTAATAATGTATATGAGAAAAAAACCAACTTAAAAAATAATTGTAAATCGTGGTATTTCTTAAATAAGAAATGCTTCAGACTAAGAAGAGACAGAGTAATTACCATTGATAAAACCTAAGTCAGTAACTAGAAGTTCAAAAAAGAATTTTGAGATAAAGAAAGTTAGAATAAAAGTTGCCATATCTGATGATAAATTGGAAATAAACAATAAATAAAACAAATTAAATCCAATAAAATAAGAGGAATCTCCTTAATTGAGTGATAGAAATTAATCTCCTTCATCTAGTTTTAAAAAAACAAAAGAAGATAATAATAGATCGATATTAAGTATATTTAAAGTAATTGAAATATAGAAAAATCAATACATTAAGATTATGAAATTGATGATACTTTAGAAGATAACTTAGAGAGTTTTGTAAAATTGTATCATTCTATTGTTTGTTTAATGGATGCTATAAGAAAAGTAATTAACAATAATTTTATTTTTATTAGAACGTAAGTGATTTAGTCGATTAGATTAATAGATTTTTAGAAATTCTTGATGGAATACATTTTTGTCAGATTGAAAAATTATTGATTGAAAATACTAAGCAGTTTAGATAGATATTAGTATTAATTAAAATAGGGGTATTAAGTAACTAATTATTAGATTGTTGTTATAATTAATAGTTTTTTTGATTAGCATTTATACACAAGTAATATAGTGAATTTTAAAAATATATTGATATATAATTTACAAAACTATCTAATATTGGGAGATATGATATTATTGAAGACATAAAAATAAGAACTATAAAATATTATTAACTAAAACAAAAAGTATTTTGGGAGTAAAAAGGTCGATTCAAATACATAAATTAGATAAAATGTAGAATTGTTATCAGGATTATATAAATCTTTAACAAAATAGTCTAAAGATCTTTATTAATTTATATGTACTTACTTAAAACAAATACCATATCTTCGAATATTGGAATCTAATTTAGTGTTATAGAATTTTATATCTCTATATTTTACAATGTAATAAAGTTATCATGGTTTATTGGGAATTCCTTTAATTTGTGTTGCAAATAAACCATATTTACCAACAGAGGGGAGCCATGAATTTACTTTAATTTTAGATATGGATGAAACATTAATACATTTCATTGATTAGACAAAAAGTTTTTTAATAAGACCATACTTAGAGTAATTTTTATAGGAAATGAGTAAATATTATGAGATTGCAGTATTTACAGCAGGTTTACCTGATTATGCAAATTGGATATTGGATTAGGTAGATAAAAATAAATATATTTAATATCGTTTATATAGATAACATGCAATGCAATATCAAAATCATTTTGTTAAAGATTTATCTAGATTAGGTCGTAATTTAAAGAAAGTGATAATAGTAGATAATATTGCTGATAATTTTCAGCATTAACCAGAAAATGGCATCTTTATAAAAACATGGTTAAATGATTAAGATGACAAGGAATTATTAGAATTAAGTATTTTTTTAAAGAAATTGGTTGAAAATGGATGTGAAGATGTCAGAGAGGTTTTAAAATAATATAAAAGTTAATAATTGCCTCAAATCTGATACTAGTCTTATGTAATTAATAAAAATATCTTAATTATTAATAATTAATTATTTAAGAATGGCTTCCTTTAGACCATAGTCTTCATAAGCTGTTTCAGTCAGATCACCTAGTAGAAGTATGAATATATAATTTTAAGTCAGTTATTCCAATAGCATCTAATATGGGTCGTTCTTACGTAATTCCAGCAGCTTAAACTTTACCAACAACAGTAATAGTAAAAGAGAAGAATCAAGTTTCATATGATAAAGAAAGAGAAAATGATGATGAATATAAAGATGAATTAGAGTTGTGGAAAAAGAAATATTTTACATTAGAAGCTTAATTAGCTAAATATGATATAGAAAACGAAATCGTATTTTATTAATATGAATATTTAAGAAGGATGAATTACAATCAAGAATTATAGGTTCTTAAGAAGATGCTAAAAAGTTTTAAATAGATATGTCCAAAATTCAAATAGATATGGATAATCAAAGATCAGAAATGAATGATTTAATCATTGAAAATTAAAAATTACTGAATTAATAAGTAGAAGTAGAAAGACTATAAAAATTAGTTGCTGAAAGAGAACATACTATTGATGAAGTATCAATTAAATTTAATCATTAGTTATCTTAAAAGTGTTAAGAATATTAAAAATAATTATAAGAATTGGAAGTATTTCAATAAGAAATATAAGACATACATAACCAAAATGAAGGTAAAGATAGAATTTTAGAATAATGGAAATCAAAGTATTCTGAAAATGATTAAAAGAAATAAAAAGAAATTGATGAATTAAAATTAAAATTAGCAGAATTCAATCCAGCAGAAGTTTAAAGTCTTAAAAGCTAATTTGAAAGAGAGAGATAAGAATGGTAGAATAGTTAAAAAAAATTATAATAAGATTTGGCTGATGCTCTAAAATAATTAGATCAATGGAAAATCAAATATAATGTAACTATTAAAATTTATTTATTTTAGAATCTTGATATCCAACATTAATAACTTTCATCTGCATAAAAAGAGTCTGTTGCTAGAATTGATTCTTTAAATTAAGAATAAAATAAGTTAACAGTTTAAGTACATAAATTGAATGATGACAAATAAAAGTTATAAATTGAATTAGAAGCTACTAAAGGATAATTAAAATTGCATTCAGGATTGATTTCAGAATTAGATAGATTAAAAAAATTATTAACAGATAAAAGTTCAGAATTTTAATAATTATAATAATAATTATAATAAAAAGACATTGAACTTAATAATGCTGATTTAACAATCTCAGAATAAAATTAAAAGATTAAATCATTATCTTTATTATAATAAGAAAATTAAAGATTATCATAAGAATTAGATTAATAACATAGACTTAATGAATAATTAAATTAGAAAAATGCAGAATTATTGAAGAATCTTGATCGATTTAAACTTTTAGAAGAAGAGAAAATGTAATTAGAAAACAAAGTTAGTATGTTAGCATCAGAAATAGAAAGATTGAAAGTATAATTAAAATAGAAAAATGATAAAATTTTATAAATGTAAGAATAACTCAAAAGTTTGTAAGAATAATTAAATCGAATTGCAGATTTAGAAAATTAAAATGAAGATTTAATTCGTCAATTGGATTAAGCTAATCATACTATTGATGAATTAGAAAAGAAATTGTTAGTCATTACAGAACTTGAGCAAAAACTTTAAGATGCAAATAATAAAATATATGATTTAGAGAATAAAGTTGCAATGTTAAGTGCTGAATCTCAAAGATTAAGATATCTAAATGATTAGAAGACAGAATAATTAAAAATGGCTGAGTAATAGTTATCCGATCTCAATCTTCTTAAAGAATAATTAAATTAATTATAAAATAAATATGATGCATAACAATAAATGAACTAAAATTATTAAAATGAATTAGAAAAGCTTAGAGGATAAACAACTTAAGCTGATACTAATATTGCTGAATTAAGAAGATAATTAGATGAATAAAAAGCATAGAATATTGTTCATAAATAATCTAATTCTGAATAAGTAATTGCAGATTTATAATAATAATTAAGTTCCTTATAATAAAGTTATAAAAAAGTATCTGAATCAAATTTGGCAAATGAAGAAGATCCAACTTTAGATTTATAAAATAGATTAATATTATTAAAATAAGAAAATTAAAGATTGAATTAAACTGTTTAATAAAAGAACTAAGAAGTCTTAAATCATTAATAATAAAATTAATAATTATAAAAAGATTTATTGTCTTTTGATACTTTAAAAGTTCAAATTCAAGAATTACATGAATAAAATTCTGTTTTGTAAGAATAATTATAAAATGAATAAAAAGGTAGATAAGGTTTAGAATAAAGAATTTAATAATCAGAATAAGAAAAATATGATCTTTAAAGTAAATGTGCTATGCTTTCAACACACATTGAAGGAATGAAATATAAACTTGAAAAAATGGAGAATGTTGATGAACTTAAAAAATAAATTTAAGATTTATAAGCATAATTAGCTGAAATGGATGCATTAAGATTAGAAATTGATAGCTTAAATGAAAGAATAGCTGAATTAGAAAGAGAATTAAAATTATGGAAAACAAAACATGAATAATTGGATTAATAATATTAATAATTACTTCATATAAAAGAATAAATGGAAAATAAATTAGCTATGCTTTCATCTGAAATTGAAAGATTAAAAGTACTGAATTAAAAGAAATAAGGAGAAATTGATTAATAAAATTAAGAATTAATGAAAATGGATTAAGAATTAAATGATTTACATGCTTAATTAGAAGATATTAATGAATTAAAAACATAATTAAATTCCCTTGAAAACTAATTATAATAATAAATTGATGAAAATTAAAATAAATCTGCTGAAATTACTCATCTAAAATAATAAGTAGCTGAAATAGAGGGATTACTTGTTAATTAAGAAGATCTTTAGAATTAAATTAAGAAATTAGAAAAGGAATTATAATCAAGAGATGAAATCATAGAATAGTTCAAATAAAAAATGACTTAATTAGAAAGTAAAATAGCTGAACTTGAAGATATTAAAGTATTTTTTTTGTTTAATTAAATTAGTATAAATATGAAGATAAAATGGCTCTATTGAGCAGCGAAGTTAAAAGACATGAGTATAAAGCTAAGAAATTAGAAGAAAAATCTAATGATCTATAAGTTTAAGTTGAACATTTAACTCTTGATTTAAATGAAGCAGACTAAAAAATTGTGGAATTAGAAAAAGTATAATTTTATATTTAACATTTTAAGGATTTAGGACAATGGAAATTTGAATATTCTAAATTGAATAGTCTTCAATATAAAATAGATGAATACAGTTTCTTATTAGTGGTTTCATTTGCTGAAATTGAAGCTTTAAGATCATAAAACTCTTCATTAAATGAATAATTAGATAATCAATAAAAAACAAAAGTAGCCTTAGCCCTAGCAAATTGAGAAGTATAATAATAGATAAAAAATTTATAATTTCATTATAAATAATAAAAAATGTCTATAGTTTATTAAAAAATATCAATTAAATATATAAATGGAAAAACAATAAAATATTTTCTTGTTTCAATATTAATAAAAAAAATAAAATTCTTCTCATTCTGGCTACTAAAATTTATCCTTAAACATTTAACAAAAAAGTTCAAACATTTATTTTTTTGATGGTTAAATAGATGGATTAATAGAATTATTTGGATGAGGACATGGATTCTAAATAAAAAATTAATGATCATTCATTTAATTGAATTAAGGATAAGGTGGTTATACATTATTATTGGACTATGGTGCTGATATAAAATTAAAATTTTAATTTTGGGAATATTGATCATAACTATGATTATATTTTCTTTATTTTTATGAGTGAGTCTCTTATTGATTCTGAAATTGTTGTTTTTATCTATAGAAATCTTTTTAGGAAGACTAATTATTTCTAAATTTTTTATCATTATGTTTTTATGGATTAAAAAATTATTTCTGTTATTAAAATTACTATTATTATTATTAATATTGTTAGCATTATTATTGATGTTAATATTATTAATGCTAATTGGGTTATATATACTATTATGATTATTTTTATTCTTGAGCATTTCCATAATTAAAGGGAGATTATTATTAAACAAGATCATATTAAACAGGATTTACAACTGATTTCGTTATATTTTTCTAAAGTTTCAAATCTTTTTTGGTTAAAAATTCTTATTTACCATATTATTCAAAAGCAAAAGCATAATTATTTTATCCTTAGTTAAAATTTTACTGAATATTAAGTTGTTCTGGTTAATTTTGATATTTATGTTAGTTTCTATCAAATTATTAGTAGTTTTATAGGTGTGTTTTTTAAATTGATTATTCCTCCTAATTAAGATTTTCATTATTTTAATCTTTATATCCATTTGATTAGCTATCCTAAATATTAAAAATTATTTATTAATTTTGAGAGTTATTCACTATTTAAGGTTCTTGAATTTATTTCTCTTGAGATTTTAATCTTTGAGTATTTTCTTGAATCTGATTGATGTTATTAAAATTTTGTTGAGATTATTAAAATGGTTATTAATTCTTTTTATATTAATTTTGATATTATTTATATTCTTTTAATCCTCCTTCTTCAATCTCTTTTTTTTTGGATAGTTATTAGGGATGATTATATTCTTTCTAATATTCACTTCCATCGTTTCTTAATTTATCAAACTTTTACTCAGCTTTTTTGATATTTTCTGAATTAGCTATTTCTTTTTCTTTTTTTTTCAAATCTTCTTTCTATTTCTCTTTAGCTTCTTATTCTGTTTAAAAGGTTTTTAGAATTTCTTAAGTATTTTTTTATTCAATACTCTTTCTTTTCTTACTTTCTTTATTTTTTTCTTTATTTTATGATGAACTTTTAGTTCTCTTCTTTTCTTATTAATCATTCTTAGATTTTCTTTCTTTACTCTTTACCTGTTAATTTTAATTGTTATTTTTTTAATTTTATCTCTTATTATTACTTTTATTTTTTTAATTTTCTTTTTTATCCAAATCAGAATCCTTTTTATATTGTTCTTCTTGTCTTAATGGTTTAATATTATTTATCTCTAAATTTTTTTATTAATTTAATTACTCTTTATTTTCAAATTAAGTTTTGTTAATTTAAATTTCATCAAATTAAATACTACTTTATTCACTAATTAAAATAGATGAGCTAATTATCGAATCTGGGCTTGATATATGATTATCATTTTGAAATAAATTATCAATATCATCATAAATTTAATTAACATCTGATTGAATATTAGGACAAATAATATTACTCTTTATTTTAGGCTAATTTTAGATTTCTATACAATCATCAATGATATACATTGCTTATTATTAAGTGAATTGCTAATTACTTTTCTTTTAATTGATTTCTTCATTTACTGAGTGAATATCTACATCTTGCTATCTTTTATTATTAATTTCTTAATATAGTCTATTTGAAACTGTTTTAATTACTTTTAATTATTAAATTTTTTATTTATCTTCTGAAATATTCTTTAATATTATATCATCATCAATATCAATAATTTAATAAGGAGTTACCTCTTAAATTTCATTTTAAAGTAATTCTTCTTAATCAACGAAAATAGATTAATTTTGATTAAAAAATTGATCTTCATTTAATTTTGATATAATATTTTTGTTTTCCTTGTTAATTTAGTTTTAATTAAACTATCGTTATGAATTTGAATTTTATTAGTTTTCATCTTAATTTTTAGAATCACTTCTCTAATTTTAATTCTCACTTTATTCTGATATATAATTAGTAGACAATTTACTATTAGACTCCTCAAAATTTTTTAATTTACTAATTCCCTAATTATTTAATTATTTAGAATTTTAACAAATTTTTTCGTTTAATTTTTCATTTTCTACATATTTTTTGTTTTTTTCTATTTTATCTAAAGATTACACAGTTTAAAATAAATCTTTTGTTAATTCTTCTGGATCAGAAAAATCTAGTAGTTTATTTTTTTTTTCTTAAAATAATGTTTTATTTTTTATACTAGGAATTTATTCCATCTCTGTTACATTTTTTCCTGTTTCAAGAGCCCATTTTTTCATTAATATTGGCAGTTTTTCAAACATTATCATTTCAAGTTCCTTATCCATCATAGCCTAATGACATTTATCTTAAAATTTAGGCCACCAATGAGTTTATTCGCATTTTTCTTTTAATAAATCAAATAATTTAATTAATTCTGTATCTTGAGAAAATTTAAATTCTTATTATTCTTTATCCGTTAAAGTATCAATATATTAATTTATCTTTTCTGGTTCTTAATTTAATTTATTAGCTATTTTTTATTCTATATTAGTCCTTTTTTCAAACTTTTCAGTTATTTTTTCTAAAGGTTTTGGATTGGGCTTAAATTTAGAAAAAGATTATAAAGGAGAATAGGCTGATTTTTTTTAGGCTTTTTCTGATAAGATTTTTGCCATATCAAGCACTATTTATAATATAAAGAAAAATATTACTTTTTTTATCTGGTTTATCATCTTAGCAAACTTATTTGAATAATTCTTTTTATTGTTCTGAAATTTAACATCCCTTTTGATTTTCTGTATTATTTTGATCCTTCTAAATTATTTTGCTTGATTAATTTTGACTTTATTACTATTATACTAAGTTTTATTTATTATCATTTTATTCCTTTTATTTTTATTATAGGTTTTAATCTTCTATTTAAATAGTTGTTTTTTAATTTCTTTCTTTATTTATTTATTTTTATTATTAAGAATCTTAATTTTGATATAAAACTTACTCTTTATTTTATATTATATAGTTAGCTACCTAATCATTTTAATTTTTAGTATCTTAAAGAATCATAATTTATTAATTTCTTTTTTATAAAGCTTAATCAAGATTATTCTCTTCAGAACTCATTTTACTTAAATCATTACGCTACTCTAATTATTCTTACTAGACTTAATTTATTAATTTTTCTTATATTTAATTTTATTAAGATTAATCTTTAACTTTATTTGATTTCGTTTAATCTTAATTTTAATTTATTTATATCTCTAATTCTGTTTATTAATTAAATTCTGGGGTTCCTTACTCATTCTGAAATTTCTAAAAATATTACTCATAAGAATTAGTGATTTTTTTAAATAAATTTTCAAGAAATTTATATTCTCCTTAGATATATTGATGCATGATCATTTACACGAATTCTATCTTCATCTTATCTATATACCACAATGCAGCAGGACTTTTCATAAAATCATTGAAAAGTATTGTAAATTTAAAATCCTTTGATGCTAAAATTTGTAACAATCTAAAAATATCATTCTTATTATGAATCATAAGCAATAAGGCAAGAGTTCTTAATAATTTTGGTAGTTTATCTTTTAGATCAATCCTATTATATTATTATTCCTATTTAATGTAATCCAAAATGATAGAAACATCATATTACTATGGTTTTATGAGACTGTAAGTTCTACAATCATATATGCTAGTGTTATCAATCCAAAAAATCATTATTATTTTTATAAATTTATATTTAAAATTCTTAAAAACAATAAAAAATCATTGAATTTATTAAGTTAGATTTTTGTTTTTGTAAATTTTCATATTTATATTTAAAGATTCTAATTTCACTTATTTTAGTTATTTAAATTATTTTAAATATAATCTATAAACAAAATACAAATTTAAATATATAGATAATTTATATATAATAATTATTCCATAAAGTAGGAAGAATAAATATGAATATAATTTAATCCTTAAAAATAAATAAATCACTATTAATTAATTTCGATAGATGACTAAATTTATGGATCATTTGTGAATGTAATATTATTATTTTAGATAAAGGCAATCGTTTAGCGATTTCTAATTATAAAAAAGAATATTACATTTTTATGTTCATAAATAGCCGTACAGATTAGACTGCATATCTAATCAATAATAATACTATCGAGATCAGTTCATCTTCCTACTCTTATTTTAGGTTGATTGATATTGTTTTCTATATTATCATCAGAGAAATTATTGTAGTAAATAAAATTAGGTCTGTTAAATTATTGTTATTTTACAGAAAATTCTATTTATTATAATGCAAATACTTCTTTTTATATGAAAATCTTAACAAGTAGCTCAAAAAAAAATACACATGTTAATAGAGATTCTGTAATTTGTAATATTAAATCATCATTTCTATTTATAATTACCTAAAATTAGTTAAATTGAATATGTACATATACAACCAAACAAAATATTATAGCTATCTGCATCAAAGGGAATATTATACAGTGGCTGTTCAAATATATGGAATTGAAATAATAGCGAATTCCCATAAAAAATATTATAATATTTTACAAATATTTATCTTAATCAAAACATTTGATTATAAATTGTTTAAAAATCATACTGTTTCAAGAAATTTTTGTGATTTATCATGAATTTAGAATGATCATAATTATTATAATTTGAGTTAAAAAAAAATTATTATTTTTTATAAGAGAATGTTTTATTTCTAAACTCTATTTTTGGAAATATAATGGATCCTTAAAATTAACAATTTATCAAAATTTATATATTGAATTCATATTAATTAATGAATGAAGATTGAAATTATTGGAACAGGTTTTTTTATACAATTTTGGCTTTATAATTATTATAGATTAGATTATCTAATTAAAAAAGAATTCAATTTAATTATATAGTAATAAATTAATTATAATCTAATTCTAAATTTTCTTTTTCAATTTTCATTAGCAAAGGCATAAGATGTCTAATTAATTATAAAATTGATACTATATTTCTTGTTGATTTAATTGACTAATATCGATTTCATTTTTAGAAATTAAACCATCATTATTACTATCTAATAATTGGAAAAGTTGATGGTAGTATTATTTTTATTTTAGCAAATGATTTTTTATCATAAAATTTAATTGACTTGGTGTATTTTCAGATTTTTATTTTTGAAATTTAAAATTTTTATTAATAGAAGGTTCAAAGGTACAATTATCATCAATTTAATCTAATATATCAACTTGAGTTTATTTGCTTTAGTTTCTTTTTATTTATTTAAGCAATCCTTTTTGATATAGATTTAAATATCTATTGACATCTTGTTATTAATTTGAGTAGTTTAGTTATGGATTAAATGTACAATGAGTGCTTAATACTTAATCCATTTATTATCGAATATTTTCAATATTTTATTAAATTTTTCTTTAAAATTATTATGTTCTATAAAATAATTATGGTTAATCTTATAAGAATTCACACAATTTGTATGATTATTTAAATGAAATATTGGATTAAGGTTTCATATCAGTATAATTTTAATAATATTAAATAAGGTATGAATATTGTGGTAACTTGGATGCAGATTCAATAATTTTCAATAAATTTTGTATGATTAACTTTACATTTATCTAATCCAAATTAAATTAAGAGCAAAACTATTGAGCAAGTTGTGTAGGAGAGTAAACAGTATTAACATAAAAGATTTACATAGTATCCTATATATAAATTGAAAGCATTTAATTTAAGTGCTCCTAGTTGTTGTATTTCATTTTATCAACTGATAAATTTTATAAAATAAATAAAATTTTATTGAGAAAAATGGGAAACAAAGTATATATCATAAAATCAGCAGATAATTCAGTTTTCAATTAGAATTAAGCTTTAGAAGATTAATTTGAAAATATGGGAGGATAATCATTTCCTCACATAGATCGAATTGAACTTTATAGATTAAAAAGAGAAAATACAAAATATGCAACAATCTTTGAAAAAAGACATGCAAATTAAGCAACTGATGATGAAGGTCCATTATTAGAATTACATGAATAACTTATGCTATTAAAACATAAGCATTTGGTCAAATATTATGGTCTATGTATAGATCCTAATCTTACAACAAATTTATAAATAAGTAAATGGTTTTATGAAGCTGTATATAAAAACTTAAAATAAGTTTGTGGATATCATTTTTCAAATAAGAATCTTATTCCTGAAAGATAATTATGGAAGTGTCTACATGAAATATTATTAGCTTTACATTTTTTGGATACGAGATAGAAATGGCATACTCATATATAACCTGATTCTATTTATTTAGATTAAAACGATTCAATTAAACTAATTCCTAAAGGAGTATTACGTTTAATGAGTGGATATCAAGTTGTACTTACAGGAAAAGGATAAGCATTATTATCTCCTTAATAAATTGATGGTTTAAGATAAAAATTAGAGATTCCAATTCATGATATATAAAAGTCAGATGTATTTTCATTAGGAATGACTTTCTTAGAATTGATGACACTTAAAGATAGTTTTGAATGTTATAATTATGATCTCAATAATCCATATATTAAAGATTAGATATTTTAAGAGAGACAAATGGAAATTTAAAATATTGGTTATTCCACTGAACTTGTTGGGATTGTTTTAACAATGTTATAAATTGAAGAAATAGATAGACCAACTTTTCTTGAATTATTAGTATTATTTTTATAATATTTAGAACTCTAATGAAATTACTTAAAATTTAGAAAATTCTAGAAATAATCCTTTAAATCCCACTACGCATACTCCTTAATAAGACCTGAAGATATTTTAAAATAGATTCCCATCAAATTCATCTAATATATAAATAGTTTAACCGAGTATCCCTATAAATAATAATCAATAATAAATTCAATCATCACCTATTAGAATATAATCATAAGTTGTACTTCCTCAGTATTTACCAGCCATAAATCCTAAATAATTAGAAGCAGATCGTTAAAGATAAGAATAAATTTTAAGAGAATAATAAATATAATAACATTTAGAATTATAATTAAGACAATAATAATAATTGTTTTAATAGTAATAATAATAATATCAATAATAATAAATATTAATTGAATAATAATAACAATAAATACTACTTTATTAATAATAATTAGATTAAATTAAGAATATAGTTCCTAAACCTAAATAAAAGGAATAAATAGCACCCAAATTATAAGATTATATGATACATCCTTTACCTACTCCACCTATTGTTTTAGATCCTAATGCAAGAAATTCAACAATTGATGATTTCTAAGAAAGCTAAGAACTAAAAAATAGAATCAATTCAGCTTTAGCTTTATCCAGATAAGCTATTAATAAATATAAATGATTATTTAATTTATTTTATTATGAGAAGAACAACTTAAACTTAATAACTAACCTTATTTGATTAATTAATATCCTAAACAGATAAAGACACAAATCTCAAAGATAAATAAATTAAAGTCTCCACAATTAATTAAAGCTAATAATCAACATCCCATACAAAATCTTTACATAATTTAGTAATTCATTTTTTAAAATATAGCATAATATATTTTATTCAAATACCATGGATTATAAAGATTATAAGTAATCTCTGCGTTATAATCATAAAAATTTGGAAAAAATTGTTTTACAGAATCTTAAAAATCCTCATTAGAAAATAATCAAAAATTTAACTAAACATAATCTAACTAATTTAAAAGAACTTACTTTTGAAAACATTGAAGTTACAGATTCTTAATTTTAAATTTTTTAATAAAAAGGAGGATTATCTAAATGTTTTTAGAATTTAATAAGTCTTACATTAAATTGCCCACCTATAACTTCTCTTTCTATTGATTATTTATTCCAAGGTATCTAAAGTATTTAATATTTGGATTTAAGTCATACTAAAATTGATAATTAAGGTATTTATAATTTATCCTAACTCAAATGGCCATATTTGGAAACCTTTATTATCTAATGGTGTAACAAAATTGACAATCTAGATGAAATAGGAGTGAATGCTGAAAATTTTCCAAATCTTAAAATTATTGATTCTCGTTTTATTCAAACAGAAAATTATGCTTACAATTCGCTTATAAATTCTTCAATTAGTGTTACATTAACTCATTTACGATTATTTGGAACTAATGTTAATTTAACAACTTCTTGTTGGAAATCAGCATATTTAATAAATCTATTCATGAATACAATGAAAGGTTATAATTTTTAAGAATTTAGAATTTAAAATGATCCTGCTTGTCATAGAAGTTCTAGTGATTATAAATAACTCAAAGTTAATACATGTAATTATAATACTGAACAATAGTAATCAGCACCGAAGATTAAAAAATACAACTAAATATTTCTTGGAAAATTACTGCACTTTATGCATATTTGCAATTTGTTGATACTGCAGAAAAAGTTGATAAAAAATTTGCTAATTTTGGAAAATTATTTGAATTTTTTCAAAAATAATGGTAACTTAGAAAGTCTTTGCAAAATCTTTCAATCTGTTTTGATTAAATATTATGTGATACAAACAACTTTGATATAATCTTAAAAACCATTGTTGATTTTAAAGAGCTAAAAAAACTTAAATTTTATGTCAGGAACCAAACCCTTCTAAAAGATCCTAGTTATTTCTTTTTTTTCAACTAAATTAGTGAATTGAAATAACTAATGTACCTTTAAGTAATTTAATTAAAATATCATAGTTAGATATATAAAATAATTAAATTCTTATTAATGATGTACTTTTAAATAAAATTATCAAATCTATCCAATAGTTATCATATTTGAATTTATTGTACTTAAATTTCAGGCATAACAAAATAAAAAATATTTCAAATATTCATAACTTTAATTCTTAAATTATAAAATCTATTCATAACCCTTATTTGAATCATATTTATTTAATGGAAACAAATGGAGAAAATCTAAATTATAGATTCAAAGATGCAATCTCTTTGATTCATGGAAGTTCTTCTAAATTTGTTAACATAAATGAATATTAAAACCTAATTGTCTAATCAGATGAAATAAATTTTAAGGAAAAATTTTTCAAATAATAAACAGAATTATTCTATAAGAAAAAAACGAAACTTATAAGATGTTGTGTATTAAGTGGATGTCAATAATTAAACTATGAAAATAGATTTAGATAATAAGTGATTTATTAAATATTAGAAATGATAATTAATAATGAATGAATAATTTTATTTTGGATTATCCATATATATTTTGTTAATTTTTTATAAGTACTGTTATGAAATTGTAAATTAAACAAAATTTTAGAGCAACTTCATTTTTCAATTTCAATTTTAAAGAATTTAGTTATTTTTAGATTAAATAATAGTAATAAGTAATTTCTTGGTAGATTTAATTAAATGCAATTTTCATAAAAATAGAAGAGAATTATATGAAATTAAAAAGGGATGGAATGTTTTAATATTTTTAAGTAAAAACTAAAAATATTAAATTTTTCAAGTTGAAATAGAGTTTACAAACACTAAATGGATTACAGTTATATATCTTAAAAGAAATGAAATATTATTATTATTTTTAGTTATTTTTTAAAATCAATTCTTTCCTTTTCTTTATCTTTTAGATCGAGCAACATCCACAACATTTTTTGTTGGAGTTGACTGTGTAGTGCTACTCAATTAAGAGGGTTTTATTTTTTTTTCAGGTGTACATGATATATTACTATTATTATTATTATTATTATTATTATTATTATTATTATTATTATTATTATTATTATTATTATTATTATTATTATTATTATTATTATTATTGTTATGATTATCATTGGTGTTTGTGCTATCATTATTATTTTTGGTATGATCATCAAGTTCTTTCATAATTTATTCAAAAGTAATTCTTAGCTTTTAGGTTGTTTTTTATTTTTTCAAATTTAATTTCTTTTTTTGAATTTCCATATCTTATAAATCTTATTTTAAGTCAAAAACAATGTTATTTGAATTCTAATAAAAGGAAATTGATTTATTAATTTCATTAGTTGATAATTGTGATATTTATGTATTTTACAAATCAATTTTCTCTTCAACTTTTTAATTAAATTCATAGACTTATGTTAGAAATTCCTTCTTTTCATTGTTTATCTCCTCTTTAATTAACTCTTTGTAATATGTCAATTTCTAAATAAAATTATCCAAACAATTGTTAAATTCTTAATCTACTGATTCTGAATTATTGGAGATTGGTAAAATAGAAATGCTAGTAAAATTTTATATTTTCCCTTTTAATTCAGCCTCAAACTCAGATATTAATTTTCTATTATGAGATACTATGTCATTAGGTACATGAAATTCTAAAAAACAATCAGCACAACCTACTTATAATATATTTGTTGTACCTATTTTTTATTCTTGATTACATTTTTTGTCTAAGCAGATGTATTTAACTTTCTGACAATCATGGTGTTGAATTCTGCACTAATTCATATATAAATTAAAATAATTAGCGCCAAATATAATTAATCAATTCCTAAACTATCTCTATACCTATCCATCTGGATAAATTATATCAACATTTCCGTTTGGATATTCAATTTACTTTACTTTTTAACTATTTATTTTTTAAATTATGCCATCGCTAAAAAATGTCTATTCTTCACCATTGGCATTAATGTATTTTTCAGTTCCATCACCAAATCTGATTTCTTTTGTTCCATCATTAAAATGAATCTCTATCTATTAATTGGAAAAACGATAAATCTAAATATCTACATATATATAATACATTTGGACCATTTGCTATTGTAATTTATGTTGTACTAGCATCAGCAAAATAATAAATTACTGTTCCATTAGGTAATGTTTATTTCACATCTTTATTTGTAAAGTGAACAATAACATATCCATCAGAATATACTTCTCTTTTTACTCCATTATGAAATACAACTTCTTTTTTACCATTTGAATATTATCTTGATATCTTACCATCAGGTCCAACATTTTAATTAATTATTTTTGATGGAATATCCTTATTCTTTTTATATCCTTAATAAAAACGATTCTAATCATAATTAAATTCTTATTCAGATATCAAACTATTTATATTTTTTATAGTAAATGGTATACCTTCATTTTACATTTCTACTAAATCATATCTTTTACTATTTTATTATTATGTATTTCTTTTCTATTATTATTTTTTATCATAACTATCCTCATTATCATCATCATCACTTTAATCTTCATTTTAATATTCATCATCATTTTCATCATTATCTTCATCTTCTTAATCTGAAATTTATTTCTTATATTCTTATATTGATTGCTTATTTTTTATTTATTATTCTTCTACAAATGATGTTGGACTTTACCTTCTATTTTTTTATTAAGGAGCTTCTTTCTTTTAAGAAAGTCCTGAAACATTAGATTTCAATTAAATTTATTACGATTTACTTTACTAAATTGTGGATTAAGAATTTGGACGCTTTTATTCTAATAGTCTAAGTTCTAATGCTTTTACTTCAGCCTACAGTTCTTAATTTCTTTATAATAGCTCATCATTCTATTTCTTTACTCTATCATAAGATAACTTATTTTTTTAATCTTTTTGTTTTTATTCTTCCATTAATTTCTATACCTACTATTTTAATGATTCTATTTCTTCTCTCTCTTTTCTATTTGGCTAATTTTATGTTGTTTTTTATTATCTTTCTTATACTCTTTTTTCTCTAAGCATCTTTTTCTTCTCTTCTTCTTTCCATTCTTCTAATTCATTTTTTTCTATTTCTTTTTACTTTTCCCATTCCTCTCTCTCTCTTTGTAATTATTTCAATTAATCCTCACATTTTATCTTAGCTTTTTTTACTTTTTCATTTTCGCTTTTGAATTTTGCAATTTCGGCATTTAAATTATCAATCTTATCTTGTACATATTTTCTAACAATCTCTTCTTCAGATTCTTATGGTTAAGATTTTTCTTATTTCTTCTCTTTTGCATCCTTTTCTTTTTTTAATCCAAAATAAGTTGTTGCAATCTTTGATTATTTAGGAGGTTCATCATTCCAATCTTCATTATCATCAAATTAATATTCTTAATATGAATTCTGATGACTTTCACATTCCTCTTTTTGTTTCAATAATTTTTATTATTATTATTATTATTATTACTATTACTATTATTATTATTATTATTATTATTGGTGTTTTTGTTGTTATTTTGGTTATTCCTTTATTATTTCTTATTTTTTAACTTTTTATTAGACTTCTTTTTATTCTTGTTTAGTTTCTACTTTTTAATATTATTATTATTGTTGAGCCTTTTAAAACTTAGTTTAAGCAATTTAATTTTAAACAGGTAGGTTATCTGTTGCATTATTTTCTTTTAAAATTTCAGCGTGTTCTTTCTTAGCAATATCAGATCTCTACTAAGCATTAGATAGAAATTATCTTGTTCCTTTTTTTAAAAAGGGCTTTTTCTTGATACGACCTTATTCATCATAGTTTACTTCTTCAAGAGGTTTTTTAAAATTATTTCTTGGAGGTAATTCTTCTAAATCTTGATTTTTATTTGTTCTTATAGGCATATCATCAAATGTATTTTTGCTGGTTTTAATGGGTATTTCATCAAATGGATTTTTATTCGTTTTAATAGGTATATCATCAAATCCTTTTTTTTTATTAGTTTAAATAGGAATGTCATCAAAATTTTAATTTTTATTCGCTTTAATAGGAATATCATCAAAATTTTAATTTTTATTTGTTTTGATAGGAATGTCATCAAATCCTTTGTTTTTATTAGTTTAAATAGGAATATCATCAAAATTTTAATTTTTATTCGCTTTAATAGGAATGTCATCGAATCCTTTATTTTTATTAGTTTAAATAGGAATATCGTCAAAATTTTAATTTTTTGTTTTGATAGGAATATCGTCGAATCCTTTATTTTTATTAGTTTAAATAGGAATATCATCAAAATTTTAATTTTTATTTGTTTTGATAGGAATGTCGTCGAATCCTTGACTTTTAGCTGATTTAATAGGTATTTCGTCAAAGGAATTTTTTTTGTTTTTTATTGCTTACTCATCGTAACCTTATTTTTATGGCTTTATAGGAATGTCATCAAAATTATTTTAATTTTACTTTGATATTTAACTTTAGACTTTTTCATCAAAAGGATTCTAATAATTGTTTTTCTTATTAGGATAATCATCAAATTATTTTTACTATTATTTATAGTTTTATTAGTTTTTTGATTGGAATTCATCTTATTGTTATTTATTAAAATCTTCTTATTTTTTATTTTTGATTGGCATTTCATCAAAGTTATTACCTTTCATCGGTTTAATAGGTATTTCATCAAATGGATTAGATTATTATCTAAATTCATATTCATCTTGTTAATAAAAGTTATTTTTCTAAAAATTGGATCTTATTAATTATTCTTCTTGATTTGCATATTTAGTTGATATATCATCAAAAACAGGAGGTCTTTTTTATTGCTATTTTGATTATTTATTATGAAATTCTTCATTTTCTGATGAATCAAAATTTTGAAATTATTACTTAGTTGTTCGTTAATCATCATATTCATATAATCTTTACTATCGTTACTTTTGATCTTATTTATTTTTATATTAATTAAAAAGATCATTTTCTGGTAATGTATAATCGTGAAATTCATTTCTGTAATTTTAAGTTATTTATATATCATCAAAATGCAGTTATCTATTAGTATTTATATTGGTTTCCTACTTAATAATAATAAATACTTCTTAATATTTATTAGGATTATATGTATTGATGAATTAAGATGATTATTGTAATTAGCATTCTTCAGGTTTCATTTGATTGTAGAATTAATTCATATCGTTAACTTTATTATGGTAAAACTGTTCTAAATCAAAGCCTATTTATAAGATAATGAAATACCTGATGATTAACTTTGCATCATTTACATCATCTGCTGTTGAAACATTTTCATCATATTCTACATCATGTGATCATTGGGGTTGATATTTTGATTTGTCATTTCATTTTAGAAGATTTTTTAACCGAAATTACTTCGTTGTTATTGCATAAGGAAATTGAATTCAAATTTTAACAAATAATAACTTCAAAATTAACTCCAAAATTCATAGAGAAATTGGGCTTAATGATCATTTTAGATTTTCTTTAACTATTCACAATGTTGTAGTGCTTCTTAAATAATTTCATTTGATTTGCTAGCATCAATCAGTTTTTAAGTACGAAGTTTGAATTACAATAAATATAATATTTGAATATATGGGAATCTATATATTTAATTAGATAAATTACCTATTTTATTTTTCCTCTTCAATCACTTGCTTAATAAATCCAAGATTATCATCAAGATAATTATGAATTTAATTAATAGCATCAATAAATTCTTTTTAAATTTTATTTGTAAATTAAAATCCATCATTATTAAATGTAATATTGATTTCACTAGGAACCAAGAATCTTGAAAACTCATCTTCACTCATCATAGTTTCTCTTGATCCATATTAATATATTTAATTGATAATCTTGATTTTTAGATTAAGTAATTATTGTTCTTCAAAAGAAATTATTACATTTATGCCTTCAACTCTGATATCAATAATTTTTAGAGCATTTTCATTATTGAATAATTCAAAAGAATTTTCAACGTTGTTAACTGCTCTATTAAATTATAAAATAATTGAATTATTTGAAGCTTTTTCTACTTTTGTAAATCCAAAAGGTTATATTACACCAACAAGCCATCTGTGATATAAATAAACTCCATGTTCTTTAGGTTAGATATAGATTGCTTATTAAATTAATTCTGTTTCTTCTTTTAATATATTAAAAGGCAAAGGTATTAAACCTAAAATTTATTCTGTTTTAATTCTCTCAATTATATTTTCAGATTAGTTATAATTTTTCATAAAATATTTGCTTCTAAAATGATAAGCAGAAAAATTACTAAAATTTTATTCAATCTAAATAAAATAATTAGTTTACTTTTTTTTTGGTGAATTCATCTTCTTTTCCAAAAGCACAAATTGAAGATAACCAATTTCTATAATTCCAAACATGAAAATTTCTTTCATCTCTATCTAGCATTTTACTACATAATTCATATTCTTATTTTATAGCTTCAATCAATTTAAACTAATTATCTTAATTACTATATATGTTATAAAAATAATACATTTGAGTAATCAGTTAATCAATCTCTTAACTTCTTAAAACCATCCATTATCTATGAGTCCAAAGAGTATATGATTTAGGATGTTATTTAAGAAGTATAGTTATGAGCATAAATTCGGATTGAATTAATTTGAGTAATTATTTATATGCTTCAAAGCTTTTTGATTCTGAAAGAAGTGTTCCTAAATGATCAAACTTTGTTTAAAGCACTTCTCTTCTATAATTATAAATTGTAGCAATTTCAGGACATAATTTAGCCATAAGCTCAGAAAATGCTAATTGATCTTCAGGTTGATTGACTTAATTTTTTCGGACTTTAAAAAAATAATCTAAAGATTCTAATATTTATTGTCCTTTTTCAGCTCTGAGTTTTATCTCTTCTTCAGATAATGTTTCAGCTTTAGATTTTGATTAACCATGCATCATCTTTTATCAGAATATATAAAATTAAATAAAATAATTAAAAATACATCATCATTTGAATAAACCTAGGTTGTTTCTTTTTCTACCTGTATATTTAGTAGTTTTTTTAACTTTTCTTCCTAATCTAGTTTATTTTTCTTTTCTTTTAAGAATCCATAATTTAGATTTTTCAGAAATTTTTTTTTATTTTTTTTATTTTCTAATTTTTTTTTATTATCTCCCAATAACTTTAACTTTTTCTTCATCAGATTCTTCAATTAATCCTTAGATAACATCCATAGTTTTTTTCGATGATTATCCCCCTAATTAAAGAACAAGATAAAGTTTCTTAGCTTTAGCAGAATTAGGGTAATCAACAACAATATCACCACTAAAACCTAATCTAATAAGTGTTATTTGGAATACCTGCTCTTAAAGCTGCACTGGTGATCATATTAATTTATTCATTATTTTCTGGATAAAATTGAAAAACTGCTCTAGCATTATTTTTTAAACAGTTTCTAAGTGACTCAAAGAATGCTGTACATCTTTTATATGGATTTTCTGATTTTTTGAAACTAACACATAACCATTAAATAACAGAAATAGATATAGCAGCATCAAAAACACCTGGTCTAAATTTGAATCCTTAACCAATATCACATAGTAGTAATTCACCTTCAGTCTTTTCTTATTAAGCAACATTTAACATAGATTCTGATATATCTAATCCAACCCAATTCACTCCCTCTTATGTTAAATAAAATCCTGATATTCCTGAACCACATCCAATATCTAACACTAAACTACATTCATCCAGATCAAGATCTAATAATTAAATAGCTCTTTCGCTTAATTATGTTTAAATATTTATAATTCTATTGCAATTAGTATATTTAACACTTTCTTATTCATTATAGTACTAGAGAATGATTAGATTATGATACTTACTAAATTTGGGGGTAATTGTGATTCTGGTCGTGACATTAATTTTTATAAATTAATTTTAATTTATAATATTTTCAAATTAAACGAAGCATCATTTCCTTAAATTCTTTTAATGATAATTATCCATCTCCATTCTTATCAACTTCCGACATCAAAGTTTCCCATGTTTCTTATGGAAGCTTATTTCCATTTTAAAACATTTGTTTTAATTCTTCAATAGTTATTGTTCCACTGTTATCTCTATCTATAACTTTAAAAGCTTATTCTAATCTTTCTTAAGTTAAAGCTGTTTTTCTATTAATAGTTGCCATAACAAATTCAGAATAATCTATAATGCCAGATTTATTTTTATCAACTGCTTCCATAATTTATTCAACCTACAAAATAGCTTCTGATTCAGGCATAATTTTCATATAACCTTCAAGTAACTCTTTTTTAGTTAAAACTCCATCAGAATTTTTGTCAAGACTTTAAAAAGTCTTTAATAATTCTTCTTTTTCTTCTTTAGTTGCAAATTGTTTTATAATGTACATATAAGCTGCTTCTTGAATTCTTTGAGTAGTCTATAATATATATATATTATTATTATATACTCTAAATGTTTTCATATTTGTAAGTACACTCTCCAATACTGGAGATTTGACCTCATCTAGTGTATATTAAAGTATCCAAGGATGATTGAGACATTCTTATGCTGAATATCTTTTAGAGACTTCATATTCAAGCATCTTTCTAATCAACTATTTAGCTTCTGGTGATACACTTAACCATTATGTTGAGGACAATGAATAATTTCCCTTTTTTATTGATTCAAAAATATCATCATCAGTTTCTCCATCAAAAGGAGGTTTACCACTTAATAATATATATAAAACAACTCCTGCTGACCAAATATCACATTTTTCATTATATTCTTCACTAAACATTTCAGGTGCCATATAGTAAGCCTTTTTAAAAGTTAAAATATACTTACTGTTCCAATTATCTCTTTTAAATTCTTTCCTGTTGTTCTTTTTGATGTACCGAAATCTATTACTTTTAACTGACTATCTTTCTAATTGCTCTCATACAATAAATTCTCTGGTTTTATATCTCTATGAACTAACCTTTAATTATGACAATAAGCTAAAGCCTATAAAATTTATTTCATAATCTTAGCTGCATCCTTCTCTGAAAAATTATGAATCTCCATTAATTTATCATATAATTCTCCACCTGTACATAATTCAGTTATTATATATAGCTTCTAATTTGTTTCAAAAAAATCATATATCTTTATGATATTTGGATGATCCTAAACTTAAATTTTTTAGTTTACAAGTGATTTCAAAATATTAACTTCATCAATAATATTTTTATATTCTTCAGAATGCTTACTGTTGATTTGCTTTATTGCTCTATATTATCCACTTGCTTTATGTTTTGCTTTCCAAACTATTCCAAAAGCTCCTTCTCCAAGAGGAGGCTGAATCAATTCATAATCATTCAAACAACCTTATGAACTTTCATAAATGTCTTTGTAAGGCTATCGATGTTCCTATTTCAGTTTGCGATAATTATACATCACACTCTACTTCTTTTTATTGTTATTTACATTAACAGGCACCCATTTATATAAAAAATAAATAAACAAACAAATTATTCAATATCTTGATTTTATAAGTCAAATTAATGAATTATACTTATTTTTTTTATAAAAAATGTTTATATTTAAGTATATTTCATAAATAATTAAAAATAAAAAATTAACCTATTCAAAATAATATTTACAGGAGATATTGCTTAAATGTTTACTGTACTTAATGAAATAAATCATTNCACTCTCCAATACTGGAGATTTGACCTCATCTAGTGTATATTAAAGTATCCAAGGATGATTGAGACATTCTTATGCTGAATATCTTTTAGAGACTTCATATTCAAGCATCTTTCTAATCAACTATTTAGCTTCTGGTGATACACTTAACCATTATGTTGAGGACAATGAATAATTTCCCTTTTTTATTGATTCAAAAATATCATCATCAGTTTCTCCATCAAAAGGAGGTTTACCACTTAATAATATATATAAAACAACTCCTGCTGACCAAATATCACATTTTTCATTATATTCTTCACTAAACATTTCAGGTGCCATATAGTAAGCCTTTTTAAAAGTTAAAATATACTTACTGTTCCAATTATCTCTTTTAAATTCTTTCCTGTTGTTCTTTTTGATGTACCGAAATCTATTACTTTTAACTGACTATCTTTCTAATTGCTCTCATACAATAAATTCTCTGGTTTTATATCTCTATGAACTAACCTTTAATTATGACAATAAGCTAAAGCCTATAAAATTTATTTCATAATCTTAGCTGCATCCTTCTCTGAAAAATTATGAATCTCCATTAATTTATCATATAATTCTCCACCTGTACATAATTCAGTTATTATATATAGCTTCTAATTTGTTTCAAAAAAATCATATATCTTTATGATATTTGGATGATCCTAAACTTAAATTTTTTAGTTTACAAGTGATTTCAAAATATTAACTTCATCAATAATATTTTTATATTCTTCAGAATGCTTACTGTTGATTTGCTTTATTGCTCTATATTATCCACTTGCTTTATGTTTTGCTTTCCAAACTATTCCAAAAGCTCCTTCTCCAAGAGGAGGCTGAATCAATTCATAATCATTCAAACAACCTTATGAACTTTCATAAATGTCTTTGTAAGGCTATCGATGTTCCTATTTCAGTTTGCGATAATTATACATCACACTCTACTTCTTTTTATTGTTATTTACATTAACAGGCACCCATTTATATAAAAAATAAATAAACAAACAAATTATTCAATATCTTGATTTTATAAGTCAAATTAATGAATTATACTTATTTTTTTTATAAAAAATGTTTATATTTAAGTATATTTCATAAATAATTAAAAATAAAAAATTAACCTATTCAAAATAATATTTACAGGAGATATTGCTTAAATGTTTACTGTACTTAATGAAATAAATCATTAATATGTATTGAAAGTTTAATATAAAATTAATAAAGAGGAAACTAAAATGTATTAGTATAAAGTTTAAATATTTTAGAAAAGTTCTAAAATTTGATAAATATTTACTAACTTGATGAATATAATAATAGTTTTCTTAAATATTTTTGTTTTATCATGGATCTTCATAACGAAGGTGATCTTACAAATAAATATAGAAATAAAACAAGGATTGCTTTAGGAATCTCGGATATATATTAATTGAGTATTATTTATTCAGACTTCAAACCAAGTAACATATATATTTGATTTCTTTATTCAAAGATTTTTACACTAAAAATTTCTTATTTTAATTTTTATGAAGATTAACTAAGTCTTATATCTTAAGGTTTTTAAATTTGAAACCAAATTTACATTTCCTAAATAATAGACTCTTCTCTTAATTTTTAGGCTTTTCGAAGTTTAATTACTGATTTCAACTAAGAAATTCGGACTAATGTCGCATTTAAATTTAAAATTTGTAAAAAAACAATTTTGAATAAGATATGAATTTAATATTAATGTAAGGGTATTGAAAAAGGCAATAAAAAATATATCAAAATCATAAATGATAATTAACTCAAAGTTGAACAAATAATAATAATTTAGATTAATTTAAATAAAGCTTAGTTAGAAATTTATGTTATTATTTTTATAGTTTCAGAGACAAATATAAATTTTAATTAGAAATAATTTATCTATTATGCTTATCTTTTTCATTTCCTTATTTGGCATTTATGATTTATCTTAAATTAATTTAATAAATAATTACACTTTTCTTTCATAACTATATTACAAAAAGCAATTCTAACAAACATAAGTTGATAAATTTTTAAAAATAAAGATTAAAAATAAATGTTTAATCTTCTTATTCTTTATTCAATAATTTATAGTATATGCATGATTATTATATTAAACTTCATCTCCTGAATTTAAATGAATAATACCTTCTTTAAGAATTTAGTTCTATCTTCTTTTTTGTTTTTTTATATGTAATTTTTGGAGTTTATAAACCTTATGTATGCTTAATTTTTTTCTAATTCTAGGCATTTAATATAATATTTTTTCAATAAATTCTTATATTTTAAATTAATACTTATTTAAAAATTTTAATATAAAATGAAATTTTAATTAATATGTTTAATTAGACAATCCATCACACAGTAACTAAAAATATTATTATAAGGAAGAGATTACATTTCCCCTTAAACAAATTAAATGGTTCTTAATATTTTGTTAGAACTCTACGATAGGAAAAAAATCTTGGCTATTAAATTATATCATTTAACTCATCCTTAACCTTAATATTAGTGAAAAAAAACAGCATATCTACTTTTAAATTTAAGTCCATTCTTATGATTTAAATATTTCCACCTGATTCTTCTAAAATGTGTCTTTAATAATTGTAAATTGATTCAATCTGCTTATATTAAAGATTCTGGTCTATAAAAGTAGCTTTCCTTTCTGCTTAAATTTTCTTCTTATCATTAATTTTATTAATTTTTGTTTTCCTTAATATTAAACAAAAATTAAGGGACCAAGTTACTTTTACCAAAGATTATGATTATTTTTTGTAATTATTATATTTAATTATTTGTTCTTTTTAAAAAACTAAATTTAAGTCATTCTCTAATGAAGAAATATTTTGAAGCTCTCATAATCCAAAAATTCAAATGTTATAATTCCTTATTATTATTTATTTAGTATTTTGAGTTTATTTAATTTTTGTTATACCTAACTTGTTATTGTATATGTTGCTATATATTTTCTTCGAAATGAACCTTCTAATTTCTTATATTTAATATCATTTAATTATTTTAAATACAGTATATAAAATTTTTTATAGATTAAATGATTGATGACAAAATCATTATTAACGATAAATGTTATAAACTTCTAGCGCAAATAGGCTAAGGAAGTGTAGGAAAGATTTTTAAAGTTTAATTTTAAGACTAATTTTATGCAATAAAAAAGCAAGAATATTTTGGAGAGGGAGAATTAAATTTTTATTAGAATTTGATGAAGAAAGAAAATAGAAGATTTCGAAATTTAATCTAAATATATGATTTTAAAAAAATAGGTAGATTTTCATATATTGTTATGGAACTGGGAGAATGTTCATTATAACATTTAATAGAATAGAAACAAATTGATAAATAAAATATTAGATTTTATATGCAATAGATTGGTTTTGGAATCAAAGAATTGCATGAAGATTTAAATTTAGCTCATAGAGATTTAAAACCTGAAAATATTTTAGTGTAAACAATAAAATCTGAAAATCTAAACTAAACATAGCAAATCTTTAAACTTTGCGATTTTGGATATGTTAAAAATATTAACAATTTAAATACTAAAGCCATAGGAACTCCTTATTATATTCCTCCAGAGCTACTCAAAAATACTAATAATAATTATAATAAAAAATGTGATATCTGGAGTTTTGGGTAATTAATTTATGAATTGATAGCTGGATAATTAATGTTTTAAGGTATTTAAAATATTATATTTATTAGGTAATACAATTCAAATAATTGAGAATTAAATCTTGACAATTACAGATTATAAAATTTAATATTTGATAGATTAGTTAGTTTTAGAAAAAGAATATAAAGAACTTCTAAAAAATATGTTGAAGATAAATAGTCATGAACGATTTGATATCTTACAAGTTTTGGATTGTTTAAAACCTAGATCAAAATCTTAATTAAAATATTGCCCAAAATAAACTCCCAATCAACCTAGTATAAGATATCCTTTTTAGAAATAAGATATTTAATTTTAACGATAAATGTCTCCTTTTGTTCAAAGAATTAATATCCAGAGTTAGTTAAATCATAATTACTTTCAAAATTAATAAAATAATAATTAAATTGTTTCAGTGATACAAAATTAAAAAAAAATAGAACCCTGAAAATATAAATATGATAACTGACAATTTCAATCAAATAATTATCAAAATTATTTATTTATTTACTTTAAAAGATCTTCCATAGCTTAGTTATGTGTTGCTAAACCTTATTTGTAATCATTACAAAGATTTTTTACAAGCTAAATAATAATTAAAAAATTCTACTTAAAAAACATCATTAAATTATTAACCATCTTCTTCTTGTACTTCATTTATTTGTAGTTTTAATTTTAATAGTTTTTCAGTAATATCTAGATTTAAAGTAATAATTACCTGTAAGTATCTTTTCAATGTTTGAAACTGATTCTATATATTTATCCACTTCTTATTATAATTAATTATCTAGTTCATCAAGCTTTTAAACTAAATTTTATATTTATTAATCATTATCTGCATTTCCTCCTTTCTTCTTTTTAAGCTTGTTTAATTCATCTTAACTTTTGGCTATTTATTTTTCTAAATCTTATCTCCTTTTATCACTTTATGATGATTCTTTTTCTAAATTATCAAGTAATGGTTTTTATTCTTAAATAAATTTTCTTAATTTATCAATTTCTCCTTTTATATCATCTTTTTTTAATTATTGATTTTGTTATTCTAATTAATCTATTTAATTTTATTTATCTTTAATTTCATTTTCTTATTATTAAACTTATTCTTTTAAATTTTTAACTTAATCATCCAAAGCATTACATTCATCATCTAAGTCTTTGATTTCTTTTTCTTTTTATTTTAATAAACTATTAGCTTTATCTAACTCTTTTTTAGATTGATTTTATGCTTATAAGGCATTTTTAGCATCTTGTTCAGCTTTTTATATTTTATTTTTAACTGTTTCAGGATCAAGCTATGCTATTTGTTTTTCAGCTTAAGTTAATTTATTTTAAGTATCTTTTAATTACTTTTTTAAATCATTTAAATTTTACAAATCTTGTTTTAGTTTTTCAGCCTCATTAACAGCTGCTTGTCTTTCTTAATCTAATTAATCACATTCTACATCTAAATCTTTAACTTTTTTTTCAAGGTCTTTTCTTTATTATTCTTTGTCTTTTTATTCTTTAACATCTTTTTATCTTTATTCTTTCAATTTGTTTAATTCATTTTAGACTTTTGTTAATTAGTCTTCTTTTTATTTTAATTATTATAGAGCCTTATTTAATTCATCATTTAGTCTAATAATTTCTGAATTTTCTTGTTATTCTTTAATTTTTTATTAAAGTTTTGCATCTAAATCATCACATTCTTTATTGAGATTATTTATTTCATTTTATAAATTTTTCTTTTCTTTTTCTTACTCTTTAATTTGATCCTTTAATTATCTAATTTCATTTTATGCTTCTTATAGTTAGTTTTTTAATTAATCTTAATTCTTATTTTACTTTTATTCTGCATTGCTAATTTAATCTTAAAGTTTTTAATTTTGTTTTTTTGATTCATTTAATTATTTGTTTAAATCATTATTATTTAATTATAATTATTTATTTTCTTATTATTTATTTTAATTATCTTACTTTTACTTTTCTATAGTATCTTATAATTTTTAAATTTCTCTACTTTATTAATCAATTTATTTCTATTTTTAAGTAATTTCTTTATTTAATTAATTAATTTAGTCATTTAATGAAACAATTTCTTTTTATAATTCTTTATTTTCTTATTCATATTCATCTAAATCTTTATTTAATTATTCAGCATCATTATGTTTTTCACTTAATTCTTTTTAGACTTTTGCTAGATCTTTTTATTATAATAATGCCTTTTCTTCTGCTTAATTATACTTTTAATGTAAATTATTATTATCTTAAATTAAATTTAATTTTTCTTTATTTAAATCTTTAACTTCTTTTTCAAGATCTTTAATTAAATTTTATTAATCTTTAACTTATTATTATAAATCAGCTATTTTTTCATCTAATTAATCCAATTCTTGATTGGCAGTATTAATTTATTTATTTAATTCGTCATTTTTATCTTTTAATGTTTTATTATTTTTGTCTAGAGTAGCAGTTTTTTTGAGTTCAGCATCTAATTTTCTTTAAACATCTTTAAATTCTCTTTCTCTTTTATTATCAGCATCTTTAAGTTCTTTTTATAATTATTGTATTTATTTATTTTATGCATCTAGTTAATTAGTTTAAGAAGAATTATCTTTTTCAAGTTAATCAATAGTTTAATCCTTTTCATCCTAAGTTGCTTTTGCATTATCTAATAAGTCTTTAATTTATTTTTCATATTAATTCATTTAGTCTTATAATTATTTTTCTAATTCTTAAATATATTAAGCTAATTATTTAATTTTAGATTAAGCATCATTATATTATCCTTCATAGTTTTAAACTCTTTATAAATCTTCAGCAAAGAATTATAATTAATCTTTAAGAGAATCAATTTCTGCTTATTTTTCTTGTAGTAATTTATAATATTAATCATTTTATGTAATAATAACTTAGTTATCATGTTACAATTCTGCTAATTTAGCAAGAGTATCATTAATAATTTCTTATTATCTATTAATTTCTCCATCTTTTAATTTAATAATCTTCTCCTTACCAACTATAAATCTTTCTCTATCATTAACAGAGTTTCTTAAATATTAAGCCTCCTTTTATAAAGTGCTTATTTAATTTGCTTAATTTAATGTATTACGTTATTCTACTTCTAACATCTATCCTAAACTTTATAGTTGTTCATCCATAACTTATTTACTTAAATAAGAATCATCCAATTTAGTTTATAATATTTACAATTCGTTTTTTAAATTAGCATTTTCTGCTAATGCTAGTTATAATTCTCCATTTCTGGATCTTGATTTTACAATTTCATCATTAGCATTTTATGATTTCAGTTCAGCAATCTCTTTATCTTTGCCTATTATCACTGATTTTAGATATTCAGCCTAGTCTTGAGTTTCTTTCAATAGTTCTGAATACTCATAATTCTCTTCTTTCAAAAGATTTATTTCTTATTCATATGCTTCCTTCATTTTTTCACATTCTAACTGAAGTCTTTCAATTTCATCACTTGGGTTAACCTTAAGTTTTAATGCTCTTATTTCATTATCTTTTAACATCAAACTTAGTTTAAGCTTAGATAACTCATCTGATTGTTTTTCTGCTTCTGGAGATTAATTAATCATTTTTATTAATAAAGTTTATTTATATATGACTGACTCTTAGTGTTAAATTTGCATTTAATTTGAAGCTGAGGATATTTGTATCCTTTCAGAAATGCTTAGTTAAATTACTATACCAATCTCTGGTATTTTATATTAAATATGTAGACCATAAGATACCTATTCAAATGTTCCCTTATATTTTTAAAAGTTTAAAGTTTCGTAAATGTCTGGCTTAAATATTTGATACTAAATACCTTGAAATATGTGAAAAATGTTCACATAATAGACTCTAATAAGTATTCTTACCATTATTTTCATCAACTGTTACTGAATATAATGAAACTCTAATTATTTAATAAATCGAAGAAGGATTAGATAAATTATATGAATCTATCTAAGAAAAATAATAGAAACTCAAATAATCTAAAGAATAATTCGATAAACTAGCCTCATAATTATTTAATTGTGAAGATGATGTTGAAGAAAGTAATTCTTTAGGAGAAGAAAGTAGTAGTAATGAAGAAATCAGTATAATTTATTTTATTAAAAGAAAAAGAAAAAAATGAAGATGATGAATAATAACCTATTATGCAATTTAACAAAAATTCTAATAAAAATAAATTTTAGAAAAGATCAATAGATATTTTAAAAAAATGGTTTTTAGATCATCTTGATAATCCATATCCAGATAATACAGAAAAACAAAGACTCTCTAAGATTACTGGTATGCATGTTCGATAAGTATTATTATTAAACATGAATTATTAGATTTAAAATTGGTTTACAAACTCTAGAAAAAGATATTTGGAACCCTTAAAAAAAAAATTTGAGCATGGATTAATGAAAGAAAGTGATAGTTAGGAAGAAGACTCCTCAAAAGAATTAAAAAAACCTATGAAACTTACTCAATAATAATAATAATAATAACAATAATAACAACAATAATAACAATAATAATAATAAATAATCTAATAATAATAATAATAATTAAATATTCCCTCATAATAATTATAATAATAATAATTTTAATAATAATAACTTCTCTAATAACAATTTTAAATTTAAATACCTCTTTAAAAAAAAGTTAAAATGGAAGAGGGTTGTTAAAATAAACCATTTGATGCAAGCAATATTAAATAGGAAGCTAAAACTGGATAATGTGCTCCTGATGTTTAATAATTCTAATAATCTAACCAATTCTAATAATTTCAATAAATGTAATAATTAGCTCAATTATAATAATTGCAATGGCTTAATCCTTTAGCTTAATTAAATCCTCTTTAATTTTAATTGGCACCATAATTTTTATCTCAATATTATAACTTTTAAGATTAATCAAAGGCTTCTCCTATTAGTGGATTACCTTAATTACATTAAGTACCTGTATTTCCATTATTACCCTCATTGTAGCCAACTGGATTTTAATAATTTCTATAATAAGGTTCATCATAACCAATTTAACAATAAGTTTAAGTACCAACTATTTAGGCTTCAATTCCATAAGTACCCAGTCTATAAACCCTTTAAGCAGGATTTTAATAATTAAATGGACAACATTAAAATCCTTAAAATGGAATTTTTTATCCCCTGTATTAGTAAATGCAAACTGAATAAAAGAAATGAAATATATATTGCAAAAAATCATGTTTTTAAAATAAATTAAACCAATTATTAAATCATAGCTAATTTAACCTTTCCTGAGTTTTCTAATTTTTAAATGGTTGTGGGAATTGTTTGTTTATTTAGAACTAAGTTTGTTATTATATTTACATTTTTGGATAGGGGGCTTGTTTAAAATTTAGATTGTTAATTACTTTGCTCTATTAGAAATTATTTGATGAAATTTTGCTCTTAATACATTTAGATCCAGAATTTTTTAGTTTTTCTATCACTTATTCTATTTCAATCCTATCTTCTGGATTTATTTACATCATCTTGATTACAAGATCAAAAAATTCTAAATGGCCAAGTTTAACCTTAATTTTTGCATCAAGATCTTTTTATTTGGTATTTAATATCAATTCATAAACTTCTTAATTACTATTACCCATGAATAGAACTTCTCTAGAAAACAATTCAAAAATGACTGCTCCAAAAGCCCAAATATCTACTTTAGAATTATAACCAATTTTAATATTTTTTAAATTTTAAATTTATTCTGGTGCCATATAATGTGAAGTACCACAACAATATGTTAATGAATATTTTTTTTAGCTTGACAATCCAAAATCACATATTTTATAACATGCTTAAGTATTTTCACCATCTTTTATAGAAAATATTAATATATTTTCTGGTTTTAAATCTCTATGTATTATACCTTTAGCATGTAATTCTTTAATACCATTTGCAATTGATTTCATTATATATCGAATATTAGTTTTTTCTAATTCTCCAGAACGTAAATAATCTTCTAAACTTTATTCACAATATTCCATTAAAACAAAATATTCTTAAGTTTAATGATTAAACAAACATTCTATAGTGTTAACAAGGTTTTTAAATGTGTTTTTTTTAAATTCTAATAAAATATCAGCTTCATCTTTATTCATTTATTTTTAGACTTTAAGTGCAAATTATTCTTAAGAGTTTAATTTCTATAAATGAAAGACTTATCCAAAATTACCTGTTCCAATTAATTTTAAGACCTCATATGTTTTATTTTAAATTTCTATAAACTTATTTTCAGCAATTTTCTATGATGATAAAATAGTAATTGAAAAAGATTTCTCATTATAGCCATAGTCTTAAGATGAATTGTGATTATGATGATTTTTTTGTCCAAAGTTTGGATTTTGGAGATTTTTATTTATATGATATTATTGACCTGGTTCTACTCTAGGAGTTAATAGCTATTTTTTATTGGAATTAGCCAAAGAATTTAGATTTAGTTGAAAATTCATTTTCTATTATATTTATATAAATAAAGGATTAAAAAATTTAAAAGTCAAAGGAATAAATTTTATTTTAATTCTCCCCTTTCCATGTAGGATTCATTATACTACTTACTTATAAATATTTTAATTTACAAAACTTTGCTGTTGGCTCTATTTAAAACTACTATGGCTCATTCTTCTTTATTTATTGAATGCAGCTGGTGTATAATTATAATCATCACTAAATTAGATTAAGTTTATACTTTTCGTATTTTTAAGGAGTATGTGTCCATTATAAAAAGTTTTCTTTATTAGGATTAAAATTATCTTTTTATTATTTTTTAAATAGAAGATATTTTTTATGCATTCTATTTCTTTTTGGATGTTTAATTATTGTTCTATTTCTCATTTCATTCTAAAAGTAATAACTAAATATATTTTACATATTATTAAATTCTAATAGCAGTACTTTCTCTACTTAATTAAATTGTTTATTTTTTTGGTTCTTCATCTTCATTTTCTGAATCTGTAAGTAAACTCACATAAGTTTTATTAAGAAAGATAATTTCTAAGGCTTTTTTTTCAAACTCAATGTCAAATTAATCAAAATAAGAAGGTCTTCCTTCATAAAATTAATAGTTACAACCCTTTTAAAAGAAACTATTGTTTAATGCTTGATAATTTCTCTGTGAATTCTGGGATTCTTTTTTTCATTCCAGAATTCCAATGATTCTTTATAGAATTATCTGTTCTTCCTTCTAAATGTTTTGCAATTTCAGCCCATTTATTACTAATTGCTTTATGATATAAAAAGAGAAGCCATTCTTCACAATAATCCCAAAGTGTCTTTTTAATTAATGGATTTAAATGATTATGCCATCTAAGATAATAAATAAGATAAAATACCTTTCTCTGCATTATTTACCTATTCTTCCTGGTAATTTAGAAGCTATAAATGTCCATTTATGCGGACCATACTATTCCACCAATTACATAACTTGAGTTATTCATAATCAGTCCACTAAAATTAAAGAAGATTGATACTTTTTTTTTGTTTTCTCTATTTTCTTTCGCATTTTTTATTTTTGAAATAATATATTTAACTGATGAATAAAAAAATAAAAAATAAAAAAACATAATAAACTCTTTCATTTTATAATAGAAACAAGCTATAATTGTAAATCCTACAAAATAGAATCACTATTTTAATATATAAAAATATTAATATTTTGAAAGATAGCATTAATAATAATAGAACTAAATAATGATAAATAAAAATAATAATTTTAGTAAAACTGAAAGATTTCTATACCTATAATAAAAGCAATTATTAATTTAAAAAGTATTAAATCTTTATTGTTTAAATCAAATTCTATGTTGGATTTTGTTTTTGAATTACTTTTTATTAAAGTTATTCTAAGTAATATTACTGAAAATATCAAAAAAATAATACAAAAACAATAATAAAAAAATCCATTGAAATAAAGATATTGTTAATATTTTGAATAAAAATAAATTTATATTTATTATTATAGTTTGAAGATCAAAAATTATTATATGAGATAAACATTTTTCTAGCCATTTCTAATATAAATTAGTATTACTAAAAAAAGATATAAAGGAATAATAACTCAATTAAATAAATATATTTAATGTTTAGTTCATAGTTCTGAATTTTCAGATGGAACATGATCTTTACCTAAATCTTGATTATCCATTAATAATAAATGTTCTATAAGTACATCACCCATCATTCTATATACATAATTTTATAATGCTTAATCAAGTGATGCTGATTCATGTTCTGCCTATAACAATTAAGTCATTTATGTTGATAAAGGTTATGAGATTTCTCTAACCATTTCAGAACATAAATCATTTAAGTATTTTTCAATTGCTAAATCATCTAAAGCCTCAAATATTATTGTTCTCAAAGTATTTGGTATTATATGATCTTTAATGACTCTTGCATACTGTAAATCGATGTAATAATTGGAACTTGATTCTTTAATTGCATCTTTAGCTATAATATAGACTTCTTTATCTAAAAAGTTTTGAATAGTTTAAAATGCCACTAATTTCATTGGATCCTTTTCTTACTCTGGTTTATCTTTAAATCTTTAATTTAAAATGCTAGTAACTAAATAATCAGTCTAATCTTTAACTACTTCATTAGCCATTCTTCTTACTACTCTATTTAATAAATCATCTATTATTTTTAAATAAGCTTAATGTTTATCACTATAAAGTGATAAATCTTAATTATATTTATTGTAAGTAATTACTTCTAACACTATATCAGGTATAAATTTATCCTAAATACTTAAAAATTTATTTACATAAAGAACTTTCCTTAAATAATCTTCTGCATATAATTGACATACTTTTATTTTTTATTTTATTCGTGGTATTTTAAATCTTCTTACATGATAACCCTTCATTGCTGCTTAAAGCATTATCAATCTCTTCAATCTTAATTTTGGAAGAGTATAAGCTTTAAATTCATTTATTATCTATTCTGGACTTTTCTATGCTATTGTTGATTTCAACACCAAACTTTGTATTTTATCTTATGCTCTTTCTTTCTATTCCATAAATTCTTTTTATCTATCATATTTCTATAAATCTATTGGCTTCTTTTATAGTTCCACTGCTTCATAATATGGTTATTACACTAATTTATTATTTGCTTAAGAATATATTGTTTAAGGTTTCAATTATCTTACAGGTATGTCAGGTGTTACTCTTTATGATAAATTACCATAATCTTTAAATGTATTTGGATCATACCTATTATATTAAGGTTTATTATGAAGCATTGGATCATAATAGTTCATTGATTAATTCTATGGTTTAATAATTTCATAGCCATTTCTCTAAAGCTAACTTTGGTAATTTTAACTTGTATTTTACTAATTCATCTTATTCTTATTAATGTAATCTTAAACCTCAAATTTATTAATTATTTTTTTCTATAAATAATGAATCAAATACAAATCATTTTTTAAGATATGTATTATTCACAATTTTACTGAATAAAGTCTTTAAAGCACTAAAATTAATCAGATAATTTGATTGTGACAATCAATAAAAATAAATTTTAAGTTAGTAAATAAATATTATTATATAATTTCAAAAATCTAAAAATATATTTGATTTTCAATATCCTAAATAATATGATTTCAACTTGTTATAGAATTATCATAATAATCATTGTAAGATAAAAGTGATATACCTAAATTTAATCCAAAGATATTAAATATTTAAATTATTTAGTAGCTCTAAAAGAGAATATACTTCAATTTATACTGAATAATTTTAATTCTAATAGATTAAAAATAAAAAATATAGAAAAATTTTCATTTTCATATTGCTAAAGATCTTTCAAATATTAAATCTCTCTATATTAATTAACTCCAGAACAATTTTCCAAATATAAACATAAACGAAAGAATATAAATAATCGTTCTATTTCTCAACATTTGGAACTTTAATTTATGAATTATTTACTGACTCAGATTACTTTTACTATAAGTTAATAAATTTATATTAGAATAAAATGAATAAGACATATAATTTACAATTACACTTTTATTTTAGAGAAATAAATATCTTAACTTCCATTTAGAATTAAAAATAGAAATAATTGCTTAAAAAAAATTTCTAAAGAGATCCTAAGATAATTATCCAAGAAATTAAATCCATAATTTCCAAAATTCCTAATTAATGACAAATAATCAATTATTTTCAAATTATTAATCAACCTAGTTTTGAGTACAATATTTAAGAACTTTAAAGAAGAAGGAATTTTAATCACTAAAATCATCCATAAAAACAAAAGATTATCAAATAAAAAGCTCGATTTTAATAAAAAAAAATCCAAAAGCTTGATTATTTGGCTATTTAAAAGAATGAAGTATGAATTTATATTTATTAAAAGGTGCAAAGATTAAAAAGGTAGTTAATATATAGAAGCTATCAGTTTAAAACAAATAAAACAAAGAATTAAAAAATAAATTAATTTTAAACTATGGGAACAATTTACAAATTCATTCCTATTTCTTATATTTTCTAGTTATTATTGATCTATTGATATTTTCTAATATCTTGATCTATATTACTGAAACAAAAATAATGTTAACAAAATAAAATTTATTGTCAATAAAACTTTACTTATGGTTTAAAAATAATAAGTAAATGTCTGATGTCAAAAAAATAATTATTACCTCAATTTTTATCAGTAATACTATTTAAAGTATACATTATGTTATAAAATATATTAAGAAATGAAGTGAAATGTATCATAGTTATTGCTATAAGACCAATAAAATAAAAAATTAAGGTAAGATTTAATCATCTCAAAGTGAAGTAATTTTGAATAATTACATAATTGGAGAACTTAAATTTGATATGAATATTTTAATTGATGAATATTATTGATGTATAATATAAAAATATAAGATTATAGCTTATGTTTATATTATAAAAATAGATAACATAATTATATAAAATGAACTTTATGAATACTCACTCATAATTTAATATCTAAAGAAAAACTATTCCTCGACCTACTATTTCAAGATAATTTACAAGAGAAAAGAGTTAAACAAATTTAAATCCAACCACTCCTTCTGTAAGTTACTTTATATTATGATTAAGACAAAATTTCGTATTACGAATAATATTCAACAAATAAATAGAGATAAAATTTAGAAAGTTAGCGGAAATTATTTTAGTCAGAATGATGATACAACTGGAAGTACAAAAATGTCAAAGGGTATGAATTAATAATTACTAAAAAAACATGAAATTGAATTTAAGTAATCTTGGTTTGAATAAGAAGATAGAGAAGAAGAGCTTTAATTTGCTCTTCTTTACTAAACTCTTGAAAAGATCTTATGATTCTAAAACTTGTAATGATATGATAAGTGTTTGTAATGGAATGTGTTTATAATAAATAAATAAAAATTTTGCTTAGAATAATATTATTTATTATAATAAATAATTTAGAGATAAGGTAAAAACATAAGACAATGTTATATGTTAAAATAAATAGATATAAAATATACTAATGAATAATACCCACTGATTCAACGTTTATATTTTGAAATTTCTCTTAAGAATAATTCTCTTAATCTTGGAATTTATAAATCACCTTCTTATTCAAAATCTAAATAAATAGGTCCTAAAAATTTAATTATTTTATAATATACCAGGTGCAACAATTTCTTTTTTTTTATCTCTAACTTTTTGAAGCATTTAATGTTCAATAGCTTGATCTAAAGTAATTCTAATTTTTGGACTAAATTAAAGACATTTTTCAAGAAAATCCAAAGCTTCAGGAGGTGCTCCTGGAAATATTTCAACAAAAGCAACTTTAGGTTTTTTAGGGAAACTTTTCAAATATTCAATAGCTTTTTTATCAGTAACAAAATCCATATCTCTATATAAATTAATTGTTATAATACTTTTCTGCAGGTGTTCCTAATACAGAAAAGATGACAGTGAGTTGATCAGTATTTGAATAAGGAAATCCTCCTTTTTTTGCTATAGCACTCCTTTCAGGACTAAGAGGAAAACAACTTGTTCCTGGGAATAATGGAGCTCTATCTAAAAATGTTGGGGCATTTTCTTTCATCATATTTAATAATTCTGCAAAGATACAACCAACTGACCAAACATCAATAGCAGCTGTATAATCTTTTTCTAATAAAATAACTTCTGGGGCTCTGTACCATCTTGTTACAACATGACCGGTTAATTCTCTTTTTACTGCTTTTGCATTTAATTTATTTTATTTTTAAAGCAATCTAGGTCCTTTTTTTTCATCTTTCTTTTTAGGTTCCTCTTATTATCTAGCAAGTTCTTCTTCTAATGCTTAATCTGTAGTATCAATTCCTTAAATATAAAAATCTATCGATTTACCCTAAACACTTCTAGCTAATCCAAAATCACAAATCTTAACAGTACAATCTTCATTTAATAATACATTTGCTGGCTTTAAATCTCTATGTAAAACCTTAGCAGAATGTAAATACTTAAGTCCCACACAAATATTATAAATTATTGTTTATATGTGTAGAAATTATAAATGAATTGGTGACTTGAATAATTTCTTAAGGTCACTCTTTGATACTTAAATTTATTACTTGAGCATATTCCATTACAACATAGATAGTATCAAAAGATTTAGGATCTTATGGTTCAAGAATTTCTATTATTTGAATTAAATTTTGGTGCTTTAATTCTCTCAAAATGCATATTTCTCTTAATATTCTTTTACAATCAATTTCATCATCAAATATTCCTGTTAATCTTAAATATATGTATTATAATCAACCTTTTTATAGCAACTTTCCTATTTGTAGATTTTTACAATGCCTCTACGACTTATCCATATGATCCTGATCCTATTTATTTTATTATCTCATAATCATCTCCTACTTGCCAATCTGAAAAGTTTTTAGGAAGTTAAGATAATTTTTGAAGTTTCTAAGCGTCCTACATTTAATATATTATTAAAATAAATAAATTATTTTATGATTCTTTTTGCAGTGAAATTGATACTATTTCAATTTTTAAATTGAGATGTTTTCACAATCTCTCAATATTTAAATTATATCCTTCTTCACTCTTGCAGATATTTGTAAATTATATTATAAACATAATCCAATTACATTTTCAAAAAGGTCTTTCAATATTTATATATTAATTGATTTAAGTTTTTAATTGAATGTTTAGTGACCAATAAATATTATAAATGGTGTTAGCTATTGACAGTATTGTACTACACTTGTAATTTTACTTTACAGATGAAAACTAATATTTGATTATGGGGTTATCCTCAGCTGGATTTCATATAATTTTGTATATAGTCGAATAATTATGGAATAATTCCTCATTTAAAATTACCCTAAATGTACTTAAATTAGGTTGGATACTTTTTATATCTTAATTTTTGTATGAAAATTGGATGGTCTATATTGGAATTCAAATAGTATGTATTATAAAATTGAATTACAAAAAAACTAAATTATTGATACCGATATTATTTACTATTCATATAGCAGCAATAACATCTGACAACATAGATTATTTACCAACAGGTATTATTAGAAATTGTCTATCTTATTTTTTGTTGTTATTTCTATTTAAAAAACCTTCCTACACCTTAAATTAAGCATAAGATATTATTAAATAAATAACTTCAAATATTTATATAATTTTAGATAGTAATTTAAATCCTGTGGATGATGAAGAAATATTTGAATCAATTTAGAAAGAATAAGTGATTATTTAATAAGATGAAAAGGTTGATATTATTCATACTCATAGAGAATCATTAAAAAGTGGATTTTATCCAAAATTAATTGATGATAAAAATGTATCTGAATTTAAAGAAGTATTGAATAATCTAAAATCTAGTAAAAACGATTGGTCAATTTAAAAATATGATACATAATCAGATTTTATAATAATTGTAAGGAAAGTTTATTTAGGTAATGATTAAATTAATAAATTCTGTGGTTGGATTAATAAATAAAAGAAGGAGGTTTATTATCTTGTTATTAAAAAATAAAAAAAAATTAAATAGAATTTAAATTAAAATGATAATTCTAATGATCGAACAAATAAAATGATAAAGACTTTAAGTAAAGTATCTCATGATATGAGAACACCTTTAAATGCAATTATAAATATGCAACTTTGTTTAAGAGATTAAATTGATTCTTTCTTATTTAATCGTTATTTGAAGCCATCTTTGAATTCTTGTAGATTGTTATTAAATTTAGTTAATGATATTTTAGATTAGGCTTAATTATAGAATAATAAAATTAGATTAGTTTTTAGAAAATTTAATCTAAAACGGCTAATTGAAAAAACAATATCAATTTTTGAAATCTAAAAAGAAAAAAAAGAACTTAAAATAATTCTAAATTATTGTACTAATTCATAATAGGTAAATTAATTTGTTAATAGTGATAAAAATAGAATTAGATAAGTTATAATGAATTTAGTTAGTAATGCTATAAAATATTCAGAAGCAAAAAAAAAAATAACTATAAATTGTGATTATCATAAAAAAAATTCAATTTTTACTATTTCTGTTATTGATGCAGGTTTAGGAATCAAACCAGAAAATTTAAAATCTTTATTTTAAGAATTTTCTAGAGTTGATGATCTTGCAAATAGAGATGTTAATCCAAATGGAATTGGATTAGGTTTATTAATAAGTAATGAATTGTCAAAAATATTATCATCAAATAATGAAGGGATATCTGTATAATCAGAATATGGAAAAGGAGCAACATTTTCATTTTAAATATTAAATTAAAAATCTAAAGAAGAAGATATTTCATCTTCTTAATTATCTGAAATGGCTGTTTAAGAAATTTAATAATTGCCTGAATCTCACTTTTTGAATTCTTAAATATTAAAATAGAATTCTTAAGATTTTGCTGTAGCTATAAGACATTCATCTTGTGAAAATAATTTAGGATTTCCAATTTAAAATAATTTAGATATAAAAAAATATAATCTAAGATTAAATTCATCTAATTTATTAAATTCAAATCGTTTATTACCTTTTAATACTGAGAATGAAAAATCTTATTAAAGGAAATCTACAACTCAATCTAATGTAATTATAGAATAAATTAATAATTGGTAAGATCCAGCTTAAAAGCTACCTCCAATTTTAATTGTTGATGATAATGAGTTTAATATAATTGTTCTATAATACATATTAGAATAGTTATTTTTAACTTGTGATTCTGCAATATCTGGAGAAATCGCTATTAAAAAGTGCAAAGAAAGAGTAAAAGAATTTTGCCAATATAAAATAATATTTTTAGATATTGAAATGCCTGATATGGATGGTATGGAAACAGCTAATCGACTACTAGAGTTTGATAAATCATTAAAAATTGTAGCATGTACAGGAAATAGATAGACACCAGAGTAATTAGAAGCATATTAAAGAATAGGAATGTTTGGAGCTATTGAAAAACCAGTTACTAAAGCTAATTTAAGGGATTTATTGTGCAAAATTTTAGAATAAAAAAATGATGCGTAATTTTCTCATTACTTTTGAAATTTTAATATAATATATTATTAAATAATGATTTCTAAAATACAAATTATAATCACAATTTATAAGGTAAACCCTTACTTCTTTTTGAATTTTTAATAAGACTATTAATATAATATATATTATACCTTTGTTTTTAAAAGAGATTCTCTAGGTTGTTAAGAAGACTTTAGTAAGTAAGAGGTGGAAGTTTATTACCTTTTTTTTCTGGATGCTTAAATTAACACCTTTCTCCATAACAACAATATCTAATATTAATTATTTAATGAATACCCATCTTTTGTATAATTCTTACAAATCTAGGTTTTGTAATTATGAGGAACATGCACTTTTTGCCTTATTTCATGTTTACCATGAGCGAATGCGCACTGATTTATTTATATTTTATACCTATTTTCCATATGGGCAATAACCTTCAATTGACCAATATTTACATATCTATTAACAAATAAAATATTTTAAATACCTCAGTTTTGACCTTTACTATAAAAGATGTCTTATTTTTTGTCTTTGACTACTTTTTTATTTAATGTTCTTATTCGTCTTGAATACTTTCACTAATTAAGGTAAGGTTTAACGAAATACCAACTCAAGCCTGAGGAAAAATTATCATTCTCGTCTTAAGTTGAAATACAGCAGCACTATTACATTATATATTCTTAATATCTTAATAATATTATTAATATTCATTTAATAAAATTTCGATTATATATAATCACATTATGATATTATGGATAATATTATTAACCCAAAAAATCTATGAAATCATCACCTATTAAATAATATAAACATAAATTGCTATTTAAATTAGGTAAATTAAAATCAAACATATTTAATTCTAGAAACCATTAATTAAAATTAAATTTATGTCATTCTTCATATAAATATATGTATAATCACATCTTTTTTTTTATCAAAGTTGTATATTTATCAATAGAATTTATTATAGTATATATATATATAGAAAAAGCATCTTTAAAAAAAATATAAAATAAATAAAGAATCATTTAAACAAAATATAAGTCATCATAAATATAAATTATTTTGAATTTCTTAATCAAAGTGTTATTTTACAAAGAGAACTATTTTATTTTATTAATTTAATTTTTATAAAGTTAAAAATTGCTTTTAATCAATGCAAACGAATCCGAATTAGATAAATTATAATGTGACGAAAAGCAAAATTCATAATTATGACAATAAAAAAGATTTTCAGGACAGTTTTTTTAGAATTACTAATACAAAACCTGATAACAAAAATTTTCATATATTTTTTATTCTAATTGATTTTCCTTAATGCTATAATAAGGAAAAAATTGAAGAAAATAATAGCGGAATTCTACAGGGATAGATTATCAATTACGTGATTGAGCATTAATAAGCTCTAAATAACAATCAAAAGTTTATATTTCATAAACGCAATTTTTAAACCCAATATATAGAAGAGGATTTCATATAACAAATAGTTTAGCTATTTAATAAGCTCTTAGAAGGAGAAAAATCGTCAATTTTACTTCAGAATGCAAATTTATGTTATTATTAAATTATTTAAAATATAAACAGCTCCATAAGTGAATTTAACTCTAATTTTGAATAATAAAAAAAGAAAGAAGATTTTAAAGTTACTTTAATAGGAATAACTACAGAATTTGATTTAAAGTTAATTGATTCAAAATATTTTTAATCCTTTTAAAGCTTCACTTTAATGATCTAACAACCTAATTAATAATGTAGTATCAAAAAATAAGAGATTTAAGATTTAATCATGTAAGATTAATATTTCCTAAAAATTAATCTTAACGAAAACCTTAATAAAATAACTAATTAAATAAATCATCTTTATAGATACTTTGTAAAAACAAAAATAAAAAGCTTTAAACCAAAATTAATTATTTTATTGTTAGAAATTAGTGATAATTTTGATTTTGAGACTTATTACTTGTAAAAGTTGGTTAAATAATTAGAAAAAATTTCATAAAACTCTTTAATTGTAATACCTTTTTTAAATTAAGTAAAATGTGTATCAATATATGAAAAATATTTAAAATCAATTATTACACTATCCAATGCATTTTTAGATTACTCATATAGAAGAAAAAATAATGATTTTTAATTATGTGAGGAAATTTGTGCTCATTAATATAAAGAATATAGTCAATATTTTTCATAGACACAAAAAGAAGATCAATTGTTTAATCTTTAATTTCTATCTTTAAAAGTTATAAAGAAATAATATGAATCGAATAATATGGAAATTGAATAAGAATTGAAAAAATAAATTTAACCTAATTTAATTAATCCTTAACAATAAAAAAGTTAGTTAGATAATTAAAATAAACCTTTTGAATTTAATCTTATTGGGATTCTGAATGCATAAAATTAAATTGAATTGAAAAAACTATATGAAAAAACTTCAAAACTTCCTATAAACATTTCTACAGTTTAATACTTTATTTTTTATAATAATAATTCATTTATTATTTGCATTGTTAATAAATAAAATTAACTATTTTATAAAAGACACTTTTATTAGAAGTAAACAGAACAATAAATTGTAGATTCAATATATCTTGATAAATATAGATATGAGATTAATAAAGAATAAAGAAGTTCTTTTTTATTGGATGAAAATTTTTTTTATGAATTTAATGTAGCCTGTTAGTAATTTTTAATAAAAGATTCTTGGTAAAAATAGTATTATGTGTAGGTAAGAAAATTCGATTTAAATGATGAAAAATTACCAGATATAATCTGTAATTATGAAAATGTTGATTAAAATAAATTGATAAAATAAATAAATTTTACAGTTACTTGTCTTAAAAAAAATCAATTTATTTTATTAGGAGGATTTTATTTAAAGCCTACAACTGATTCAAATAAGATAAGTAATAATTTTTCTGTAGGTTCATAATCTATAATTGTTGAAATTGATTAAGAAAATAAATTAAAAATTGCTGAAAATCGAGGAAAATTAAAAGAATTTGAATTTCCAATTGCCTTAAATATTAATGATCAATCTTTTCTTTATTTTGATGCATAAACTTAATACTTAGCAGCTCCAATAAATTCATAAATAAAAAAGATAACAATATTTGGATAAAGACAAGATTTGATTTCAGAAAATTGTAAGAATATAAATTAAAAGGAATATGACTTTTATCAAATCAAGAGTAAATTATTTAGATCAAATCATTTGAATTCTAAATTGATTTAGAAAATTAATAAATCTAACTATCTTGAGTATTATATTGTTGTTTAAGAATTTATTGAAGACAATTTAAAAAAACTAGATTAATAAGATATTATTGATGTAAAAAATCTTTCAAAATAATTATAATTACAAGCTCATAGGTTTCATTTTATATTTGATAAAGCAAAATCAACTCTTGATATTTAAGTTGAAAGTTCTTAATGTATCATAGGATAATTTGAAAAATAAAGCAGTCTTAGAAATGCTTGCCTTTATACTAACGTAAAAGTTTTATATAAAATTTTAGTGGCTGGAAGATAGGAATAATTAATATATCTTTAATTACAATAGACATTAAAATTTATATTTATTGTATTTTAATGATAAAATTAAAATGAATATCAGAAAATTTATATTTGAAGATACCAATGAACAAAATGATAATTATGATTTTGATGAAGTCATTTTAAATGATTTAGAAAATGAGCAAATATGGATAGTAAGAAAGAATAATCATTAAGATTATATTACATTAGATTTATTTGAAAGGTATTTAAATATAAAGAAATTAGTGATTGGATTAATTTGTAAGATGTTAAAGATTCAGTTGAAGATTCAATAACAAAAGTTTCAATGAATTTTATTTATTCAATTACTTAAACTAGCGAAGATTTTTGTTTAATTGGACTAGAAGTAAAATGGGAATTAGAAGATGGCTAAAGATGTCCATATTTAATCGTTTGTACTAACAATTGCATTTATGATATTTCAATCAAAATGATAAGAAAATCAAAATGGGATAATATTTTAAGATATAAGCCAAATACTTGGATTAAAGAACCATTATAGTTTTAAGAATCACCTATTCATAAATAAAGATAGGTTTAATTTAACCTAAATATGTCAATACCAACAATTATAGCTAGCTTGAAAAATGGAGATTTATTGGTATTTTATACTTATTGTAATGTAAAAAAAGAGAGTTACAAACTCTATGAATTAGAAATCTAGTATTTGATTTTAAAAGATTTAAATTAATCAAATAATGATCAAATTTAATCTGAAGATCTCGATCATTAAAGAAAATTTTATTTCAAAACCATCAAATACAATTCAAATTAAGAAGTTAACCTTGCTAGAATTAATATTGTACTTTTAGGAAATAATGAATTCGAATTCGAATTTTCAGTTATTGTAGAAGAATCTGATTCAAAGTTATATAAAGTTTTTTCAGGTAATGAACAAAAAAATGTAAAATAATATATAACAGAGTTGAAATAATGTAAAATTTTGAATGACACTGCCCCTCTAAAGAATTAATGTCTTATAATAGATTAAGGCAATTAAGTTTATCATATGAAATGACATGATATTTTTAACAAAAATTATATTATTAAATTTATGTCTCTTTTTTCCAAAAGAGTTTATAGAGCAATTAAAACAATTTTAGTTTCTCCTTAAGGAGAAATCTTGACATTAATCATTAGAATTATTTCAATCTTAATTCTGTTATACCTAGATACCCTTAACGATTTGAGCAACAACATTTAATATCAAATAATATCCTAAGATTCATAAATACTTTCGCTAGAGATGTTGAATAAAAAATTAATCTCTCATTAATATTATAAGGACAAATTTTTAAATGCTAGTTTACATGTTTTAAAAGAAAATTTTTGGGATTTATTTGTTGATCCTAATGAATTTGAAGTACTTTTATCTGGATTTAGATTAATATAATATTAGATCTCTTATTCTGTTGATTGTCAATATGATGTTTAGAAAATAGAGACTGATTTTGAAGAACAATAAAAATTTATTAATAGTTTATCAAGTAATTGCAATCCAGCAAATAGTGATGCACTTTCCTTTTTATAGCCTTAATAATTTATGTAAAACAATACTCAATTATGTTTATATTCAACTGAGTGTTTTGAATTTTAGTTAAAAAATATATTTAAAAATACTTATGAAGGAATTCTTTAACGATATGCAGAAAATTAGATTAAAACAAAATAATTTGGAACTTATCCTAATAAAGCATTTATAGCTGATATTAAATTCAATAATCGTGAAGAAATGGAATAAATGTTCGATAAATTAATTCTAAATGATTGGATTACAAATAATACTATTGCTCTTGCTATTTAGTTTAATAGAATCAACAAATTTAATAATGTCATCTATTAAAACAATTTTGTTCAATAATTTTTTGAAACATCAGAATAAACCTTTGAATATTCAATTAATTAAATAAATACAAATTCAATGAATTCCTAAACTTGGTATTCATTTTCAATTATCTTAATTGTATTTAATTTCTTTTTTATCATGAAAATAATATTTGAAGGCTCAATTGATCCAAGAGCGACTTAATTATTAGTATTTTTGGTATCAATATTAGAATCTGCTTTTTCAGTTCTTTGCACACTTGAATCTGCAGTTTTATAAAGTGATATTCAAGAAGCATTAAATGATTAAAATTGTTTATTAAATAAAAATGTGTATTATTGGAATAAAGGCTTTCCAATGCTATCTACTTGTCATAATTATATTTTGTTAGATGCTACTTATTAAATTTAATAAATAAGATTAATTTTTATGGCTTTTGTTTTATTATTCATTCCATTTAATGTATTCTGGATTTTCAGTTATTTAAAGGGGACTGAATTGATAGTTAAATTTATTAATTTAATATATAGAACTACAACTCATTTTTTTAAAATGTTTTTCATACGAGCTGCTTAATATATAACTTGGTCTTTAGCTTTTTATATTGCATTTCGTAAAAATTTTGAAACTTATGATTCATATGCTAGTTCATTATATTGTATGATAATTTGGTCAATTCCAAATAAAGAAAATGAATGGGAAAGAGGAGCAATGAATACTGGTTAAATAACCAATGCTTTATTAATTGTTCTATTTATGGTAAATAATATTAGGATAAATTAAGGTATGTAGAATATATGTCATTCTTATGGTTTTGAGTTTCACATCTATTTCAATTTAATCAGCAAGTGATTTCGAATTTGATACTAGATCACCATTAGCAATTTAAAATTTAGAAAATATTCACTAAAATATCAAAAAGTTAGATAAATTCTAAAAGAACTATTTAAGTGATCATGAATAAAATAAATTAGAAAATGGAAAGTTAGTTGCGTGGCTTAATTTAAATATTAAGGATTTAATATAATATTAATAAATTATCTAAGAGTGTATTCAAGTAATTTAAATTTATTAATTGTTAGAAATAAGTTAAATTATAACAATTTTAAAATATATCAGATTTATCTCAATTTGTTAGCTTTTTATTTTAAATAAAACCTTAATTATTGTTTAAGTCTTAAGTTTATTTTAGAATTATTCTAGATTTGGAACCTTTAGATTAATCTCAACAAAATTAACCTCTCTATTTAAGAAGAGAAGAAAGATAAAATGAATACATAAATTTAGTAAGATTTTTTTAAAGATTGAAAGATAAAGGTTCTAGAGTTCCTTTATTATTAAATTATAGTTAAAAGAATAGACCTGCTGATAACATAATAATTACTTTTTTTAAAATTTATCCTTATATACATCTGAATAGTGGAAATTATGATTTATTTAAAGAATTTATTCTAAGCAAAGAAGTTAGGTAATGGTAAAAACGAGTGTATATTCGAGATGAAGAGAACTAAGATTTTGATGAAGAAGAAAGTGATGCTAACTAAATAAATTGAAAATTTGAAATTAATTAGACTTTATAATTAAAACAATATATATATAAATAAATGAAATCAAACCTAAATTCCACTTTTTGTTAAATAATTCAATTTTCTGGTTCAATCAATTCATCTAGTTTTTACTCTCCTTCTTGAAACTAGAATGAATGATTTTATTTATGATCTGATGATTAATTGCCTGAAGAATTTCTTTCTTCATCTTTTTCATTATCACTATCTTCATTAAATTAAAAAGCCTATTCATCTATTAAATGTTTTTTATGTATATTTTATTCACTAATATTGGTTTTATTAGATGTTTATTTTGTAATAGTTATTGCTTCTATTTCTGTTTTTTCTTATGTACTTTCCTTATTTTCTTCCAATTTTATAGGTATTGAAGATTAAGGAATTTACTCTCTCCTTCTATATCTTTTAAAGATATATACAACTAATAGTGAAAATAATAGAAAGAGAATTATCAAAATAATAAAAATCATTTTAATTAATAATGAATTAGCTGAATGAATATTTAGACACATCTCCAAGATCTCCTTTGCATACAACTAATGTAAACACTTGGTTTAAGAGTAGGTAAAAATCACTTAAAAAAAGGCATCAAAATAAAGTGAAAAAATAATATCTTCTATTTCCTGAATAGATAAAATAAGAATAAGAAATTTAGAAAATATTTTAAAATTTCGATAGAAATAATTCAAGTATTGCAAAATTCAATAAACTAAGAAAACCTTGACATTACTGAAATGTATGATATGTTTTAAAAATATGGATTTAAACTTACTGAAGAATAACTTCTACAATTCTTTAAAGTTGTTGACAAAGACAAAAATAGTATTTTATTCATTAATAATAGATGCGTTAAATTGGAATGAATTTAAGAATTCTGTTTTTGATGATTAAGCATCCAAAAGTAAGAATATATATTTAATTAGTATTTTATAATATAATTAAATAAGTTAGAGAACAAGAATAGAATGAATCTCAATCTGGTTATATTCCATTTAATTTTAATGAAATGATAAGCTATTTAAATTATTTAGCTAGTAGAGATGAATTACAAAAATCTATCTAGGTATTAATAATATTATCTAATAGTAAAGTTCATAGACTACAAATGAAAAATTTGAAAAATATTTATCTTTATTAGAATTAAATTAAATTTAGATTCAAAGTTATAATGATTAAAAACTAAATAGTATAAATTAAGAAGAAAGATTGAATCAAAACTATAAAGAAGTAGATTTCACTAAAATTTATCAAAATAAATATCAATCTTCAAAAAGTTCTTGTAATTTTGTTAATTAATAACTAGACTTAAATGGTAAAGACTTACCTACTCTTCAAAAATTGAAATCAGAGAAGAACAGATCAAAGAATTCGTTGCTGAAATTGAATAAAAGTAGTGAAAGTTCTATTACAAATCTTTAGAACTCTTAGAGTAATTAGTTTATTTCAAATTTAGGGATATGTTAATTAAAACAAGATAATAAAAGCTTATTCACTAAGAAATCTTTACTAATGAAATTAAATTTATCGCCTATTAATTAAAAAGGGTCTTAAGATAAACCTTATTTAAATTTAGATTTTAATAAAATCAATTAAAACTATAGGGAAAACCTTCAAAATTAATCACAAACAAATGTAGATTAAAATTATGGAAAAAGTCCTGATAGAGTTCCAATATCAATAATATAAGAATTACAAAAATTCTAAATTTTATCAGGATAGTATAGATAATAGAATATTTAAAAATGTCCCTCTGATTCTGAAACTGGATAAAATATTCCAAAACCTAAATGTTCTATATTGAGAACATCAACAGAAGTTTTAAATTAAAGTAAATAGGTTTCACCAACCAATAGTAAATTATGTACACCTAGGTAATGGAGAGATGAAAAATATTTAAATCTAAGAAAATCTCCTTGTAGACAATTCTAACATAATTTTTCTTAATATAATTAAAAGGAGAAAAATTTAGACATAAATCTTAAAGGAAAATCTTTGTTATTTAAATGAAATTTAAAAGTTACTTTAATCATTAAATAAATTAATTTATCATATAAGTTTTTTTATAGCTGCATATTTTTCTATTATTTCTCTTATTTCGAAGTCGTTTGGTAACTGGAATAAGGATGGTTTTTTAAAATTTATAGCCAAACTTATTAATCTCTATTTTCAATAAATTTAAATACATTTTTAGGATTATTAACAACAAAAGTATCATGAATATATTTTTACCAAATCTCTTTTTTTCTTTAAGCATATTCATCTAATAATGAAAACATTAAAACTCTAAAATTAAATAAAATTATACGTATCTATATGTATATGAGATCTCTCTTCATAATCGTAATATGAAGTTATACCTTTAAGTTAAGCAAATTCAAATATTATATCATCAAACTCCTCTTTTATAAGTCTCCATAACTTCTCCTTAAAATTTCTTTTTTTGCTTTTCATATTTCTAAAATTTCTTTAGATTGAAATTACTAAATTAAAATATCAATATACTTTTTGCTATCCATCTTTAATATTTATTTAAAACACTAATATTCAATATTATTGATTATAAATAAGAAGTAATAACCTTTTTTGCCTTTTAACAAATAGATTTCTTTAATATCATACAAATAACATTCAAAGAAAGTGATGATTTGAATATTGTTCTTTCAATAGGAGTTTCTCCAAAGTCTTTAACTGAAATTAATGATTTTGTTTATAATTACCAAACCAGTAATTTTCCTCTGGCTTCAAGTCTTATTTATTTCTTTTAACACTAAATTATTATTAATAACAGCTTTTACCATCAAAATATAATTTATATTATGAATGAAGATAGTTGTAAAAATGCATTTTAACCATAATTTTTGAAGTGCATTTCTGTATTAATATTTTTATTTGGTCATTTTTTCTATTTCTCTATATTTTATTATTTAATCTTTCACAAATAATTTACTCTTTTTATCTAATTATTTTTCTTCAATAATATTCTTTCCATTATTAAGAACTTTTAATTATCTTGTCTAACGCTAAGATTTTATTTATTATAATGTTTCAGGGTCAAGAAGATTTTATAATCTAGCTTCTGGCTAATAATATTTTGGTTAAGTTTTGTGTTTTTTAGTTCTTGGTATATAATCTTCAAATAAGGATTCTGCTTTTTATTATTTATTAATTTTTTATTTTCTCTCAAATCCAAAAGTGACTACAACTGTACATAAAAAATCATTTTGGGAATATAATGTCATAAATAAATAGTCTTCAGTAAAAAATGGAGTCGTATTGTTTGTGAATATTCTAATTGATTTACTGTTTACTTAATAATCAGCATTAAATTTTGTTGGAAATTCAATTTTTAAAGAGAAATATGATCGTAGACTATTTATTTATGTATTTTAACTTAAGAATGTAATCTAAATAGGAGATTCTTAATTTTTAATTCTAATTCTATAATACTGGAATCTAAATCGTTAAATATCCAACTTCATTTAATAATTTAAATCATATTAAGTAAGATAGTTGTTTTGAATAGTAGGTACTTAAGTAGTATTAGACTATTATTATTTATTTAAAGAATCATATAACTATTGATCCAAATAATTTAATTCGGAAGTCAATTAGTTCAACATTTTTACATGGTTATAATTTTTCTCGAATTCATCATAAATCTCTAGAATTTCATCTGATCTTGGAATAAGTTTTTCTGCAAGTTCGTCTTTATTTTTAAGAATTCTTCTTTATGTGGTAATTGGTGATTTATCATATTAAATTTCAATAGTTTATTATGTTTTGCATCTTGAAGTAATAAGAGTTCTAAAACTTGGAATTGCTAGTTATGTTTGCTATTTATTTTTAATATAATATGAATCTTAAGATTGTCTAGAATATTTAGTGTCAGAAGTAGTTAATTTGTCACGCTTTTTTATTGAATTCTGCAAAGTGTTTTAATACATTTTTTAATATAAAATACAGAACTCATTATTTAAGAGAATCAGATGAGTAACATTAACTGTCCCATCTAACTGTTTTATTACTGTGCTCTCTCTGAAGAGAATTATGATGAGTAATTTATTTTAGTGAAGGTTTGAGCTATTTTTAATTTCTATCTTTATATTATGTTGTTGATTCAAAATGTGTGCCACTCATATTTCTCTTTTTTCTGATCTCAAATTAAGCACTAAAACCAGGTTCAATTTAATTAATTAAATCTGAAAGACAGTCTTCATCAGCCTCCATCTTATATTTTTATGAAAAAATTTGATTTAAATTACTCACTTAAACACTTGATTTTGCAAATCCTTCGTTGTCTTCTTCAATAGTCATTTCTGTAATACAATTATTTCCCATTTTCAATAATTTTTTTTATACAGCAGAATCAATTTAATTAAGTTTATTAAGGCTTGATTATTTCTATAATTTCTCTAATCATTTTATATAATTCAAACTTAAAACTTACAGTAATTCTTGACATATTATTTTAAAATCACTTAAAATTGTCATATAAAAATGCTTAACATAAATCACTATTCTATCAAGACTAAATATCTCATTTTCATTATGTTTTCATCTTAAACTATATATTCAAATTATGAAATTTTAAACCAGATGAGTTCATGCTTTTTTCTTTAATTTCTTTAGGTCAAGATTAAGGAACTATATTACAAAGGAAAAACTCAAACATTTAGCAATTTAAGACATGGTATCATATATCGATCTTTGTATCCTACAACCTTCAAAACTCATTTCAAATTCTTATTACTATATGTTAAAAACTAATAAATTATCTAATATCTTATAAATCACAAAGATCTATTTGTTTTATTCATGCTTTAGATAAAAAAAGTAAATATCAAGTATTTTAAAAAAATTAGATATTATTTTGAACATTATTAATTATAATCATGATTAGAATCTAATTGTATTATCTGAATTATAATTATAACTTTCTATATAAAGTTCTGTGCAGATCTCTCGTTAATTTTTGAGAAACATTGTTAGAGTTTTTAAAATATTTATCTTTTATCATAAATTAATTTAGTTCTATAAAGTTTCATTTGCTTCTAATAAATATTTTTTTTGCTTTTCAAATTGGATTTTTTATTTAGCTTATCTAAAGTAAGAAATTAAGGTCAAAATGATAGTTTTATAATTAGTATTAATAAAATTTAATTTGTGAAAGTTATGCTATTACAGATTAGATACTCTAATGTAACAAAATTTAACGATATGGAGATTTATCACATAAATCAAAAAGTAAGAAAATGTACATTGCTCCTGATATATGGTTTGCAAAAATTTTATAATATTTTTTTTAAAATGATTCATTAAAAATTTACCCTCTTTTTCAATTAAACTCAATATTATCCACAAGATGTAATTTTAAAATTATATCCAGAAGAATTTACATTTGAAAAAAAATATTTTTATGAAATTTTTTTCATTCATGAAGCATTAAAAGAGCCCATAATATAAATCTTCATAAACACTAATACTGTATAAATTAAATTAGATTCAAATATTCAATAATAATTTTTTGTTTGAAATTTTGGTTTATACATTTAGACAATCTTGCAAATATCTTTCTTCTGAATATAATCTTTTATTCTATTCTTATTGTTTGGCATCATGCTATGACAATCAATAAATAATCATCAGTTCTTCCAAATTATGTAATTAACCTTTCTCATAGTATGGAATATAGCTTCTCTACTTGTTTCTCTTCTACTTTTTTTTCCTTATTTCTTGATTGTATTTGCGGAACTGAATCTTATTTTGTAGAAGATTATTAAACAGTATATTCATTATTAATCTCAATCTCATTTTGTTATAAGACTTTATTTTATTTTAGATTATACTGAGATTTTATTCCTCTTTTTTTCTATATCGGATTTTTAATAAATTTTTCTTTATTTATTATAAAAATTATAGCTTCTGGATAAATTTTTGAAAAATTGCTTTAATAATTTTTAATAATAAATTTATAAATCAATTTTGTTATTCCATTTTTTCTTTTTATATTGGACTGTAAAATCCAAATTGCATCACCTCCATACATAAATCATCTATTTAATTATAAATTCCTTTTGATATCAAATAATGAAAGAAATGTATTTTATTAAGTACAAATGAATGAGGAAAATATTGTGTTATTACTTAATTTTGATTTGGCAATATTATTTCTTCCTCAACTTTTTTTGTTGTTGCATCATCAAATAGTTCAACAAATGCTTTTTTGGACTTTAAAAAAAATTAGAAACTTTTTGTTCTTATATAAAATTTATCAACTTTAAATGGTTATAATTACTTATTAATATCACTAACAGCAATTGTGATATTTATATGAGTGTAATAAGGTAAAATTAAATCATTTCATATCTACCATGGACTCTCTATGAAAATACATCATTTAGAATCAATCTAGTAAGGTGAATAATTGAAATCTTTAAGATTTAAATCGTAATCACATTCAACATTAATTAATATTGGATGAGCCTAATGATTCGGATTTGCAATTGTCAATATTCTGTTACTTATAAATGACGTATCAGGCTATTCTTCTTTTATTTTAATTTTATTTTGATTATCAAAAGCTATGAGTATATATGCATTTAAAGATTATTTTATATTTATTATATCATCCATTTATTACTTTAATTGATATTTCGTTTGATTAAACGATTCAAATTAATTGAATAATCTTTTGATAAATCTCTTTTAACTCATTCTTTTTTTTCTAGATTTTAAATCGAAGCAGCATCTAAATTAATTTTTTATTTAATACAAAATCATCGATTTTAATCTTTCAAAAATTTGATAGTAAAATTATATATTCTTTTAGTTAAAGCTCCTCTTTTTTTTTGATATTTTATAGTTAAATTCTTGCATATAAATTAAATTTTTGATAAAGAAAAATATGCGTTTCTTGACTTTTTAGTGAATGCTTTTTTGATTTATAAAAAAAAAAGATGAATTATAAAATCTCTTTTAAGATGATTCATTCTTAAAAAGATATTTAAATTAAAAAATAAATTAAATCAATATAAATAACGGATATATTGATATGAATCATTAAATAATAAATATAATGATATTCTATAAATTTTTGAAAACAGAAAGTTATTTTGTATTTTGAGGAGATGAATTTCTATTGATAATAGGTGATAATGAATTTCAATAAAATTAAATAGAAAAAAATCTTTTCATTATATAATTTTAATCATTTTATTATTTTCTTTTTTTTGGTTTTAGTTTATTTTGTATTATCGGGAAGGTTTGCTAAGAGAATTCCTGGCTTTGGAAGAGGTACTTTATAAGGATTTGCATGTCCTTAAGGTATCAATATAGATTTCTAAAGAATATTAATTGGAACAAATTTGTTAGCGGATGCTAATCTATTTTTTAATTGTTTAATTTCACCAATCTAAATAAATTTGATAAACATATTTTAATACCTGAGAGTCTAATTCTTATTTGATACTATGAGTTTTTAAAACAGAACTGAATAATCTTTTTGGTTAAGCACTTTTGAAACAACTAGAAGACATAATCCTGTTACTTTAAATAGTTTCTTAATTAGGATTATTTGTTAATCCACCTGGTAGACAGGCACCTCTAGACATTTTTAATAATTGAAGTCTTTATGAGTTAATTTATTTTTCAAGATCTGCTTATTTACTTTAAAAATCTTCTGCTTCCTCTTCAACTTGAGTTGGTATAACAGTATTTTAAACTACCTTAGTCATTGGTACTGCACTTTATACCATTCTTGCTTTTGGTAAAGAAGTTCTGTTAAGATAATTTGCATAAGCTTTTTCCTCAGCTAAATCCATTTTTTTAGATTCATATAAATCTGAAATTTTAATTCCAACATTTGAATATTATGATCCCATTGCTGTTAACTAATAATAATAATAAATTTATAAATACATATTCTGATTGTAATACCATTTCATCAATTCTACTCTTATTAGTAGCCCATTCTTTCATAGATTAAACCATTTCAACATCTTCTCTTTGTTCTTTTACTTCTTTTATTCTTTATTCACTATAATATTAATTTAATCTAGCTGCTACCATTTTATCTTCAATTTAAGAAGGATCATAATTATGAAATGTCCCTTATTATTCTCCTAACCTGAACTTTTATCCTATTTGATAAGCATTTTAAGTTTCAAAATCTGTTTTATAGGTTTTATTTTCAGGTGCTATACTAATATATTTATCTGCTCTTTCTTTTTTTTTTTTTTTTTTCACTGTTTATATTTCTTATTAAGATGCTAAATTTTTATTTGATTCTTCTATTTTTTCTGGTGATTAATCTTCATCCTCATCTTATTCTTATTCTATTCCTTCAATTTAATCTAATTTATCTCTATCTGTTGGTTTATCTGCTTTTAATGGAGATTCCTCTCTTTAAATTAATCTTCTGCTTGATTTTTATTATTTATCTTCAATAGGTTGAAATACTGGAAAATTGGGATCATACATCCAAGTTTGTTACTATTTAGAAAGTGTATGTAATTGATTAGTTTTAGGTCTTTATAGTTTTTCAACTTAATCAATCATTTTATATGTAGTTTGAGATGTTTAAGGTCTTGTAAATTAAGAAACACCTAAAACTCCTGGAGTTGTTCCTGGACGAGTGCTAGTATCTGATAAAAGATTTTTTCTTTGATAAGTTTTTACTCTATCTTCAGGTGGATCAAATTCAGGATGAACCGATCGAAATTTAAGAGTATAATCTTCAATTCCAGAAGTATATTGGTCTTCATTATATGTATTAGGAATAAAATGAAGAGTCTAAAAATACAATAAATTAATTACAGAATCTTTTTTCTCTAAGAGAGATTATTTTAATGAAGCAGTCTAAGATTTTGGTAATTAAGAGAAGAACCAATTTGATACTTTGTTAAGGAAATCTTATTGTTATATTTTATTCCTTGTGCTAACGACTTCTAATAGAGAATTTTTTAGTTAACGATATAGATTGTCAGAAACTAAGGGATCTAATAATTTGATTTGTTCAGCTCTATGAAGTGTTACCTTTTCATTCCAATTCATAATTTACTGTTTCAACATTTAAAATAATGGATTATTATTTAAGTAACCAGAAGTGAGACCATCAAGATCTATCTATTTGATAAATTGAAGAAGTACTATTTGTAAAACTGGTTTTTCATTCAATCTATTTAAGTCATCAATCTTGTATCCAGTTCTATCAAGTCTTTCATTCAATTGTTCATCAACTGTCAACGGAGGTTTAATTAATGGTTTTCCATTTAGATAGAGAGCTTTCTCCATTTTCATTTTATTTATATAAATTTATATATATAGTTTATGTGTATGGTGAAACTTTAACAATCTATGATATATAAAATCATTTCTAAGGTTGTTACCAATACTAATTTTGATATTATTGATATTATTATGGATACTATTAGTATTGTTGATAATCATAATATTGATATGGATAATAAGGATAGTATTATTATTGATTTCTTTACTATTACATTTAATATTTGTATTGTCTTAATGCTTGTTCTCTTTCATCGATTACTGTGAAATCATTCAAGATGCTTTTTTTATCTGAAAATTCCTCAAATATTTTCATCATTTCTTTTCCAGTTTCCCAATTTAAAAATACTCCATCTCTTGATCTAGTTACTTCTACATTATCACTATTTTAAATTATAAATTATTCTAACCTATTTCTTAGATGCTCAAAATGTTTATTTGGTACATCTTTTACATAAAGCCATTATACATTGAAATGCCCTTTCCATTTCTTTATTTCCCACCAATATTGAAAACTCTCTTCTTTGTATCCAGATGTCAACTTTGCTACACCAACAAATTATCCGCTTCTTACTACACTGAAAAATAAATAAACTGGAATCCCCTCTTATTGAGCTTCTAAATATTTTGCATTCAACTTCTCATTGTTTTCCTTACTTGATGTCCAAATTCCATATTTTATTGACTATTTAATATTATTTATAATTATTACTTTGTGTATATCATCATCATTGTTACTACGAAGTATATATGTATGTGCATTTACAGCATCTGCTAAATGTCTCTCACTCTAATTTATCTACTTCAAAGCAGGTATCAATTTAGAAGCCTATTCTAAGTTTGTGTAATCCTAACATGAAATGTATGGAACTTTTAAATCTCGTTTATTTCTAACATATGGTTCATAATGATTGTTCATTAATTTTTATTAAAATTTAAATAATAATATTCACCAAGTTATTCATTTCTACTGGTACTCTCTAACTTATGATTTGTTTTATTTTTAAATGTCACTTATTATTATTTATTTAATTAATATTTCAGATAAACCTTTTTCAAATTTATTTCCATTATATTCTTTTAAATCAAATTTTATTGATGCTTTATAAATTACCTATCAAAACTATATTACTATAAATAATTTAATAGTCAATAATTCTCTGAATTCTCAAGTATTCAGTATTTATTCATATTTATATTTTTTAATCTCCAAATATAAATAAAAACTACTCACTTTTTATTTTTAATTAATCATATTTAAACTTCATATATCTATATTTATCCTCTTACTATTGTATTTGCTTCAATCCCTTTTATTCACTCAAAAACCAACTTACTATATACTTGATCAATACATTTTTATTCGCTTAATTTTTTCATTTTTCAAAACTGGAAGTATAATTGATTTTCAAAGAAAATCTACATGATTTTTCATTTTTAGTTTACCAATCAGGATTAATTTAATACATTTTCTTCTTTTATTTTCTGTTCTAAAGATTTTAATGATTCTCTTGTACCTGATAAACGCATTTCTATATTCATCTGTTTATTCTTTTAATTTTTTTAGATATACTTTATTTAATTTTTTTAAAATGATTAATATCTTAAGGATCAGAAAACTCATTTTTCATTTTTAAATATTTATCATTTTGTAAAGAGTTGAAAGAATTTTTACTTCTATAAGTTTTGCAACTCTTTTTCTAAAATTGTATTTTCCTCCTCAATTTTTATTAAAAAATTAAAATTCTTATAGAATTAAATTATTGTGATATAAAAATAGCATATTCAATCTAATTTAATATAATTTCTTTAAGAAGTTCTCCAATAATAAGCTAAAAAATCTGTTTATACAGTGTGTTTTTAATAAATCTATTATAAAATAATAAAATACTATTTTAAATCCTTCACATTCATAAAAATTAGTAATGAGCCTCTAATAATCTTTGGAAGTTTCAAACTCTTAACTAACAACTCTTAAATCATTCCAAATATTTGTCAACAATAATAAAAAATGCCAAAATCCATTTCTAGTAGTATTGATAGGAGTAAAGATAGATCTATCAGGGTAAGTTAGGACATAAATGTTCTATAATAAGAATTTTATTTACTATAGGTTATGCTAATTTTTGTAATTCAGCAATCATTTATCTTGGTGGAAATAAGACTCCTAATTAATTTGTTTAACATCCCTATAAATAATATAAATGAAAAAGTACTTCAAAGAATAGTAATGTAGGCTTGTTTTATTATATGACATCATTTAATTCTAAACCAGTTCCTGTTTAAGCAATATTAATTGAGAATATATTCCTAATAACTTAATTTAATGACAAAATTTGATATCTAATTTCATCAATATTTTCTACAAAGGTTGCAAAGTTTGGTGAAGATTAAGCTAAAAAGAATATCCAATCAATTGGGCTAGAATGATTTGATAATATCAATTATCCACCTTTATCTTAAATTGGAATTTAATTTTCAATATTAAAAAATCCACATGTTAATAACATCAATTTACCTATCAGTTAATTTAGAGTATCAATTTTTAAATTATTTAAAATTTTGAGTAATAAAAACAGTATAACCAAAATAGGAACTCTAATCAAAATTAATATGGATCCTAAGATCTAAATTATATAATTTAATTTAAATTACAATATGGAGGAGTAGAATAAGAGGGGATAATTTTTAATTAACAAAAGCTGGAATAAATAAATTGATTCCTGTATGAGGATCAGCATATGCTCTAAATTTCTCCATTTGTATAATTAATTAATAATAATAATAATAATTAAAGAAAAAGAAATTGTTTCATTTAACTTAAAATTCACTATTGTTTTATCTTGGTCTTCCTTCGTATTTATAGGCTTAAACAACTAAAGAGTATTATCTTTTATCAAATTTGTGTTCATTCAATTTTTATTTTAAAGAAATCAATACTTACTATTTTTTTTTGTATTTTTGTAAAATCAATTACTTTTTAGTTATGCCATAATTTCCTTCCTCATTTATAATTTTTAATAATGCTATTTAACTTTAAACTGATTCTTTAGATTGTGCAATTTATTGTTGTAAATCATTGATTTCTTTCTATTTACTAATAATTTCTAGAGTGTTTTAAATAAAAAAATACTTTATTATTAATATACTCTAGATTTTTAGGCTTATAATTATTAAAATTTATTAATTAATTATTTGATTTCATTCATTTATTGTTTAATGTTATGAACATCGAATTCATTACCAATCTAATATTCTGAATTGATGATATTACTATTATTATGCTTTTGTTTTGTTAAAAACTATTACATCAATTAGACACTTCCAACTGTAGGAGATGCTATTCTTTATTATTTAAGTTTAACTTCTAATTGAGAAAATAGACATTATAATTATTCTTGACATTTTTGTATTTTATTGTTTTGATTAAATTAGAATGTCAGACGAAGAGTGCCTGTAATTTATTTCTTATCTGAGAAGCTGTACCATTCATTTAAATTGTTTGATTACAATTCTCTCAAATCTAAGGATAAAGAACCTATTGCCATGTTCTAATCATTAACAATAATTTCAATGCCACTCATATTCAATTAAAAAGACTAATTCCATTTTGGATTTAAGTTTTCATTAGATTTAGTCTCTGAAGTAAAAACTTAATTTCCTTACAAAATTTTAATGCATCTATTTAGTTTTTTTAAGTTACATCAGCGCATTACGCTTTTAGTATGATATAAATCTAGCTTCATGTAATAATAATTACACTGTTGAATAATTATTTTATTCAAAATAATTAGAGAATGATGTTTCTCTAAACATGAAATTTTAATTTTATTTAATTTTAATGAAATAGTTAGACTCTCATTTACCTTCTGCAATTCATAGTAGAAGAATTCTCACTTAGTTTACTGCAGCATTAGATATCAGCAGAATCAATTTATAATCACGTTCTTAAGTCAGATGCAAAACAGAAGGAACAATCCTAAAAACAGATCATGGTACTTGTACTACTGAAGATGAATTTTTGCCAATTTTTGGAAGTGTTGATTTGTGGTCTATTTTGGGTTAAAAGGATTTTTATTTTACATAATCTCCAATAGAAATAAAATTATTACAACAAGCAGAAAATGAAATAAATATGACTTTTATGGACATCTAAACTATGAATGCAGAAATAGAACGAGGGTATATTACCAAAAAAGGATAGTTACATTTCAAATAAACTTAGTTATTAAAATAAACCAAATTACTTTATATAACTCCAAAATAGAGTTAATAATGTATATACATTTGTTTGATATAAGGAATATAATCAAATTTGGAGGTATAATAAAATTTTAAAAAATTTTTACTGAATGTTTGGAGATGCGAAACTAGAAAATTATGTGCTGGTTGCTATTTTGAATTTATACATATTTTGGTTTGGGATTATATAAAACAATAAACATGGATAATATCTGGATAAGATCTTGATTTATAGCATATACGTTCATGCTAAAATTTCAGCAATTCAAACACATTATATAGGGGTAAAAAAGTAAGAAGAATTCTATTTAACAGCAATGAAAATTAGATGAAAGTTAAAAATTTATCATAAAAGCAATCTTTTCATTAATAGAAATTGGTAATTGAAGATAAAATAAATTTTGTAATGGATTTTATAAAGCCAATAATTTAAGAGAAAGATCGTATAAATGATGTAGTAGTAATGAAAAAGACTCTACTAAGACCAAAATCAAGTGTTGATAGAGTGAAGAGAAGAAATTAAAATTTGATAACAAAAATCTTCACTCCAAAGGCAAATTAAATTAGTATAAAAAATAATATATATTAATGATTTCGCTTCCTTCATTTATCAAACATTAATTTGGAATTCCTGAAAAACTCTTAAAGCACAGAACAAAAATGATAATAGACACAGATTCTGGTGGTGATGATATTCATGCTTTAATAACAGCATTTGATTTAGCAGCTAAAAGAAATATTGAAATAATAGGTATCACATGCATAAAGTATAATAAAAACATAAAATTTTAGTGGAAATTCTTTTATAGATGATGGAATTAAAAATATTACCATAGTATAAAAGATAGCAGGAGTTACAATTCCAATTTATAAGGGATGTGATAGAAATTTGAAATAATAGATAACTTTAAGTTCTAAATTTTTTGGTGATGATGGAATGAGTGGCCATTAAGAAAAATATTTAAAGGAGCTCAATATTACTTAATATCCCCTTTAGAAAGAACATGCTGTTGATTTTATGATAGAAAGTGCTCTAAAATATAAAGATGAATTAATAATAATAAGTTTAGGAGCTCTTACTAATATAGCATGTGCTATGATGAAGACAGCAGATTTTGAAGAAAATATAGGATTAATAATTGGTTTATGTGGTAACATTTTAGGATTGGGTTTCATGAATAATGGAGTAGCTGAATATAATGTACATACAGATCCTGAAGCCGCTCATCTTGTTTTTAAGGTATTAGCTAAGAAATTGATAGTAATACCATATGAAGGAGTCATCTCAGTATCTGAATTTACAGTATTTTATTAATTATAAATTAGATAACTAAAGTATTTGAATAAGATTCAACTGTCAAAGGCAAATTTGTTAAAGAAATTTATGAAGGAATGAAAAATACCAATAATAGATATGATATCTAAGATCCATTATGCATTCTTGTTGCTACTTAACCAGATATCATCACTGAATTTGTTGAAAGACCTTGCAATGTTATCTTAGAAGGTGAAGGAAGAGGAATGCTTACTGTTAAATGGCTAGAAAAAGATCCATAAGCTAGTATTATACATTCATTATTATTAAATTAGATTTAGTGACTTTCATCTTAAAAGTAAATGAGAATCAATTAATTTAAACTCTTAGCAATGTTGTAAATTGATTCAAAATATATATTAAAACATAAATAAAATCCATCTTTCCATTATTAATTATTTATAACATTTTTTTCAATATTTTTAAATATCTATTTTTAGTTTTTAATCTTATTTATAAATCATATTTTCTAACTATCTTATTTCTAAATTACTTCAAAAAACCTTTTTGTGTATTTTTAATACTAAATTATCTATTTTATATATAAAATATTCTCCTCATACACCTTTATTTGACTATCTCTCTTATTTTCACTAAATTGATAATTATTATTCGTTAAAATTTTATCTTCTTTAATGCAATTTCTAAACACTACAAAGCTGAATTCAGAAACAGATCCTAATTCAAAAATTACATCTTTAGAGAGTAAAAACTATATTTAATATAGATAATATCAATAAACTTATTAATGACTAGGATGGATTAATGACATAGATTAAACATTTTGAGGATATTCATAAAATTTAAGAATAAATCTACTTATTATAAAATAGATTAGATGATTATGAAAATTGTGGAAAACTCTAAACTTATAATCAAAATAATTCTTAATTATCACATCAAATTAAACAACTAGAATAAAGAATGATTGAAATGGACAATTAAATTTTAAATTCTAAAACCTAACCTAGACGTCCTGAAATTCTCTAAATAGAAAATACATTCAAAAAAAATAAGAATGCAGTTAGATTGGAAGTTCAATAAGAATACAAAAATATTTATAAAGTATATTTTTATTTAAACTAGGAAATGAATGGTTTAAGATGCGACTTAGATTATGTAATTAACAGTTAAGTAAAGTAAAAAATTACTAATAAAATTAAAACTCAGAATATCAATCTAGACAATAATAAATTATTATTTATAAATTTATTAGAACTAGAGACTTTTATTGAAGAACTTGATATATACGAAAATTAAAATACTCAAAGATTTCTTTAAGAATTGCTTAATTGTGATTCAGAAAAAGCTAAATCTTTAAATTATTAATTGGCAGGAACTAAAAAAAAATATTTAAGTGAAATAAAAAAAATTGAGCATAAATTTAAAATCCTTGCTGATTTAGTACAACCTCAATCTCCTTAAGAAAAATATACTATGTAATTAAATTACCAAATGAGTCAAATAGTTTAGAGATTGCATAAAAATATTGATATGTTACTATTAAAAATTAGTGAATAATTACGATGAAATATAAATCAATCTTAAAACTTCTCAATTATTTATTATTAAGTTTTGATTATATCCAATAATTAATACATCGTCTCTTCTATAGGAAACTCTAAAACCATAGGTTTGTATTCATAATATTTTTTTTTCTTTTACATTCTTATAATTGCTATTATGACAATTGCAATTTTCTTAAATGTCTATTTATATTCACAATGAAACTGATCTGATTACAGAATCTCATAATTTAGATATCTTACTCTAAAAACATAGATAAGAAATGATTCAACAATTTAGGTGAGAAAAATATTTATCTATTATATTTTTAAATATTTGCTAGCTCTAATAATATCTTATTTTATATTATTTTAATAAAAGTTATTTTAGCTTTGCCTTTTACTGCTTAAAATAGTATTATTTGCATTATTATTATTTTAAAAGTTTTGATGATTATTATTGCTCAATAATAAAGTGTCTTATGTAGATATATTAAATTAATATTAAAATTTAATTTGTTATTCTAGCATCTAATTATATTTAGTTATTAATGAATCAAATTATTTTATGAGTCTATTGTATTTAGACTAATTATTGATATCTAAATTGATGTCATGATATTCTTAGAGCAAAATAATCAATTAATTAGTCTCGTTATTAATATAGGTAAGATGACTACAATAATCATTCAAGAATCTCTTAATAATTTATTGAATTTCTTCTTTATTAGATAAATCTATTTATTATGTTTTATCTATAATTTCTTCTTGCAATATATTTTATTATTAATTTATAAATTAATGGTTTTATTAGTATTGCAATAATAAATTTTATTTTTCAGAAAGTAAAATAAGATTATCCTTTTGTAAACCATTCACTTATTTTTATAAAGAGTTTATAGTATTTTCATGTTCTATAATTTATTTTTTTCTAATTTTTGATCTTTCATGATATTTATTTGCTAATCCAACTAATTTTTCTCTTTCATTTTTAAATTTAGTTAGTTCATCTAAATTCAATGAATAGTCTGTATTTTTCTTTTGAATAGAAGCTTCGTAGTTAATAATTCTGTTTTTCATAATATCATATTCTTTGACTAAATCAGAATATTGTAATTTTATTTGAGTATTTTGTTATGTAAGTTAGGAACTAATTTAGATCAAGTATTTAATTCTTTTTTCTAAAGAGGCTACTTTAATTCTATATTCTTTTTCTTAAAACTCTTGTCTTTTTTAAAGCATTGAGAGAATATGATTAAAATGTTGGTTGTTTTAATTTTATTCATTTGAGTTAAAATTCTCAATAGAGTCAACATAAGTAATAACAGTGTTACTCTTTTCTCTATTGGAAGGAGATTTTTATGGTAAGGATTAATATTATTTCATTTAATAAAAAGATAAAATAAGGAGTTGAAGAGGCGAATAAAATAGTTTAAAAGAAAAGTATTAAAAGAAATAAGAGAATAGAAATAATGAAGTGAATAAGGATTTAGTTAATAAAAGTTTAATAAAAATTGATTAAATAAAATAAATGATTGGCAGACAAATCTTTCGTGCTTTTTCATCTACTACAACTCCTTATGTATGGGTGAATAAACATACCAAGGTGATCTGTTAAGGTATCACCGGTAATTAGGTAAAATTTGATATTGAATAATAGGGTACCTTTTAAACAGAACAAGCTTAAAATTATTTCACATAAATGGTTGGTGGAGTTTCACCAAAGAGTAAAAATTGAAAATATAAGTTAGAGGCTGGAAGTACTCATCTTGGATTACCTGTATTCAAGAATTGTTTAGAAGCTAAACAAAGCACAGGATGTGATGCCTCAGTTATTTATGTTCCTCCTCCTACAGCTGCAGCAGCTATAATTGAAGCAATTGAAGCTTAAATTGGTTTAGTGGTACATATACTATTAATGTGTTAAGGTTGTTATTACAGATGGAATCCCATAACATGATATGATTAAAGTTAAACATGCTTTAAGATCTTAATCAGTCACTCGTGTTATTGGTGTATGATTATATTTGTTATATTTAAGCCTAATTGTCCAGGAATTATTAAACCAAATGAATGTAAAATTGGTATCATGCCTGGATACATTCATTAAAATGGAAAAATTGGAATTGTCTCAAGATCTGGTACACTTACTTATGAAGCTGTTGATTAAACAACAAGAGCTGGATTAGGATAATCTACAGTTGTTGGAATTGGTGGTGATCCATTTAATGGAACCAATTTTATTGATGTTTTAGAGAGATTTATGGTTGATCCAGAAACTGAAGGTAATATCTTAATTCATTTCTAGGAATTGTTATGATTGGAGAAATAGGAGGAGAAAATGAAGAAATGGCTGCTGAATGGATTAAAAATAATAATCCAAAAAATAAACCAGTTGTTGGTTTCATTGCTGGTATCACTGCACCACCTGAAAGAAGAATGGGACATGCAGGAGCTATTGTATCTAGTAATTTTATAATTTTATTCATTCTTTAGAGGGCAAGGGAAGTGCACCTGAAAAAATTAGAGCACTAGAATAAGCAGGAATTAGAGTTGTGAAATCACCAGCATAAATTGGTAAAACTATGTTGGAAGTTATGAAAGAAAGAGGATTAGCATGAGTATCATTTAATTTTATCAGTATTTATTAATTAGAAATTAAACCATTCTACATATTATACCTACTTTCTTTAAATTTAATTCTTATTAAAGCAATTTTATCTTTCTAATAACAATTAATTATTCTAAGATTTTATAATAATAGAAATCATTATTTATCCTATTTCCATTTACTATTTATACATTCCCTTAAATTTTTCCTTTTTTCACTTAATTGTTCATCTAAATAATACTTAATTATGTGTTTCTTTTTTCATTATTTAATAATACCTCAAAGTTATTTTAAAATATTAAAGTATTGTAAAAAAACTTAAATTTATATTTTAATCTTATTTAATTTTTGATAATATTAATATTTAATAATCAAAGATGACAAATTGTGCTAGGATAAAAGTGTCATTAATAAATGGTTTATAATTAAAAATTTTTGTAAAACTTTATCTTGTTTATTAAACTTAAGTTAAAATTTTATTTTATTAAAAAAATAGATTCTAATTTCTTACTTCTTATTAAATTTATGATGAAATCATTATGTCAAGAATTTATAATTATATGGTTATAAACCTTTTTCCAACATTTTAATTGTTAATTCTGAATAATTATTATACATATCTTTATTTAAAAAAGATTCATTATTATGTATTTAATAAAAATTTAAAAATTATTTATTGTTTTGAAACATTCAAGAATAAAAAGGATTGACTTGAGAATAATTTGTTAAACTAAAAATTGCTTCATAAATTTTTCTAAAATTATGAAAAATTAATTTAATATTTAATACAAAAGAGAAATGAGACAGATTAAGTATTTTATAAAAATAATAAAAATTATTTAGAGAAGGAGAATTATTATTGTGATTTATTTGAATAAATTAAATAAAAGAAAAAATTGCGCATATAATTATTAATCGTCTTGATAAAAATGATTTTTTTAAGAAAAATTTGATTGGTTAATTTTGGGATTATTTGGATTTTGATTCCATATACAACTACCAGTTTTTACTTATAATAATTATAATTCAAAATAAAGAAACATGGCTGGAAAATCAGGAAAAGGAATTGGAAAAGTTAGTGCTAAAAGACACGCTAGAAAACCAAACAAAGCTTCAATTGAAGGAATAACAAAACCCGCTATTAGAAGATTAGCTAGAAGAGGAGGAGTAAAAAGAATTTCCTCATTTCTCTATGATGACTCAAGAAATGTTTTAAAGAGCTTTTTGGAGAACGTTGTCAGAGATGCCATCACATATACTGAACATGCTAGAAGAAAGACTGTCACTGTTATGGATGTTGTTTACTCATTAAAGAGATAAGGAAGAACCCTCTATGGCTTTGGTGCATGAATTGAATTTTCATATAAGATTAATTAATCTACCTTAACTTCTTTTTTAAAAAAGGTTCTTTTCATAAAATACTTATTCTTTCAATCTTTATATAAGCTAAACAATTTTTTATTTTTACTATTTATTGAGTTCAAATAAAATCATAAATAATCATTATCATATTTTTCTTGTTTTACTAATCATTCAGCTCTTACTTTAATTATTTCTTTGATATTTCTTAGAGTAATTCTAAAATTTAAAGAGTCAAATAAAACTTTCTTTTTATTGGCTAGATAAAAATTAATTGGATTAATTAAACATATTCTAATCCATACTAAATATCAATATTCTTCTAACAGATTAAATTATATTTATTAAGTGAAAAAAATACAGGATAAGAGAAAAATTTGATGTTTATTTATGTATTTATTATTTTTTTTAGTTCTCTTAAGTATACACTAAAAAAGTACTTTAATAATTTGAAAAATTTATATAAATATATTAAAGTATTAGAGATAATTAATTATAATAAAATTGTAAATTTTTATAGAGATCTTTTGAAGTGATTAATAAGAAGGTAAAACGAGAAGCATTTAAAAATTTATAAATTATTTTAATTATTACTAAAGTAAAATCAATGGTTCTAGTAATTAAGTTTGATTTAAAAAAACAACTTTAATTATTGGATCTTGAAACAAAGATGTGATGCAATAAAATTTAAAAGAATTTAGAATAATAGAGTATTTTTGATGAATTTTAATATATTGCATGAAATTACTTAGAAAAAAAGAAAAAATTAATTTTTAATTAAATCTTTTTCAAAATGAAAACCCATGTCGAAGTTTCAAGTTAAAGAAGAAAGGGCAGAAGAGCCCATTTGGGAGCACCATCAAATATTAGATATAAATTAATGAGTGCACATCTTTCAAAGGATTTAAGAAAGAAATACAATGTTAGAGCATTACCTGTTAGAAAAGATGATGAAGTCACAGTTGTTAGGGGTATAATAATAAAATTGAGAATAGGCACACATAAGGGTACAAAGGGTAAGGTTTCATCAGTTTACAGAAAGAGATGGGTTATTTAAATTGAAAAACTCACAAGAACAAAAGCTAATGGTAAATAAGTAATCATATAATAGGAATGCCATATTAAATTCCAATAAGACCATCATAATGTATCATTACAAAACCCTACCTTAATGAAGACAGAAAATAATTGTTAGCAAGAAAGGCATCTGCCAAAGTTTCAACAAAAGGAAAGGGTGAGAAACATACAACTGAAAGCACTAAGAAAGCTGATTGATTTATTAAATATAGAAGTACATTAGATATAATTTTTATGTTTGCCACATATAATTAATAAAATTAATATATATATGTTTAGATCATTATTCATCATCTTCTAACTAAAATCCATTAAATTTTTTTAAATTTTCCAAATTAGGAAAATGCTTTTCAAAGTTCTTAGCGAGATTTAAAACTTTGGCTGCTGTTTCTATTAACTAATCTTAATCAATCTAAATAGTTTAAGCAATATCTTTAATCTATAAAATTAATAAAAATTAATACTTAACTATCAGCATTAAAAGTAGAATCTAATTGTTCTACAATTTTGAAAGCAACAAAAATTAAAGCAGCACCCAATAAAGTATAATTAGATTTACCACAAATTTCATAATCATACAAAACCATTTTAGAGAGATACAAACAAAGTTTTTTTAGATATTTGTAGTTTTTCTCTTTTAGTTTTTATTCAATAAAGCAATTTGTTAATATAAGATTATACATATCATAAAGAGTACCACCAACTAAATCAAAACCTATAGTTTATAAAATATCACTCTCTTTTTTTTTTATTTGATCTGTTGATAATTTTTTATGAGCAATTTTTTCATGAACAACAGATAATTTCATAGGATGAATTTCTTCATATTTAGCTGCAATAAACATTGATGTTACACCGCAAAGATGTAAATCTGATATTTCTAATTATTTTTCACTTTTTGAAAAGTAAAAGTCCATAGTTCTTACTGCAACAAAAAAAGTTTAATCTGTGCATTTATATGAACATAAAACTTCTACCATCCAATCAATCATTTTTGCTCTTAAATTACTTGGAATAGAGTGATTTTTTAACCATTCTAAAGGAGTGGATTTTTTCTAATGTAATTTTATTTATAATACTTCTTATTCTTTTAAATAGAAAAATATATCTTCTGTATACCATTTTTACAGATTTTGATTCTCTAAAATAGTATGATCAAATTTCTATTTAATATTGATATTAGACAATTCTTAGGGGAGAGTATAAATTTTTGTTGTAAGTCCTTTATGTTAAGGTACATTCTCTTTATCTTCTAACACATCTTGATTTAGAGATCGTTTTACTCTTTCTTAATTGAGCATTTTCCTTCTTAAATCGTTATTACTGTTGGGCATAGATTTATTAATTTATTGAGTGTCTTGATTTCAATAAAATATTATTTTACCTTCATTATATAATGATGTTAAGTTTCTTCTTACAGGATCTCTATTTTCTATGTAGGTTTTGGTTATCCTTCTAAGAGGTTATTGTTATTGATTTTCTGGTACTCCACTAAGTGATCTGTTGTATTTAATTTCCATAATTTATTCGTTAAAAAAAAAATTAACGTCGCGCAAAATTAATTATAATATGAACCTCAAATAATAATCAAGAATAAAATTTATAAAGAAATTATGGTTCTATTTAAGCAAACCATTATTAAAAATCTAGTTATCTTTTCAACAAAATGATTTATATTTTTAACATATATATCTTAATGAAAATAATAATAAAAATACAATGAATAGGTTGGAGAATAAAATTTATTTATTGCATTTTAAATATTTAATCAATATCTTATTGGATATTTTTAGAAATATAGTTGTTAAATTTATTAAGGAAAAGAAAATATAATTATCAAGTTTATATTTTTTATTAAAAAATAAATGTTTAAGTATCTGGTTTCATTATTTAGCTTATCAATAGGTCTACAAATTATTAATGTAGATCCATACTTTATGGATGAGGGAGAATTTATAGAATTAGAAAACTCTGATTATCTCATTCAATAAACTATTAATAATGCAACCTTTTTTCTCACTTTGAGTTCATATGATATTCCTTTCAATATATTTTTTGAGTAAGATAACATTTAAAATAGAATATTTTTCTCATATCCTGAAGATGGAGACGTAAATTTTCTTACCACAATAGGAAAAAATTAATTGACCACTCTAGATAAAAATACTATTGTAACAACTTATGCTGATTTCAATGGTTTTTATCTCAAAAAGAATTATCATAATATTGTTATCCCAGCGAATTCATTTATTAGTGGTGATAAATTTTATATAACAAATTTAATCAGAAATGACAGAAGAACATATTAATATACTCTTAAAATTAAAAAAATTTCATAAAAACCTTGTCCTTAAAATTGCTCTTCAGAATCTGGGATTTGTATGGATGGAGTTTGTTAATGCAATAATAATTTTATAGATTTAGATTGCTCAAAAGAGGCTATAGAACTAAAACTTGATTAAAAGATTGATAATATTAACATTTTGGGAACTTAAAATTTTTATTTTTAACAAGAAGCATAATTAGATTAAGTTGAATTCAAAATGGGTTTAACAGAGATTTTTTAACAACCTTAAACACTAGTTTCCTTATATTATCTATTTGAAAACTTTTAAATTGGTGTTCCTTTTAAACTTTATTAGAATTATAGCTTAACTTAATAGGAAAATACAATTTCTATTAAATTCAATGTTTCTTTGTTAAATTATAATTCAAATCTATAAAGGTAATATTATGAAGTTGATTTAGATTTCATCGTCTGTTAATTAAAATAATTTCTGAAGATAAATAATAATTCTTTTTTGAGGTTTCTTAAAAATCTACTTCTACATCTGATGATGAAACAAATAAAATAGTAATTTATGTTGTAGTTTCATTAAGTTCATTTCTTCTTATTGTTATATTTTTTTATGTTTTTTACAAATGTAAATGTAGAGTTAGATATTTATAAATTGCACCAGTGGAATTGTAAGAGGAAAATAGTTTTTATACATTTGAATTTTTAAAAAAATACATGAGGAAATTTAAAAAAGAAAAAGGTTTATATGAAGGAAATTTTGAATGTTCAATATGTTTAGAAGGTGAAGGTAAGCAAGAATTGAGATTAACTCCTTGTTGCCATATGTTTCATGTCTAATGTTTTTAGATTTGGTTAAATAAACATAGTACATGTCCAAATTGTAGAAAATAAATGAATCAAAAAATAATAATGTAAGCTCAAAAAGATAAAATATAAGAACCAATATAATCTTAGTATATTAGAATAGATTAGGTAGGATAAGAGCTTTAGTAAAATGCAAACTATCATTAACCACTAAATGATGGGAATATAGAATATTGATAAATAGATATGTATATTTTAATTAAGCAAAGATATAATTTATTTAAATATTCTATTTAGCTTATATTTTACTTAATTGATTAAGATCAAAAATATTATTAAATGGAAACAGTATTACATTAAATTTTATTCTTATTATAAATTAATTAATGAATCCTTAATAAGGAAAAAAACAAGACAATATAAAGCAACAATTTAATATTTCAGAATTCATATTAGAAAAACTTTTAAATGATTTTGGTTAGAAATCTATTGATAGAAGAGTATTTAATAAATTTAATAAAGTTAATCACTTGTTATGTAAATGATTATAAATCTAAATATTCATCATATAATGAATAGGGTGTAAGATAATTAAAAATAGATGTCAAATCAGCAATTTCTAAATCTATCTCTGAAAAAGAACAGATATTAACAAACCTTATGAATTAATCTAATTAATAATAGTTACAAAATAATTAACAATCAAATTCATATAGTTAGAAAAGAAATAGAAATCAAAAAGCTAACACTTAAACTCAAGAAAAGCCATATTAAAAAATAAATAAGGTTGCTTAAGATATAAATAGACAAGATTCTGTACCTTCAAGATAGAAATCAATTTATGAATTAGATGATGAAAACCAAGATGAATGGGCTGCTATTATAAAATATGATACAGCTATGTATTTAAAAGAATAAATAGAAATAAAAAAGAAATAATAACTTATGAGATAAAAATTAAAAGAAGATTTGGATAAGTAATTAAAAGAAAAAGAATAATAAAAAAAATAAGATGAATAAAAAGAAGCTTAATTTGTATAATTAAATTAATAAAGGAAAATTGAATTTGAGTAAATAGAAAAATTAAAAAAAGAATCTTTAAAACTAAAATAATATTAAGAGAAAAAGTTAAGAGATGAACAAGTTTATAATGAAAAAATGAGAAAGTAATACTCTATATAAGTTAATTTTAGGCAAGAAATTCAGAGATAATCAAAACTATAAGAAGATGAAATTTTGTAATAATTAAAAAATGATATCAATAAAGAATCTTTGTAAATTAATAAAAAAAGATAAGAATAAAAAGAAAAAATTTAATTAATGCTTAAAGAAAATGAATTACTAAGATAAAAGGTAAATATCATAATAATTTTAAGGCTTAAGATGAATTGAAATAATAAAGAGATCTTGAATTAAAATTACAATAAATAGAGTTGCAGAAATAAATTTTAGAGGATGAAAAAAGAGAAAATCAAAAAAAAGAAAGAGAAGAGAAGATTAAATAATTTATGAATAATTATAGCTTTTAGGTTCTCAGTAAATAATAAGAGTAAGAAGAAAGTGAAGAAAAATATTTATTAGAATAATTAAAATAATAAGAAGAAATAGAAAAATAAAAAATTATTGAAAAAAAATAAAAAGATAAAGAAAAAATAGAACAAATAAAATAATAATTATAATTGTAAATACAATAAAAGTAGAAAAAAAAATTATCAGAAGAAGAAGAACAAAAGATTTAATTTCTTGAATAATAACTTGAATTAATTAATTTTTCATAGAAATAGCAAGAAAAATAAGAAGTAATTATTATAATTGAAATAAATAATAGTAAATTAAAAAATTTCGTAAATAGAACTAAGATGATATTAAGAAATAAATAGAAGAGACAAGGAATAAAAGTTTGCATGAAAAGATGTCAAGGTTAGAATTACTTTAAAATAAAAGTTTGCTCAAAAACATTGCAAATGATTAAGAAATAAAAACAAAGTTTAGGAAAGTAAATGTTTCTTTAAAATGATTCTATTTTCTATAAATTATATAGTTTTGTTCAAAATTTAAAAAAGTATTAAATTTTTTTATGCAATTAAAAATATTACTGTTATTTTTAAAGGTCTAAATTTATTTTATGAAAATAAAATATTATATTAAAATAAATTGAAGTTAATCTTCATTAATTTTTTATATTATTTTTTTGTTATTATAAATTATTTCTAATTAATCAAATATGTTAAAACAGCTAATATATTTATTTGATAATTTTTCAATAAGTTTGTGATTATCCTATATATTCAAATCGAAATTGATTATATTAATAATAAAAATATAAATTCAATCATTACTTTCTTGTTTTAATAGTGTATGAAATTAGGTTAATTTTAATCATCAGAAACTACATTTAATACTTAAGAATATACTAATGTGACAGATAAAAATGACATATCCCAAAATTTAAATTTAAGAGATGCATAAAATTTATATACTTGTGATTAATAATCTGACGAGTCTTTTGAATTAGTCATACTTAGCAATCAAAACCCCGAAAACGAATGGATAAAAAAAGAGTAATTAATAGTAGTATATTTAAAATAATTGGGTATACAAATGAAAACAGACCCTTTAGAAAATCAAGAGAGGTTTTATAAAAAACCTAAGAGAAGAGTGAATAAGTCCAGCACTATGTCATTTAATACTATATAAAATAATGAAGAAAATGATAATAAAGAATCAACAGGGAACACTGTTCAATAGATGAGCATAGAAATGAATTCAATAAAATAAAGAAGAACTCCAAATACTACTCCTTAAAGTTCTCCATTAATTATGAAAAACTTGGTGTAGTAAGAATCACCATAAAAATAAAGAATGTCAATATTTTAAAAGATGAAAAACTAATAATAACCATTCTCTTCTGATGAAGAAGAGATTAAACACAACATTAAAAGAAATTAACATCAATTAAGCGATGAAAAGTATGATGGAAAAAAAGATTCTTGTAAGAATATTATCGAGAAAAGTTATTTCTAAAATTTATGTGAATGATATATATAGTAACTATATCATTTTATTCCTGCTTATTAGAGTTTTTGCATTAACTATTAAATTTTACTATCCTTTAATTTTACAAGTTATTCTAATTTTTATATTTTAAGTTCTAGAATCTCTATGGTTTCTTTCTAATCTTAAATTATTAAATCTTTTTCGTTAGATTTGTTATTAGGTGCCTTTTTATTGTTAACTTTATTTTAATTTTACTAAATTTCAATTGACTTCTCTTATTAATGAATCTGATTTTATTCTTGGTTATCCAAAAACATTGATATTTTAACTTAAACAACTTTGAGAATTCTTTCTATTGCTTCTGGCACAACTGAAATGACAGCATCAATATCTTTTTAAGTAATTTAGAACCCCATTTTCCTAAAAACCTAGATTTTAGAATATAATAATTACTTTTGTATTCAAAGTATTCCAATTGTATTATTTTTATTAAACAGAATGAGCTAAGCTATAATTATGAATATCAACTATTCTAGGTATATAATGTTAAACAATTTCAGCCATTAAAACTCCATCTGCAAAATCTCTTCCTATATGTCTTTTTGGTCTTGATAAAGGTATAGTATCAACCCAATTATAAACTTCATTTAATTCATCTTCATTTAAAGGAGGAGCATCCATATCTCTGTTTGTCATTTTTATTAGATATAATTTAAAATTTATTAAGCAACTAACTAACTTTTATAATAAATAGAGTATACAGAAATATATAATCAATTGTTTAAAGAATTCTAAGATTTATTCAACTTCTATAAATTTGTTTTAAGGCATTATCTAAATATTAATAATTTATCTTTACGAATTCACTTCCTCTAATTTTATTAGTTATTTTATTCTTTTAGCAAATCCTGCATCATTTTTTTCTCTTAACTTTTTTGTTAATTGATTAGATTAATCATACAAAACATCAAGATTTACTTCATATATTGATTATAATGATTAATCATCTGAAATTTCATCTTATTATCTTTCAGTTTATACTCTTTTTTATGCTTCTAAAGATCCATGTTAACGTAATTTCAATTTTCTATTTTTTAATTGATTTAAATGTGTTTCTAATTTTTGATTTAATTGTTATTCATATTCACTTTCAACCATCGTATGAAATTTCTAAGTCATTTCTTTAACTCTATAATATATTTTTAATAATACTGCTTATTTAATGTATATATATTTCTATTGTGAATATAATCATAAAGCTTAACATCATAATTTGTAATTAACCCTTTTGAATTTTTTTAATTTTTATTTCCCTCTATTTGTTTTGTAAAAAGGTAAAATGGTTTTTTAGTAATAATATATTACTTTCTTTTTCTAGGATCAGAAATACTATCCTTTAATTGACAAACTGATTGATATTAGTTACGATGGTGTTTAGGACTAGCTACAACAACATCTAATGCGCAATCAGCAGATAATTTAGCATTATTTTGAAATAAATAATCTTATTGTTATTTTATTAGGAGGGGAGATTAAGATTTAGAATTCTAATTACTTTTAATTTTGGATTTTCTTAATTCAGATTAAAATTTAATATTCTGTTATTCCAGAAGCTTTCTTACTTAATTTAAAGCTAATTTAAATTAAATTTATTTTTATTCTTCTAATTCTACTAAATAATCTTTAGAATATTAATTCATTTAATTTTTTAATATACCTAATGAAGGATAATCAAATTTATCAAAATGTTTTTCTTAATGTTTAATGATTGGTTATACATTATCATAATTTACTAGTAATTATTTTAATTTTCGTTAGCAAGGTACTAATTTTTTATAAAATTGAGCATCATCTTTAAGTTCATCTTATTGTTATTAAATATGTTAATTATAATCATTAGTGATATCAAAGAAAGTTTTAATAAAATGAATATTTCGTATTTCTTCTTCTCTTTATTCTTTATTTAAAGATTTACGTAAATCAATCTAAAAAAATAGAATTAAAAAATACTCTTGATTAAACAAAATCTCTTAAAACCTAAATCTTTTTGTTTATTTTGGTCTTAAAGATGTCCAATAATTTTCCAGCTTCAGTAAATCTTCTTTAATCAACTAGACGTATTTAATGTGCTTTAAGTTATCTCGTAGAACTATTGATATCTAATAAAGGAGTAAAGTCATTAGTTTTAGTGTATCCATGATTCTTAAATTTTTTGATTTTTTGAACAATTGACAATTTTCTCTTATGACTTTTAGAGTCCTCAATTTACTACTATTTTAGAATAGATTAGATTGACATACAGCATGAACATGAGGAAAATTAATGGTTTTCATTAATTCTTATATAGATTATTCTCCTTCAAGATATTTATAGAACTCTAACTTGAATTGTTTATTAGTGCAAGGAAGTAGAATAGGAATTTCATTTACTAATGGATCTTAAAGGTGCTATAATAATATTAATTAATGTACTTCTTTGGCATCTGGTGCAAAGTGTTTCTTTTTTTACTTTAAACTTATATCATGTAGAAAATTGCCAAACATTTATTTCCATGCATCTTTTTGGTTTGATTAAGTTTATTTTTTAATATTCAAGTATGTGACTTTCTTACAATTGATAATTCGTTGATTATTTTGCATAATATTTGGCTTAAATTTACTTGGTGGATGATCCTTAATTGAATCTGGTTCAGTTTTCAAATAAGCTGATACTGATTCTTACATATTTAATTAAAAAATTTATAATCCTATGAATGAGGTATATATAGTATAAACATAATTTAGAATCTAAATCTACAAAAACTGTTGAATAATCATCTAAACCCAACTGTTGATAACCTTTAGATTATATATTCCAAATTACAACAGTTATAATATTTTAACTCGTTCATAGAGAAGAATCTTAAGGGAACATAGAGAGAAAGTCTCCTTTATGTACATAAAAATATCTATATTAGTTATGTGGCAAATTCAGAATGGAACACTTTAAAGGAGGAGAAGTAATATTCAAAGAGGGAGACAAGTCAAACGATAAATTATATATAATATTTAATGGTAAAGTGGCTTTGATGAAGGCTAGACCTTAATAAATGTAATAAATAATAGAAAAACCTCCTGAAATTTAAAAAACACCAGCGGTACAATAAAATTAGTTGCCAAAACCTGTTCCTCTAATACCTCAGTATTCATATAATTTTGATTCATATAGAAAAACTACTGGGACAAACTTTTTTAGATAAATAGCATATTCTAAAAGGTTTGCTGATAAAATGAAAGGAAATATAGTGTAGGGCTTAACTAATGAAAGAGTATAAATAACATAATAGGAAATTTAAGTTTTAAGCGAGAAATATGGAGAAACTATTAGGGTATTAAAAAGAGGAGAAGGATTCGGAGATAGAGCTTTATTAGAGAATGTTCCAAGAGCTTTAACAGCTTGTGCATAAACTCAAGATTTATTTTTATTGATATTGAAAAAAGATGATTTTGATTTAATTCGTCAACAATTCATATAACAGATGAAAGAAAAGAAAAGCTTAATATTTACTAAATTTCCTGTTTAAGGGGATTATTCATCTAAATAATTAGAACATTTAGCATATAGTTTTGATGTTGAATAATTTTAAAAAAACTTTATATTAACAATTGATGGACATCCAAAAAAATCATTTTATTTGATTCAATATGGAGATATACTAATAGAAAAGTTAATAAATGATTAAATGACTAAAATTTGTATTTTAAGTAATAGTATAATAAAATTCTTATAGCCAAAGGATAGTTGTTAGGTGAAGAGATTGTTATGAATGAGGATGGATGTTGTGAATATAATTCAATAGTATTATCAAATGAAGTTACAGTTATGGTTATTCATAAACATGAGTTTTTATAAAAATTTCCTGATGAATGTAAATAATGGGTTAGAGAAGAGTATTTTAAGAAAAGTAAATTTAGAAATATGTTTTAATCTAAAAATATGGAAAGTCTTACAGGAATAGGAAAACCTAATTTTAGTATAGTAAAACAATTTATAGAAATAAAAAATAATCCATTGAAAATAAAAAGTAAAGAATCAGAGGATAGAATTGATATTGGAACTCTAATTGAAGAAAAGAATTAAATTTATTTATAAAAGTATTAGAGTGATCCAGAGAAAGATGCAACAGCTACATTATTTGGATAAGATTTATATTAAACACCAAAATTAGGTTTTATTCCTAGATATGATAAATTAAGTAATATACATCTTAGATCATTTAAAGAATAATATTTAAAGAAATTATGTTCTAAAAAGAGAAAGCTTGAGTTTTTAAAACCTCTTTCTTTAACAGCTCGAGGATTTAATTTAAAAACAAATCAATCAGAAAACTTGAGCAAACATAAACATACACATACTCTAACATAATCTACTGCTATTAATTCATTTACTCCATGTCTCTCTTCATCGCCTAATTATACAATTAGTAAAGAATTTAATTGATATATTTATGTAAATCTATTTTGTATATTTATCATTCAAATATTTAATAAATTATTCATTCTATTTCTACTTATTTTGCATATTAAACTGATTTTCCTTTATCTACATTTTCATACATTAAACCAGGTTTCTACTAAAAAGCTTAATGATATAATTGCTGACTCGATTATTCAATTGATTTATATTAAGTTTATGTAACATCTTCTCCATTTATTATATATTCCAAAGTATTTTAATGAAATAAATAAAAGCAATCACATGCACATAATATTACTAACTTCCCTGATATTTCTGAACAAGGTTTGCATAAAGTTATTAATTAAGTATTTCTTTTACACACTAAACAATTCATTGATCCTGCATAACTTTTAGGAGTAGCCATTATTGTTGGAATATGGAATAATGATTTTGAGTTTATTTTAGTTCCTTAACCATAATCACCTATTATTTCTGTTCCCAAAGCTACATTTATTACTTTCTATTTATGTAATAAAGTTGGTACATTTTTTATCTATGTAATCTTATTCTTTAATAATTCTTAAGCCAATCCTAAACGAAATTATTCATAAGTCTATTAATTTTATTGTACTTTTGTTTTTAATTATATTTAATAAGAGTTCCATATTATTATCTCTTGTAACTCAGTCATTATTGCACTTGTATAATGTAAATATGAAAAACTAGGTCGAAATTTATGAATACAATATAATAACATAGTTTCTTTATATTGATTATAAACACAGATTGATTATTGAATCTATTCTCCACAGGTTACTGCATAAACTTCATTTTATTCTTTTATTATTGACATAAAATCAAGGTAAAGTGGAATTTAAGGTATTTAACTTACTAATTTTCTATCAATTATTGTTACACATTAAATTTTTAATTTCAATTTTAAAAAACAAATTTACTCTATGTTTAGAATATTGTCATAAATGTATAAAGTATGATTATTATCTTTGAATTATTAAAGTATATAAATTATTTAAAGACCTACTTTCTCTTCTTAAATATTTTGACAAAAATATTACCAAACTATTAATTTACTTTTTGGATCACAAAGTATTATTTATTAACAATTAATTATTGAATCAACCATAAATTCTGTATTTATTTATAATATAAGATCTTTTCCAGATGCTTTAATATTTTTTAAACTTTTTCCAATTTTTTTGCATACTCTTATTGTTTGAAATTCGTTAATTGGCTTCATTTTATTTATATTTTTTAATAAATTTTCATCTGTAAAATTACTCCATTACTCTAAACATTTAAATCTTCCTTCTTTAAAGCATTCAAATATCTTACATTAAAATAATTACTTTTCATTAAAGTAATCTTCTAAATGAGGCATTTTTATATATCCCATTATTATTTTTATTCCAAAAAAATCAAAAATCTAATCTATCTTCACTAATTTCTTTCTAATTTATTTTTCATCCTAATTAGCAAAAGAAGTCTTCATTTTAACATTTATCTAGTCTATCAAATATTTTATTAATTTCTTAGGTAAAATAGTATTGTAAATTCCTATAGGAGTTTCATTTTATAATTATTACCACAAATCTACTGGTCTTTACTCTTTAAAAGTAATCAATTATATAGAATGATGATCTCTAAAATTTTCTTTTTCAAAATATGAAGAGTTTTAGAAAACTAATGAAATTTATTCTTCTAAGTTTTATAATATTTGTTTGAACTCTACTTAAACAGTTTATTGATCCTAAACTTATTCTATTTTAGGAGGATAATTTTGAATATCCTATTTTATTGGTTTTTCTACCTCCATTAACAAATTTACTTATATAATTTTTCATGAATCTTCATATTTATCATTCTAAATATTTTAATGATTTTATAAAGATGTTTATAAAAGTTAATAAATTATTCATTCTATTTTTTCATCATCAAATTCTTATAACCATTAATTTACTTTCTACCACATTTCTTATTTATTTTACTCTCTAATTCTTTAAGCAATATTTTCTCGTATAACATTTTTCCACTCATTAAAAAATTATTTTTAAAGTATTGCCTAAATTTATAAAAAATTTTACTTTTCTAAAATCATTAACTAATCTTTCTGAAGCTCTTTCTAATTTTACATTTTCAGCTCTCATCTCTGGTAATTAAATATACCAAGCAGTCATTATATGTCTCTTTATATATTTTTATCTAATTTATTCAGCATCCTATAATTTCTTTATTTAAGTGTCTTTAAAAGATTTTAGACTAAAAATTGCTTTTAATTTTATATTTCTTTCATAATGACTATTTGATATATTATTTTTAATTTATTCTTCATATTCTCTTTAATCTTCACATATTTATTTTATTTTTCTTAGTAGATAAAAGAAGTTTTATTTTAAACTATTTTCATAATGATTTTCAGCTCTTTATTGATTCATCTAAAATTATTAATGAAGTTTCAAAATTGGTATAAATATTTGATATTTTTATAAACTTCTTTCATAATGCTTAATTGCAATCTCTGTTTTATATTCTTCTTCAAATTTCTCCTATTCTTTTCTTTATTTTAATTCTAATTCTCTTTTCTTTTTTTCTTAAATTCTATAATATTCTTCTTCTTTTTATTTTTTTATCTCCAATTATCTTTATTATTCCTATTATTATCTTTCTATTTCTTTTTACTTTCTTTTATCTTCATGTTTCTTTTTAATAATTTCATTCATCTCTTTTCTTTTTTTAGCTTTTTCTTCTAATTCTTTTGAATAATTATTTTTTTTATCAACTGATCTTTATCTGGAATAACTTTATTATGACATATTTTGAGGACTATTTTATTTTTATATTAATTATTCATTATCATCGACCATATTTTAAATTGAACTGACTTACTTTTATTTCCAAGGATTTATTGGTAGAGGAATTTGATTATTTTCTTAAACTATTTGATTTTCATTTATTTAAGATTTTTATTTAATAGGTACTTCATCTAATTAATTAACTCTTAAGTTTATATTTTATTTCTGTTAATTAATTTACTATATTTCAGGATGTTATATAGGTTATATTGTTAATTACATTTATTCTTCATTTGAATGTTATAAAAATTCATTTTCATATGATTAAAGTATTTCTTCTTAGTTTTAATCAATCTTCTCATCTTTATCAGATTATATAGATTATTATGAATTTGATATTGTCAATTCTTCATCATTAATCAAATTTGATTATTTAATTAATTAAATTTCTTCTTTCTCTTTTTCCAAAGCATCAGATATTTATTTTTGCATTTGATTTAAAAAATTGTTGACTTTAACTTTAATTTAATTTTAATCTGTCTCAAATTATTTTGTTAACTTATTCATTTTAACATATTATTTAAGTGCTTTAAAACATTTATTTGTTAAACAAAAATTATTAAATTCCAAAGCCAATTACTAATATTTAATATATTATTTTTACATTTTATCCCATCTCATACTTCTTTTATTATTATTCTTCTTTTAATCTTCTCTCTTCTTTTATATCAAAATAAAACTTTTTCCAACTATTAAATGCCTTCTTTTATATTTAGAAATTTCTGAATTCAAAATATTTTTGTATTTCTTCAATTGATTTCTATTATTATTTCTTTATTTTTTAAAGAAATTCTTGCTTTATAGAAAATATAGAAAAGATCTTTATTAATTTTTGCATAAACTTTTCAGTTCTAAATTTGAGATATGTAAATTAAGTTTCTTAGGCTACTTTTTCTAAGTTTATTAATATATCATTATGTTTTTGAGGAGGAGCTAATTATTTCTTCAATTCATTTTAAAGTATTTACTACATATAATCATGTTCTTAAGATATTTTATGTGATTCTTTTTCTAATTAAATTCTTTTCTATTTCAAAACTGAAACTTATTCTTTAACTTTGCTTTACGATTACTTTTAAGGATGAGGGCCTATTTCAGGAATTCGCTAAATTCTTATTTACTAGATTTCATTACTTTAGCTAATTTTATCTATTTATCTTTAATCTATTATGCTTCTTTTTCAACTTATAAATAAGTCTTCAATAACCCTTAAACTTCTTTAGACATTTATAACTTAATTTTTATTTAATTATTAAAGGAAGTTAAATAATAATAATTCGAAATAAAAAAAATATTTACTTTAACATACATTTAATGCTGAATATATATTGAGTTCATAAGAATTATATTGAAATCATGCATAATATAATCAAATTTTTATTCAATATTTATTCAAGTCACAGAACATCCCTTTATGAAATAGACAAGAATTAAGAATAAATTAACACAGTTTTAATTAAATTTAAATTAAAAAGACAAAAAAAACTTAAAAGTTTCTAATCCCTCTAAAATTTTTCTTTTTTTCAAAATATTAAATTTTTGATGGATTCAATAAATTAAATAACATTCTCTTATTATATTTAGAATATCCTTATTTGTTATTTATAATAGATATTCAAATAAGGTAGATGTATCCATACTTAAAAATCTTTAAATGGATTTAAATTATTTATATTAATTTTTACATTTTTTTTATATTAGAATTCTTTGGAAAAATAGTTCAGAAAGTTTTAGTTTGATAAATAAGGATATAATTTAAAATATTTATAAATAATTAAAGGGATTGTTCATTGGAATTTCCATAGACCACTAAATAGTTAATTTACATTAGTATTTATAAAGAATCTTATACCTATTTAGATAATTGAATGGCTGAGAATATTTATTACATATCTAAAATTAATTGAAAATAATTATTTATTAATCCTTATGAATTTCGAAGCCTAAACTACAGAATAACAATAATTAAAAGCCTATAGAGCCATTAAGTTCACATAATTTCAAGGAGCAGTAGTGGAACTTCATAATTTCAAAAAATAATTGGCCCTAAAAATATTGAAGAAAAGCAAGCTCCAAAAAAAATAAACTTGACTATGTAACAAAAAGAATTTTAATGATTATACTTATTTATAAAAAAGTATTCTCAATGATTTATATCTTATCATTCTAGTCGAAAAAAATAAAAAATGTTTTTTATAAACATTCTTTTTTTCGAAGGTGGATATTCAATAAAAAAGGTTCTTTCATGATATATATAATTTATTATTATTTAAAAATATCATTTCTTGTTAAATTAAACATTTGATTATGTTTGATGAGTTCTAGCATAGAACATAGAATAATTAGTATTATTAATTTACAATAAATTTTATCTAATTTTTTATGTTTAACTAAATAACTATATCAAAGTATAAATGGTGAGGAATTATTTAGGAAGATGCAAACTAGGTTAATTTACCATAGAGAAAGTATATCATATCATTTCTTTTAATATTTAATGAAACCCATAATTAGTTATATAATTTTATATATAATTAAAAATGCGGTTTATAAAATTTAATTATTAGATTTAAAAAAATATAATTTTTTAGAAATAATTTGTTATTTTATTTGAATGGCAAATAAGGTTGGACCGAATCTCTCTAAACCTATTGAGGAGATATATATTTTTATAATAATAAAATTTTGAAAAATGTTATATTTTATAGAATCAATAAAATTAATATTTNTAAATAACATTCTCTTATTATATTTAGAATATCCTTATTTGTTATTTATAATAGATATTCAAATAAGGTAGATGTATCCATACTTAAAAATCTTTAAATGGATTTAAATTATTTATATTAATTTTTACATTTTTTTTATATTAGAATTCTTTGGAAAAATAGTTCAGAAAGTTTTAGTTTGATAAATAAGGATATAATTTAAAATATTTATAAATAATTAAAGGGATTGTTCATTGGAATTTCCATAGACCACTAAATAGTTAATTTACATTAGTATTTATAAAGAATCTTATACCTATTTAGATAATTGAATGGCTGAGAATATTTATTACATATCTAAAATTAATTGAAAATAATTATTTATTAATCCTTATGAATTTCGAAGCCTAAACTACAGAATAACAATAATTAAAAGCCTATAGAGCCATTAAGTTCACATAATTTCAAGGAGCAGTAGTGGAACTTCATAATTTCAAAAAATAATTGGCCCTAAAAATATTGAAGAAAAGCAAGCTCCAAAAAAAATAAACTTGACTATGTAACAAAAAGAATTTTAATGATTATACTTATTTATAAAAAAGTATTCTCAATGATTTATATCTTATCATTCTAGTCGAAAAAAATAAAAAATGTTTTTTATAAACATTCTTTTTTTCGAAGGTGGATATTCAATAAAAAAGGTTCTTTCATGATATATATAATTTATTATTATTTAAAAATATCATTTCTTGTTAAATTAAACATTTGATTATGTTTGATGAGTTCTAGCATAGAACATAGAATAATTAGTATTATTAATTTACAATAAATTTTATCTAATTTTTTATGTTTAACTAAATAACTATATCAAAGTATAAATGGTGAGGAATTATTTAGGAAGATGCAAACTAGGTTAATTTACCATAGAGAAAGTATATCATATCATTTCTTTTAATATTTAATGAAACCCATAATTAGTTATATAATTTTATATATAATTAAAAATGCGGTTTATAAAATTTAATTATTAGATTTAAAAAAATATAATTTTTTAGAAATAATTTGTTATTTTATTTGAATGGCAAATAAGGTTGGACCGAATCTCTCTAAACCTATTGAGGAGATATATATTTTTATAATAATAAAATTTTGAAAAATGTTATATTTTATAGAATCAATAAAATTAATATTTTTCAATAAATTAATAAGCAAAAGAAACAAAAACTTCAGAAATGAAATGCAATTTTTTTGCAGATCAAAGATTCATAATTGCTAAGTTTATAGTTAATTTTTGTTTAATATAATTAATATTCATTTAGTCTCTTAAGCCCAATCAAATACATTATCCCAAATGTATTCTTATTTAAAAAATAGATCCTTAAATAATCTTTTAATCCAAACATAATCTGGAATTTCTTCAAATTTTAAACTCTTAATGTAGTTAAAATATTTAACAAATTCCTCTAAAACTAAATAAAATATATACCAGGAAATCCCTCACATAATTTATCTATTGGAGTAGCAATTTTACATTCACCTACTTTTTCATACTTTACTTTTTTAGTTTCTGTCTTAATTCCTGACCAAGGCAAAGAACCTCTTAAAAAATATATAAGCATATAGCCTATAGATTCAAGATCATCCCTTCTACTTTATTCAATGCCTAAATGCGCATTAATACTTGAAAATCTACATGTACCAACCAATTAATTGTTTTCTCCAAATTATATATGAGTTTCTTAAATATGATAAATTTGTACCTGTTCTTTAATACCTATATCTATTAGCTAAACCAAAATCAATCATATATATATTATCTGCCTTCTTGTTTAAACCAATTAAAAAGTTTTCTGGTTTAATATCTCTATGAATGAAATCTTTGCTATGTAAATATGAAATTCTTGTTAGTAACTAAAGGGAAATAAAATTAAATAATAATATCTACTTGATCTGCTAACATTAAAACAGATTTCAACGAAAACTTTCTTCCATTGTAATTGAATAAATCTTCTAAACTTGGACCAAGAATATCAAGGACTAAAACATTAAAATCTCCTTCTTATCCAAACCAATGTAAATTTGGAATTCCTGGTACAGGACCATCAAGTAATAATATTCTATAAATCTTTGCTTCATGTAATAATTGCGAATGTTTATTACTCACATTTTCCTAAAAATCATTAGAATTTCAGTTACTAATTTTATAGCTATTTCTTCTCCAGTTTTTATATTATTTCCTTTAATATTACTATTATATACCTAAATATATTTGACCAAATGCCCCTAATCCTATTTTCTTATCTAAAGTAAATTTGTACTTTTATGCAAAAGTTAGCTCCATTAATTTATAAATTATTTTCTAAAATAAAATTGTTCTGAAAAATATTCAGAATTTAAAGTATTTTTTATTTTTAAGGTTTTTTATCATATGGTTCATACTTGGAAAAAGTATTTTAAAAAGAATTATTTTTTATTTTAAAAATGATTTCTACTGAGAAAAAAAATGAATTGAAGTTTGTTTGTTTAAGTGATACTCATAATCAACATCCAGAATTTTTAGAAAAAGGTGATGTATTAATACATTGTGGAGATTTTACGAATAGAGGAGAATATTGGGAAATTGAATAATTTAATTAATGGCTTGATAAACAAAAGCAATTTAAATATAAAATAATTATTGCTGGTAACCATGATATTTCTTTTGATAAAAATTGTTAAAAATATATTTATTGTTAAAAGGCTGAAGATTAAATAAACATTTTAAAAACAAAAGAAAACTGTTATTATTTAGAAAACTCTTCAGTTGAAATAGAAGGAATTAAAATATGGGGGAGTCCATACTCTTTGGTTTATTATAATGGATCCTTTTAGACAACCCCTGTAGAATCGAAATAATTATGGGATCAAATAAAAGAAAAATATGATATAATAATAACTCATGGACCTCCATATAGCCAACAAGATTTTTCTTAAAGTGAAGTTCAAGTAAATGCAGGCGATAAAAATTTATTTAAAAAAATAATCGAAATCAAACCTTAATATCACATCTTTGGTCATATTCATGAAGGCTATGGAATATCTAATTGTTAAGGTATAACTTTTATTAATTGTTCTTATTTAAAAATAAACTCACGTTATAACAAACCTATATCATTTAATATGTCTAAAAATCAACAAAATAATAATTGATTCTTATTTAATTATATTTATTTAAATGAATATTAATTTAATAGATTTCTAAATTTTTGATTAAAAATACTGTTAATGAGTATTTTTATTCTTATTTCCTAATATTTAGTTATTTTTAAGCTCTTAATTACTTTTTAAAATTTTATTATTCTCTATTTGAGTTTTTTTAATTATTACTTTATAATCATAAATTTAGAAATTTCTATGAACTAGGCAATAATAACCTAAAAGAAAAAAGAGAAAATCAATTTCAAGTTATTAATTTTCTGAAAATATCATATAATTATTTATTAAATAAAAAAATTAAATTTTCTCTAATAGATTTTATTGGACTTAACATCTATTTATAAACATTTGATTAATTTTTTGTTCTTTATTATAATTTCTAATATATTTTAAGTAAGACTGACGATATATTATAAAAAACATATGTGATGTAATCATCAGAATTTGTATTTTTTAAAAGGTTTCATAAAAGGACCATAGGTGTATTTAGGTTCAGTTACAGCAGGATATTCACCTTTTTATTTTCTAAAAATAGTTTAATTTTCTTTAATTTTATCTTAGTATTCTTTATTAAAATTAGGATAACATAGTCCTCCTAAATCAGCAATTTCACCCATTCCTCCCTAGAAATAAATATATAGTTATACTTTTTTTTTATGCAAAATCTACATTTCTTATTTGAGATCATTAAAAGGTTATGATTTAGCTTAAGTAAAAGAAATAAAATCAAATTTAACAGATGATACATTCANATACATTGTGGAGATTTTACGAATAGAGGAGAATATTGGGAAATTGAATAATTTAATTAATGGCTTGATAAACAAAAGCAATTTAAATATAAAATAATTATTGCTGGTAACCATGATATTTCTTTTGATAAAAATTGTTAAAAATATATTTATTGTTAAAAGGCTGAAGATTAAATAAACATTTTAAAAACAAAAGAAAACTGTTATTATTTAGAAAACTCTTCAGTTGAAATAGAAGGAATTAAAATATGGGGGAGTCCATACTCTTTGGTTTATTATAATGGATCCTTTTAGACAACCCCTGTAGAATCGAAATAATTATGGGATCAAATAAAAGAAAAATATGATATAATAATAACTCATGGACCTCCATATAGCCAACAAGATTTTTCTTAAAGTGAAGTTCAAGTAAATGCAGGCGATAAAAATTTATTTAAAAAAATAATCGAAATCAAACCTTAATATCACATCTTTGGTCATATTCATGAAGGCTATGGAATATCTAATTGTTAAGGTATAACTTTTATTAATTGTTCTTATTTAAAAATAAACTCACGTTATAACAAACCTATATCATTTAATATGTCTAAAAATCAACAAAATAATAATTGATTCTTATTTAATTATATTTATTTAAATGAATATTAATTTAATAGATTTCTAAATTTTTGATTAAAAATACTGTTAATGAGTATTTTTATTCTTATTTCCTAATATTTAGTTATTTTTAAGCTCTTAATTACTTTTTAAAATTTTATTATTCTCTATTTGAGTTTTTTTAATTATTACTTTATAATCATAAATTTAGAAATTTCTATGAACTAGGCAATAATAACCTAAAAGAAAAAAGAGAAAATCAATTTCAAGTTATTAATTTTCTGAAAATATCATATAATTATTTATTAAATAAAAAAATTAAATTTTCTCTAATAGATTTTATTGGACTTAACATCTATTTATAAACATTTGATTAATTTTTTGTTCTTTATTATAATTTCTAATATATTTTAAGTAAGACTGACGATATATTATAAAAAACATATGTGATGTAATCATCAGAATTTGTATTTTTTAAAAGGTTTCATAAAAGGACCATAGGTGTATTTAGGTTCAGTTACAGCAGGATATTCACCTTTTTATTTTCTAAAAATAGTTTAATTTTCTTTAATTTTATCTTAGTATTCTTTATTAAAATTAGGATAACATAGTCCTCCTAAATCAGCAATTTCACCCATTCCTCCCTAGAAATAAATATATAGTTATACTTTTTTTTTATGCAAAATCTACATTTCTTATTTGAGATCATTAAAAGGTTATGATTTAGCTTAAGTAAAAGAAATAAAATCAAATTTAACAGATGATACATTCATCATTGATCCAGGTTAAACTTTTGTAATTTCTTAATGAAATTTATTATCTCTTGAAATTTGTGTCTGTTGCATTTATGCTGATTCTTAGGCAACTTCAAATTTTGCTTTTCTTGGGAAAGGATGATCTTAAGATTAGCCTAATTTTCTTAAAGGAGGTAATGGTTATTAAGAAGGATGAAAATCTACACAAGTGATTATATTATAATCACGATTTTCTATTTAGTATTTTGATGCTTTCATAATATATTTAATATTTATTTTTATGTTAATGGTTTTTAAAATAAACGATCTGCTCCTTCTTTTATACATTGTTGTCTAGTTTCTTAATCATCAAATGCACTAAGAATATATATTTTGGCATTCTTATTAAATTTCTTAAAATCCTTAATGCATGAGATTCCACTTTTATCTGGTAAATTGATATCAAGCAATATCATATCAAATTACTTTTATTTAACCATTTAAGTTGCTTCACTGGCAGAATATGCTATCTATATTTAATTCACTCCACATTGTTAAAACAACTATTTATTAGTTGCATTATTGAAAAGTTCATCATCTACTAACAATACACTTCTTTATTTATTTTATGGTGTTTACTTAGGTATTTTCTAATATCTAACTTAATGAATCTAAATTGGTTGATCATCAACATTTTCAATATCATCAAAATGAGTTTTATATATAACAAATTAAAAATTTGTTCCAACACCGATTCTGCTACTAATATAAATGTATTTCAAAGGCCCAATATATCCACATAACTATTTACTAATCATTAATCCTAGTCCAACTCCATTCCTATTATTTGATGATTTCTTTACCTATTCTATTTTTTCTCACTATCAAAAGTACTGTAGCTTTTGAATAACTAACCTTTTACTTCATCACTTATACCAACTCCTGTATCAGAAACTGTAATTAATAATAAATTATTTAATTATTCATCTATCTTACACAAACTTTATTTTGACTTATTTTATTTCATCTAATTTTGAACATTTATATAAAACTCTTAAATATCCTAATTGTTATCACTAATACTCAATGATATTTATCCATTCGTTGTAAATTTTGATGAATTTGATATTAAATTAAATAAAACTTATTTCAGTCTCACCTCATCATTTTTTATCTAAGTGTTCTCTACTTTATTTTAAATATAAAATTCAATTTATTTTATTTATAACTGCAATTAAAATGCTTATTAAATTTACTAAAAAATATTTAAAATATCGAATTATGTTATGAAAACTTTCAATTTTTGCATTTTTATCATCTAAAAATCAGATAAATCCTTAACAAAGCTTTGCAAAAACTAAATGTTATTAATACAAATATCTATAAACTAGACACTCTATTATAAATCTTATTATTATTAAATTAATTTTTATAAATCTTCTTAAACAAATAATAAAGTTTAATAAATTGCCCCAATAGGATTTTTTAAATCATGACTTACTGTAGCAAGAATATTATCTTTATAAGAATCTAATTTTTTCAATTCTAAAACCATTTAATCATCTGTTATATTAATTATATTAATTGCATAACTTTATTATCCCTTCCAAGTGCATTATTACATATTTACTTTATAAATTTAATCATCTAATTATGCTTGAACAATAAAGGGCATCTATAAAAATAAATCTTAATGGTTTAGACTTTCTAAAATATTTGTAGATTTAGTAAAATAATGATCAGTTGATTTATTTCCATCATTGTTATATTCATGGTCATTCTGAACAATGAATTATTCCAACTTGCCTAAAATAGATGTTTGCGCTCCGAATTTTTTTAAAAAGGGTTTATTCACATATAAAACCTCATGATTCCTGACCTTATTAATAAATATCAATATGATTTACATTTAATATGATAAGGTATTGCTTTTCATTTATATCAAATAGTTATTCATCATAACTATCTGCATCCTTTGCAATACTAAATTAAGGAAATGTAAGGGATAGTTTTTTTTTATTGGTCACAAATAAATTAAGATAAATAGTACATAAAATTAACCAAGAAAATATTTGCTCTCCGTTATTTAAGATAAAATTTTCAGGTTTTAATATCTCATAAATAACTTAAAATCCTACATAATAGAAAACTTTCAAAGCATCCAATTCAATAGCTGATGAAACATAAATAAGGTAAATAATCAAAAAATCAGACGTTTAAAATTTATGTAAATAAAGTGCTGAAAACAATAATGAATGTAAAACTCGAAAAAGTGATTTTATTTTTGTTTTTTGGTGTATTAAAATTATTGAACTTAAACTTGAGAGTGATAATAGGAAAAAAGTAATTGAATATAAATTAGGTAATAGTCTATACCCTAATAGAAACTCTAATACGCTTTTAAAGATCTCCATTGCAAAATTAATCTTCTTTTAAACTTAAATTAAGGTCTCTTATTCCTGATCTATTTCTTATTATGATAAAAATGGTTCTTTAATTCTAAAGAGTCTTATTAATTTAGAGAGATACATAATTAATAAAAAATTTATTTAAATAAAAAGACTGAAATCCCAGATGAAATGACAAACCTAAAAAAGTAATGTTGCATTTAATGACTTAATTGAATTGTTTATGTAATTAAAAAGTAATTAAGGATAAAATTAATTATGAGCAATTGATTTATAGAACACAAAATTTTAAAAATTTCATAACATTATTATTAAAAAAATTATCATTATATGATAATATAAAAAAACTTAAAAATAAACTCTTTAAACTACGATCAATGATTGACTTTACGATTATTAAAAATAATTAGTGAAATCCATATAAAAAACTTAAAATTTAAATTTCAAGTCTTAAAAATAACTTGACATGAAAAATCTATCATCTTAACAAATATTTATTAATTAGAAAAGTTGCAACAAATAAGGTTATTGGTATTATTAAGATGAATAAAGATAAAAGAGTTTTGATTAACTATTTAACAAAATTGATTTTATGAAAAAAGACACTAACACTAAATAAATAAAGATAACTAAATGAATGAACAATTCAAAATATTTAATTTAATTAAAACAGATTAAAAAACGCAAAAATGTCAAGTAACGAGAATAAAATGGTGCAGCAAAGTTTTTAAATTATCATAATTTTGTAACAAAAAATTTAAATATCTAGATAATTTAGATGCTGAATTATTAAAAAAAATAGATAAGGACATACTACATTTATGATTTAGAGTTAAAGAAATTATATTTATAGTTTATAAAAACTATTATTAATAGAAAATGTTAGGATGAGATGATTTTAAGGATAAATTATAAAGTGAAATGTAATTACCAAGATTTTTTCTGAAGTTTTTTCAATATTTTTTGTATAAAGAAAGTAGAGACTGAAATTAAATAAATTAAAAAAATGTAATAATGTATTCCTAATTATAATATAGAGCTTTTTACCTACAAATATATATGTCAAATATAATCCATTTTATCCTCATAATCAAATTTAATACTCAAATAAATTTAAAATAAAGAAAATAAAGTTAAACAAATATTAGATTAGTAAAGCATCAAATTAAATTGAATATTTATTATATTAAATATATTAAAATTATTCGACTGATTTCTATTTTTTTAAGAAAATAAATCAATATTATTATTATAAAATTACAGATAAATTCAGTTCTTAAGAAAATCTTAAAATAAGCAAAAATATTGATTATTTCTTTAAAAAATTTAATTTTTTACCTGATATAAAAATATTTAATTAAATATATTTTATAGCTAATAAATAAGATTTGAAAGTGATGTTCATTTGTTGTGGATCAAAATAAAAAAAAGATTAGAAATAAGTTAAAGCTTATGTTAATCCTCCTGTAAGTTTGTAAAGACTCTATTTTATCGTTCCAAAATTAAAAAATATTAATTAGAGCACTATTCTCAATCGAAGAATCTCAACATTTCAGAAAGGCCTTTAGGTTAAATAAGAAACTTGATTATAAAATATATATTACAAATTTATATATCTACACTATTTATAAGGACTAAAGATTGTTAATGAATAATTTAAAAGGGCTAGTTTTAAATAATAGGTTATTTATTCATAAGTATTTTGTAAGATTATAATGGTAAATTTTATTAGTTAATGCAGTTTTCATTTCTTAATGTACAATCACAACAATAAAGAATGAAAACAAAGGATTGAATTAGAAATTGATGAAATTTATGTTTAGTTTCATTCAAAGGAAAGATTTCTAATGTTTAATTTAATTATATGAATATCGATGCTAATTATAATAATAAAATGAATATGTACTGAAAATAATTTGTATGAATTGTGTAGCATGGAATTGAGGCTTTTGTAAAAAATGAATATTTAAGTATTTAGGATTGTTTTATATATAAAAATTGAGTTAAGTTAGAATAATAAAATGGATATTCAAACTTAATAATTAAATGTATAAGTGGCAGTCAGAGTAAGACCTTTAAGCAATAAGGAACTAAATGCGAAGGATGAACATTGTTTAAAGACAGAAGATAATAGAGTATGAATTACTATGAAAATAGATAATTTTGCCATAAAGTGGTAAAATCTTTACTTTTGACCATGTATTTGATTAGGATTCCAATTAAGAGGAGATATTTGGTTGGTAATTAATAGGATTGCTAAATTTAGTTGTGTAACAAATTTAATCTTAAGATGCTTTGAGGGATATAATAGTACAATATTGGCATATGGCTAAACTGGTTCTGGGAAAACCTTTACAATGGGAACATCAGGTTTGGATCAATATTCTGGTTTAATATTGTGATTAATGCATAGACTAAAATGAATGGGGAATGATACCCAGAGCAGTATATTTTTTATTTGATGAAGTGGAGAAAAGAAAATAAGAACAAGACATAATAATTACATGCTCATATGTAGAATTATATAATGAATAAATAATTGATCTGTTGAATGAATCAACAATGAAATCAAATTTATAGCCAACTATAAGAGAGGAAAAGGATCATACAATTTCAATTCAAAATTTGACTACAATAGCTGTGGTCAATCCTTAAGATATGCTCCAAATATTAAATAAAGGAGGAACACATAGAACAACTGCAGCAACTCAAATGAATTTAAATAGCTCACGATCCCATGCAATATTTACTATTTATTTTGAAATAAACCGGGAATCTGAGGAGGGTTCTTTGAATGCCAAATTCCATTTTGTTGATCTAGCAGGTAGTGAGAGATTAAAAAAAACAATGGCAATAGGTAAATAAATGGAAGAAGGGATTAATATTAATTAAAGTCTTTTGGTTTTAGGAAATGTAATTAAAACATTAAGTGATTAAAAAAAATCAGCTCATGTTCCATATAGAGAAAGCAAACTTACTAGGTATTAAATGATATATTATTTAGAATTCTGTAAGATTCTTTGGGAGGTAATTCTAATACTTACATGATTGCATGTATTTCTCCTTCAGCAAGCAATTATGAAGAAACTATTAATACATTGAAATATGCTAGTAGAGCAAGAGAAATTAAAAATAAACCAACTCAAAATAGAGTAATTAGTATTATTATTAAAGGATCCTCATGCTGCTTAAATATTAGCTTTAAAATAATAAATATTTGGTCTTTAAGATTAAATTAAATAATTTACTTAAATACTATAAGAAAATAATATTAATACTGATTCTGTAAAAATTATGGCAAATTAAATTTATGAATCAATATCTCCAAGCTCAGGACCTTAATAATCATGTTCAGAACATGGAGAAATTATTTAAAAATTAAAGAATTAAAATTATCAATTAGAAAAACAATTAAATAATTTATAAAGAGAACTTTAAACATCTTAAAAAGGACTTAGTGATAGTATGCTAGAAAGTTATAAGGCAAAAAAGTAAAGAGATTAAATTATGAAATAATTTTAAGATGCTAAAAAGTATTAATTTATTTTATTTAGAATCTTATAAAAATATAATATTTAATTTAATTTTAATGAAGATTAATAATTGGATACTTATTATAATGAAATTGCTAGTTTAAAAAAGATTGTTTAAGAACAAGAATAAAGAATATTTCTCTTATAATCTAATAATGATTTGTTATTAAAAGTATTTAAATTTGATACATAACTTAGTATAGGAAGCACGCAGAGATCAAAAGTTATTGAGATAAAAATAGCATGAATTAATGAGATTAGAAAAAAGAAAACAAGATGTTGATTAAATTGATGATGATTTCGAATTAGATGATTCTGAAATAATATAAAAAGATCTTCAAATTGAAGAATAAGAGTATTAGCTTCAGGAACTTGATAAAATTAAGATTGAAACTATTCAATTATTATAAGACGACAAACAAAATTATTTAAAATAAATATCTATTTTAGAAGAAGAAAAAGCAAAATTATAAAAATAATTAAATACTAAATAGGATTCTGCTTAAATGAATTAACTTAAATTAAAAATATAAGAATATGAGTCTAAAATTTTAGATATGAGATAGAAAGAATTAACATCAAAATAATTGTAAAAGAAACTAGAAGATTAGGAAGGTCAAGTAAAAGAATTAAGAAACAATATTGAACAAATGAAAAAATAAAAAGTTGATTTAATTAAAAAAATGAAATAAGAAAATGAGAAATACATTAAAGATAAAGAGCAAAAGCATAAAGAATTAATATATGCCAAAAAATAAAAAATATAATAAGATACATTAGTCAGTAAGTTGAAAAATGATAATACAAAGAAAGATGTTTAATTAAAAAGAAAAGAAGATGAATTATAAAAATAAAAAAATGAAAAATTAATCATCAAATAACATAATCGATATAACCCAAATAAATCATTATAATATGACACATTTGAAAAATAAATAGATGATTTATTTACTGAATTAATTCTAGGTGAATAGGCTGAAGAATAAATTACTAAAGAGTATTCTAAATTAGAAGAACTATAAGAAGAATTAAGATAAATTGAAGTGAAGATTTGTTCATTACAAATAAAAATAGATTAACTATAATTTGATATGACATAAAATAATACATCATATAGTATAGAAAATGTGTAATAATTTGAATTAGAACTAAATGATTTTTAGTAGAAAAGAGAAAATATATCTGAAACTATAGAATTCTAACTATAAAAAATTGATGAATTTCGTGTAATATCATAAAAAGCAAATGATTATTATACTATTGTTTTAACAAATTAGTACTTCAAAGATTTACCAAATTGGTGTACAAGATCATTTAGATATGTTATTGATAATTGGGTTAAGAATCATTTTTAAATGACCTTATACGCTCAGTAAATAGAAGACTTAAATTAAACAAATTAAGAACTTATAAATGCGAAACCAAGTCCAATAAAGAAATCAAGTAGATAAAATACACCAATAGATGATTTAAAAAGATAGATAAATGAGTATAAAAGAAAACTGTAAGCACTGTAAAATTAATATCGAACAACAAGCATAGAATTAGATTATTATAAAAACTTTTATAGTGAATAGATAAATAAGTAATAGAAGGACAAATCAATAGGATTGGGTTCATAATTATAACATTCATAATCATATCATGCAATAAGAAATTCATTTAGTAAAGAATTTAAATAGGAGTAAATCCCTGTACCTTTAACTCATGTGAAATCATTTGGTATAATAGGATCAAATATGAAAGTTAAAAATTCTTTTTCTTAAAATTGGATTACAGAGTAGCTAAATTCATCCTAAGAGATTGTTAATTATGAGTATTTATTAAAATAAGGTTAGTATTGTGAAAACTCTTTAAGGACATGATTAACCAATTCTATCGCTATACACAAAAGATAATATATTATGTTCTGGATAATATAAATAATTCAAAGTTTGGGATATAGAATCTTAATAGCTTATAAGTACAATAGATCAAAGCAATCATTGTAGATCAATACACTATTGGGCTGGCAGAGATGCATTTGCTGTATCTCATGGTTCTTAAATATCATTATATGATCCTTTAACATTAATGTGTAAAGGATTACTTAAATCATCCATTGAAGAAATTAAATCTATTACTAGTATAAATGGTTTATTGGTTGCAGCTGGAAAGTCAACCAATTCTAATGCTTTAAATATTTGGGATTCTAGATAAAATAAGTATATAAAATTATTAATTATTATAGTATTTTGTATGAATTAGAAAAAGGCTCGGACATTTTAAGTCTTTATGGTTCAGATGAAAATTCTGAGTTGATTTATGGAACATTAAAACATTATACAAAAAGAATATCATTTAACAAAAATAAATATAATCAAATTTAATAGTTCTAACCACCTTAATTAGATAAAGTAACAGGAGTTGCTTCTTTTAGTGACTATGTAGTAAGTTGGTATAATTATTTATTTAATTATTAGTTCTTTGAGCAAAAGAATGTTACTTTGGAATCAATAAACAGGTTTAGAAATTACAACAAATGATAGTATTCATAAAGACTTAATAACAGCTTTAACAAGTAAGATAAATATAATCTTTAGTTGATAAAAATTTAAAATTAATTTACACAGCTTCTAAGGATGGAAATGTTAGAGCCATTAAAGTTAATGAAGATGCCAAATTTCAATTAATTCATGAAATTACTGCTTCAAATGTAATTAATATTCTCATTATAGTAATAAATTAATACATTACATGTCATCTAAGATAATCATCTAGTTATAAGTGGTGGACAAGATAAATTGATTAAAATTTGGAAACCTTCAAAGAATTTATTATAAATGCAAAATGCTATTGGTGAATTTATTGTTGATGACTAAAATTGATATTAAATTAATAATCAACAAAACAAATCAAAATCATTTATTTTTTTCTTTAAATTAAGCTAAGTTTTAATTTCTTAGATCTTCAATTTACTTATCTTTTTATATTACAGAATTTCTTATGCTTTCTATTTCCATCATAAGAACAAACATAATTGATAATTATTCTACAATCTTTTTATTAAGGGACCCTTCATTTGCATATTAAAGTCTCCAATTCTTCAGTTCATCTTCTTATTAATTAATCAATTTATTCAATCTATCAATTTCATATGATAATACTCTACACTAAAAATCAATAGACACTTACATTTTCTTCATAATTTTTTAATTTTTCGATATCCTACTCCAAAATGTTAATTTAATCATAAAGCTCTTAAAGTTGATTATCATAATTAGCCAATTTTATTTTACTATCCATTATTTATTTATTCAAATATTCGTTTTCTTAAACTCTTTAAATAATAATTATAAAATTACTTTAAGGTAAGTTATTTATTTACTTTATCTATTTCTTATAAAAGATTGTTATATCTCCCTTCAAATTCATCACATTTCTCTTTTAGTCTATTATACTAGGATGTCAAATCATTATTTTATTTTTCAAATTCTGATATCTTTTTAGTTTGATCAATTAATCTTTAATTTAATTCTTAATTTCTTTTATCCAAATCAACATTCTTTTTATCATTAACTTTTTGTCCATATTCAAATTCCATCAATTTTTATTTCTCAACTGAATTATCATGTATTTTTTTTGTTATATTATCTATTTCAAAATTTTTTTGTCTTATTATTAATTACAATCTATCTATTTCTTATTACATAATAGTAAACTTTTCATCAAGTGATTTTTTGTTTCTTTAAAAATCTATTTGATTTTTTTCAAATTTTGTTGTTTTCATTCTATACTCATTAAGTTCTTAAGTTTTCACAGATAAACCATATCTTAATTTTTCAAGTTCTTCTGAAACTGCTTCACATTCTATTTTTTTTTCTTAATTTTCATTCTATAACAATTAAATACTCTCATTTAGATCAAAGTTTTCTTATGAAATTTTATCAAGTTCTTATTATATTTAATCAACATTATAAATTCTTTATTTCAAATCTTAATTTTCTAATTAATATTTATTTAAATTTTAATTTAGCCTATCAATATCATTTTTATATTATATTATTAGTGTTTCTAATTCTCTATTTTTAGAAAGATCTTATTATTACAATAAAGTTTTCAATTCAGTATTCTCTTTTTTTATTTAATAGTGCAATTCCTTATATTTTTATAATTCTTTTTCAGTATATTCCATTTATTATTACCAATTGAAATCATTTTCTTATAAAATTTTTTACTATTAGATATGAAAAATCTCTATACCAATATTTTTTGTGCTTCAAGATCTTTCTGTTTAATAAGAATATTAATTTCATGTTATTTTTATTCTTCAAAGTCTTTTAATTTAATTCTGAGTTTTTCAATATCATTTTAAAATATAATTTGATTGTCTTCATTTTTTTCTTAAAATTTAATGATTTCTTCATAATTATATTATATTTATTCTTTCTCTATTAAAACTGTTTGATATTTTTGATCAAGTAAATTCATCTTCTGTTTTAAATCAATAATCTATTATTCAAGATTCATAGTATTAAATTGATGATCCTCCATATTTTTTAATCTCTATATGAGATTATAATTTTAGTCAGAAAGTCTTTCTAGTTCTATAGCCATTAAAAATATCTGCATTTATTTTGTAATATTTTAAATTCTTCGATCTTGTTCTTCATTATTTATTCTAATTGGTAAAGTCTAGGCATAACTCCTAATAGATGTTGTATTCGTTGAGACTATAAGATTCGATTTCATTTGTTAATATTCCATAGAAATAATTTAATAATAATTGTAATTTCATTCTTCAGAATCAATAATTAAACTCATTAGCATTAAACATCTTTATTATATCCAATACTTTAGATATTTCTTAACTTATTCTTCATTTTAAATCTATTCGAATGGAACCTATTCAATTTTTCTAAATAGTTTGAACCAAAATGGGTATTCTTATATTTCTGAAGCAAATTAAAAATATCCTTGATCTTCTATTATCTAATCAACTTAAATAATCAAAATAATACTTACTTGAATTAAAACCTTTTTCAGCTATATATTTACAAAGAGTAAAATCATCAAAATTTGTCCACTCATCATTTTTGTATATAATTTATTCTTAATCCTTATGTACTTTATTTTTTTAATAATCTAAAACATTAATATTGATTAATTATACTTTCATGTTTTATAGTAAATTTAGCTTATCTATTTTAGTAGAATTAATATTTCTTTTTTAAATACATCAATCCACAAATTCTATAAAAAATATCCTTGGGATTGATTTTACAAAATGCAATATTTTTTTTATCTTTGAACTGTTCATAATCCAAAAGTAAAGAATAAAATTCTTTAACATACTTTTTAAATTCATCATTACTGGGTTTATACTCAGCTGAAAAACATTAAGGTTTTTCTCTTTATAATCTAATATAGAATAATAAATTATTACACTTAATAAAATTAATCAATTGAATCGAAGTCCATTCCAAAAGATAAAACAAAATCAAGAAATTCTAATCTATGATAAGCTGTAAAACCATATGTCACTATATCATTATCTACATTAAGTTATGCTAATTCTGAATGCTCAAGAACAGTTTATTAGAAGAATCTCATAATTTATAGATCTTTATCTATTAATTTCTACATTCTCTCTGATACTACTTTCTAATCTTTCTTATTTTCATCATTTTCTTATTCTGATCCAGTTCCTTAACTTTAATCAGATGGACTATATTAAGATGATGAAACTAATTATATTTCTAATTTATATAATACATTGATGATAATCTTCATGATAGTTAGGAATATTTTATTTTTTTAATCTTTTTCCTTTACCAAATTCATCTTATTCTTTTTCTGCAAATTCTTTAGCTTCCTCATCTAAAAAGGTTTCCCAATATTTATCTAAATTAACATTCTAATGACTTTCATCACCTTCTTTCTCTACTTATTCTAAATTAAAACTTGTAAATTTGAATCCTGATAAATAATAATCATTTATATCATTTTTTTTTAAATTTACATACTGTTAATCTGATTACTATTCAATATCTCTTTATAATAGTATATTTAATTATTCATCTGTAAATTCTTAATCTTTTTCTTCTAAATTTTTATTAAACAATTCCCAAGTGCTTTCTTTAAAAATAGACTAAAAATCATCTTTAGTAAATTTATTAATAGGATTTATAATAATTTCTTCTAAAAGCAATTTTTTAGTTGCAATTTAAATAATTCTTTCTTCAGCTGTATATTTACTTACTAATCTAAATACTTTAACTTTATTTGTTTAACCCATTCTATGTGCTCTACTAATTGCTTAAAGATCTCTATATGGATTAAAATCACTATCAGTAAAAATAATAGTATCAGCAGAAGTTAGATTAATTCCTAATCCTCCTGCTCTTGTTGAAAGAAGGAATATTTTAGATTTACCTGTTGAATTATTAAATGAATCAATAATTCTTTATCTGTCCATTATACTTGTAGTTCCATCTAATCTTTCATAGCTATAACCTCTTAATTATAAATAATGTTGCATTAAATCAAGCATCATTGTAAATTAACTAAAAATAAGCATTTTATGTTGCATTTCCAATAATCTAGGAATGATTCTATCTACAAATTTTAATTTATTTGATTAATTAATCATTTCTTCAATATCTTCATTTGGAAATTCTCTTTTATAAGTAAAAAGATAAGGATGATTACATACTAGTCTTAAAGACATTAATATGTTTAATAAATTAGCTTTACTAGCTCCTTTTTTTTAATCTAATACTTTTAATTTCTCATAGTTTCTTAACATAACATTTTTATATAGAAACTTCTATTTATCTGTCAAACATAATTTAATTATAATTTCTTCCATTTCAGG